ACATCACACAGTCCAACGTGAGCACTACATTTCGGGCGATCAGGAAATGACGTGAGGAGCTAATAGTTAGGGATCTGTTGGTAATTTTCCCTAATGTATGAAGGGTGGGTGTTGAGTCTTTGCCTTTTTACCCTTGTTAAGTTCTCTTAATGTACACATCTGATTTTCATTTTGGATATTTTACACCGGTATTCAATATAATAATAATAATAATAATAAAAAAATTGGAACCTTAGGGATATCTCTCGTTGTTTTAGATGGATTTGTCATTGAAACGTTAGTACTGGAAAATAAAGAAAAAAATTGTTAATTTGATATGTGATGTTTATTGCCTATCACAGTATCGGGTACCACTTGCTGTTCATATCCAGTGGTTACTGGGTGTCACATAACCACTTGCTGTTCAACTAAAGAATGTGTTTTCACTTATTATTCCTTTAATCTGCCAAAAAATGTGTTTTCAAATGTTTAAATTATGGTAAAGTTTCTTGTGTCGTATGTGCATTTAAATTTACGAATCTTACTTGTGTTTCTGGTCCATTCATTATCTTGGAGGAAGTATGTATCATGTTTTCTTGGTGCATTTAGCACTTTAGCTTGTCTGGTAGTGTTTTGTGTATTTTGTGTGAGGTATGTAGTGTAAACAATAGTCAGCATAAAGTAAAGTGATACTTGAGTGTGACGTCACAGCCTCTTGAGGCCGAGGTGAGACCTGAAGTTCATTGTCAGAAGGTCCTGCGGAGGATATACCTCCGGCCTCCATGATTAACTGACCCACGTCACCCTGTTTGGTAAGCCACTGTCTCGTCACTTTGTTTTCACTTCTCGCACCACACAGCAGTGCGGCACGTGATAGTGCATTGCCTAGTTTTTAGAGTGATGAAAGAGGCAAGGTACTCGTCACGCCTCAGCCTCGAGTCATGGCAGGAACAACTTATCTCTACTTGTCACCTGACAACTGTATCAGGCAAATAGGTGGCTCTGCAGTGTATGTACTGAAAGTAGTGAAAGTCTGACGATGGACGGGAGGCACGGAAATATACACCATATTCAGGGCTCGACTGTAAATAAGCAATGTTTGGTAAACACAATGAAAGGTTTTCTTAACACTTAGGCAATATTTTTTCTATAGGTTGCTTAGTATCTGAATGAAGGTTCTTGTATGTAATATATATATATATATATATATATATATATATATATATATATATATATATATATATATATATATATTATATATATATATATATATGATTATATGAAAAGCATTATCAAGACTGTGACGAATACCACCTTTAAAGGATATCCAATTTCTTTATTAACGTTTTGGATGTTACTTCATCCATCACCAGACTCAAAAAAATTTTTTGCAATATAAGTAAAACACGATTTTACAAGCATTTAAAATTCTGTCTACAGCAGGAATTAACCCATCTAAGATAATTTATGTGATTTACAGCAAACTTTAATTTACCTTTTGTACAAACTAACATTTTAAAGATGAAATAAAGCTAGAAACTTCTGAACCAAGTTGAAAAATTTAGGTATATAAAATTATAACGGGAGTGCTTAACAAGTAGTACAATAATACAACAATATAGGTTAAATTCTACTTTGACCTTTAAATGTGAAATAAATACCAAATTAATATATAATACAGGGTGACAATACTCTTATAACTTAAATCTAAAGTTAACACTTTTCAAATGAGTCTGTCTGAAGCAAATGATTTAGGATTAGATTTTGTTCGGATTTTCAACCCGGGAGGGTTAGTCACCCAGGATAACCTAAGAAAGGCAGCTCATTATCGAGGCACTGTCTTATTTCCACTGGGGTTCTCAGTCTTGTCCCCCAGGATGCGGCCCACACCAGTCGACTAACACCCAGATACCTACTTGCTTACCAGGTGTAAGGAAACACCCCCAATGTTTCCACCCTTGCCGGAGATCGAACCACAGACACTGTGTGAAGTGAGTGTTGCCTACCAGGTCACGGGACACCAATTTCGGAACCTAATTAATGATAAGTTTCCACGTGGAACCTCATTTGCTAATGGATGAATGTGTAAATATATATGTATATACTTGTTCCGAGAGGAGCGTGGAGAAACGTTTGAGGGATGAACGTTATAATTTAGAGTTTGAACTTATTGGGTTGTCTTCGTTTAAATTATACACAATGTACTATGTAAGACTATTGTAAAAGTTCAGTTGTCTGTATGAAAACATAATAAAAACTTAAGTTAACTTATGAATGAGGGGTCCCATCGCGTCTTGACACTGCTGTTGACTATCATCTCGACTCTTGTATAGTCTGCGGTGATATGTAGCCACATTTGAAGGAAGCGCTGAACCCATATAGGAGCCATACAGTACGTGAGGAATGGAAGGTAATCAGGTATGATCTAGGAAAATGAAGGGTATCGCCAATGCCTCGCATCAAGATGCCTCTTCCCACCTTGAAAAGTCTAAGGCCCAAATGCTCTGTACGGACACGTAAAAGTCATTAACCTTGGTACAATCATTGTATCATGTTGAAATGTAGTATTTATTGTTATTATTATTAACACACTCCGTAACTATAGGGCTGTGTTGCAACTTTTGCCTATATGTCAGTATTTTATATTGTTTTATCACAGTAGATGTACTGCTATTAATGTTATGGTCACGAGGAAGCACTAAACCCGTCGAATTATTATTATTATTATGATCAAGGGGGAAGAGCTAAACCCGGAGGATTATACAGCGCCTGGGGGGGGATGTGGAAGGCATTCAGGCTTAATTCGGGGAACTGGAGCAAAGATCCAATTCCCTAAATCAAGAGCCCCTCACCAACATCAAGGAACCTTCCTTGAGGGGTAAACCCGTCGAAATTATACAACTCTAAGGCTGGGAAGTAATCAGGTATGAAGAAAGAGGGTAGTTCCAATTCCTTGGATGAAGAGCCCTTTAACAACATCCTCACCAGACGAGCCTGGTCAAAGGCCGGGTTCTGGGAGTAAAAAATACTCAAAACGCATCATCGGTATAGTATATCCCTAGATGGAGAATGTACCGCTTGTAGTAGGCTGCACACAGCTGACATGTTTCCCAGGGGTACGAGCACCTCAGTACCAAATGGGTACGAGCGCCTGAGTACCAAATGTTAAGTTTATTTTATTTACTAGTGTACTCAGTTTTGCATAATCTAAGTCCCATGTACGTCAGTGTACACGAAAAGATTGGTGATGAGTGCAGCATAAAATTCTAATCAATTAAAATATTTGTTTAATAATCGAAGCTAATTAGATATGGTATTTGCCAGTTATCAATAAAATGGGAAATTAGGACATTCACAGCCCATAACTTAAACATTCCAGTAAGAAACACAAACTTTGAAGACAAATTAAAGAAGCATTTTCTTATCTCAGAGATACCAATATTGTACTGAAATACACCAGCACATTAAATATGAAGCCGCTCAGAATGTTTAAGCAAAGCCAACTGGATAAGGCTATCATAAATTGTCGCGGGAAAACCATTATTTAAATATTCCCAGTTTCTTAGATTAAAAGAGCCAAATGGGGACCAACACAGACTAATATTAATCCAAACTTTTCTCTAAGCAAGATTCTGTCATTTAAGGTTTAAGTATGTATAGAAATTTGGGGTACATAATTTGTACTAGTCAAGGGAGGTTCCTAAATACTGGCGAGGGACTCTTAATTAATCTAAAGACTTGGATCTGTGTTCCAATTCCTTCAATCAAGCCTGAATGCTTTCCATTTTCCCAGTTACTGTATGACCCCTATGAGTTTAGCGCTCCCATTAATTTCTTTTTTTTTTACACTGGGTATGAGGACACGAACATCATTAATTGCATATATTTGAAGATTTAACTTAAGATAATCTAACAAAGGCAAACAGTGGGGAATAGAGGGGGAAATGCTGCAGTATTCTGGGCGTAGGACCTTCCGTTGGGGAGTTGTGATACAGGCCCTGAGATGTCATTTATGTTGTTCTCCTTCCCATTGTATCTTTGTTCATGTATTTTGTTTTCAAATAAAGTTCCATAGAATATAGGGGTGGTAGAGGAAAATATTCAAACAGCTCCGGGAAGCACGTTTATTCACTCTTCTCAAAGGATGAGGATTCCCAGTCCAGTTCTAATGGCAGTATTCTATATATATATATATATATATATATATATATTATATATTATTTATTTAAAGATATAAAATTATATAATATATATTATTTTATTATTATTATTATTGTGTGTGTGTGTGCAGAGCAAACCCACGTGGGAATGAAAATCTTTTAGCAATAGTGTGGGGAGGGGAGGAATTCTCCCTGAAGCAAGGCAGAAGTGTCAAGTGTTGGGCCATGTCATATTCCACTGTCACATGGCCCGATACTTTACGGTTCTGCCTTGCCTCGGAGAAAATTTTTCCCCTACTGTCTGTTACTAATCTTGCAACATTTCATAGCTCATGACGCACAAAGAGTGAACAAGATCTTGAGCTAAAGATTTACATCCCCACGTGGCTTGTTCTGCATTGTTAAGATTGTAATAAAGTAGGTAGAATTACCGACAATATGTAAAGTAAAAGGACACAATTGCAACTAATGTGATATTTTTATTGTGGCAACGTTTCACTCTCCAGGAGCTTTATCAAGCCGTTACCGGCTTGACGGCGAAACGTTGCCACAATAAAAATGTCACATTAGTTGCACTTGTGTCCTTTTACTTTACATATTGTTAAGATTGCCTGTTTTCATGTTTATTTTTCATAATTAAAATTGTACAATATTTTAGGAATACGTTATTATGCTTCTTGTTTTCTTAATTCCACAAACCGATAATTTTCTTGCATTAATATAATTTAGGTTTTTAATTGAGATTATATGCAAAAGACCCTAGATTTGTGTATTCCTTTTTATGTGTGGTTTTCCATTGTCATTAAATGAAAACACAATTTTGTAACAGCATATATTAAGGTGTTTTTCTCTTGTTTGCAGGATGTGGGTGTGACGAGAGGGGGTCTAGCAGCAGCAGCTGTGATATTGTGACTGGGCAATGTCATTGTAAGAGCAATGTAGATGGTCGCACCTGTTCCTCTTGTCGGGTCAGTACACCTACATGTTTTTGCTCATGTATCTATTCACACGGAATGTGCTGTATCTGTAATTAGGTGTCCCCTCAAGGGAGGTTCCTTGACGCTGGTGAGGGGCTCTTGATCTAGGGAATTGGATCTGTGCTTTGGTTCCCTGAATTGAGCCTGAATACCTTCCATCCCCCTCCCCACATGCACTGTATAATCCTACGGGTTTAGCACTCCCCCATGATTATAATAATAATAATGCAATTAGGTGTGGCCTCCCAGGCACATGACAAGCCTTTGCTTTCCAACAAATTAAGCGACTTGGATACATTATTTATCCTTCTGTCATTACTCTTCTCCCTTTTTATATAATTTGGGCATTAGTGATTAAATGTATGCAAATTTAGGTTAAATAACACTAAATTGATATTGAAATTTAGTGTTAATTTTATTAGCCGGTGATTTGGTAGGATTGTTAAGAAATAAAACATTGCAGATGTATTAGAAAACGAACGAGCTGTAGCTTGCATTACCTCAAGTCCCTTCAAAGCTGCCATCACGACTCACAGAATTATTATAAACATTTCAAGTCAGACTGCGTTAACCACTAGACTACTTGAAGGACCCCAGTGGAAATAAGTCACAGTCTGACTTTTTTGGGTTATTCTAGGTTCTCTACACATATGCTGCTCTATGATAATTCTATGTAACTGTATTTGTGTATACCTGAATAAACTTACTTACAAGAGCTTCATACATCATCTATGGTTTTTCACTTATAATGTGGATGCTTAGTGACATAATCAAGTTATGATCACCGTCATAAGAAGGCAGGGCCCATGATTAAAATGTAGCAATTTCTACATACAGTGGAACCTCTGGCCACGACCATAATTCGTTCCAAAACTCTGGTTGTGACCCAATTTGGTCATGACCCTAACCTAATTTTCTCAATGGATTGTATGTAAATACGATTAATCCGTTCCAGACCCCAACGAACTGTATGTAAATATTTTTTTTAAGCACAAAAATAGTTAATTATACCATAGAATGCACAGTGTAATAGTAAACTAAATGTAAAGTCCTTGAATAACACTGAGAAAACCTTAAACAACAGAGAAAACTGACATTGCACGAATCCATTCTAGACCCCCTATGAACTGTTCGCTGTAAACATTTTTTTTTTTATAGTTTTAAGCACAGAAAAAATAATCAAAGCTTATAATGCACAGTTTAATAGAGAAAAAACTTAAATAACAGAGAAAGAAACAAACCACCTTGCATAAGTCGACTTCTGGCATTAAGGAAGTGAGGAGAAAGATAAGTGGGGAGGAGGTTACTGTTTTGAGGGAGTCTGCCTCTATGATGGAGGGACGTTCTCCTTCAGGTGTTTTCTCTCGTTTAGCTGGTGGAACAAAATTCACCATAAACTGATCTAATGTGACTTGTCTTTTCCTTCGCATCAAAATGTTACGGAAATGAGAGACGACATTATCAAAAGGCAAGGAATGTGAAAATTGGTGCGGCTGTGTTTGTTCAGCACCCGATTATGTGTTTGTGACCAGATGCAAAAATTTGGTGAATTTTTTAGTCGTGAACCGATTTGCTTATGTTTGGAAGCGTTTGTGACCAGAGGTTCCACTGTATTTTATAACTTTATTCTTTCTAAAGGAATAGTTTATATAGAATAATTATGAAATTTAGAATAATCTCTTAAATTATGATAATTTGTTGGAATAACAGTTAAGTTATTAGTCATCTAGGTCATACATATGAAAGTTCTGAAAATTTGTTTTAAGGATTGTTTGTTTATTTCAGCCTGGTCACTGGGGTCATGTGTCAGGATCTGGATGCCAGCAGTGCAACTGTGACAAAAGAGGGAGCATAAGTCCTCAATGTGAGGATGCAACAGGACAGTGCCGGTGTCGGCCAGGTGTTGGGGGTCCTCGTTGTGACACTTGCCTCCCTGGATATTGGGGTTTCTCCAGGCAGGGCTGTAAACGTAAGGAAAATACAGCTATATAAACCATGTGCTATATGTACTCACTTTGCAGCTGAAGAAAATGTGTTTTTCCTTACATTTCAGAAATGTAAAATTTATTCAGAATAATCAAAAGCAGTACAGTATAAATAACATGTACCAGGGACTATCTGCAATATTCATGTAAATAACAGAATATAGTGTAGAAACATATTTAGTTTTATACCGATGACATTTCTCCTCAGCATGTGACCCTTGTGGTAGTCCTGGACGTTTTTGTGACCCCAGTTCTGGGCGTTGCATTTGTCCAGCCAACACTGAAGGTGACCGCTGCGAGAGGTGCTCTCCTGGCTCCTGGGATTATCATGCATCACGTGGCTGTAAGGTCAGTATGTTAAATCTTAACATTTTGACAGCTATTTGGTATTGGCTTTATTGGGTTATTCTGGGTGAATTGTCTCCTATGTCACTGTGAAGGCTTACTCAGCCCTGTAACAACTTCAGTCAGTATTACCAAGGCTGGCTCCTCCTCAGGAAAATTAATGAATAGAAAAAGAAATAATAACAGACAATGATAAACGCTTTATTATTTAGAAACGGAAAATGTAAAACAATAAAACATGAATGGGTATCCTAATTGAAAGAAAAATGAAATGAAAAAAATTACATTTGAACTCAACGCTAATATAGGTATATCGTGGTAATGGGGTGTCAGGTGTTGGTGACACTGAGTGATGTTGAAATTGTAGCCATTGCTGATGGGGGGGGGGTAGCAGGTGTTGGTGACCACCACTGGCTCGTTCTTCACAGAGTATAGTCATGTGTAATTACTTCAGATGACAGGAAAACAGGTTCGTTACCACTGCTGTGATGAGGGGTTAGGTCCTGTGTTGGCTTACATAACAGGTAAGTAGACTAAACATGGGATATCTCAGGACGTTAGTCTGTCTCCTTCTATTCTTCTCGTTGGTTGGCAGGTGACCCTCTCTGTCATTCCAAGCTGTAATGAGAGACAGATTACCCACTGCTTAAGAAATCACTCTCCATGATAAGTACAATACCTAAAAGATGTGGTGATTATTAAAACATTTAACAGATAAAGAATGAAAGGACTAAGTTAATTATTGGTCAAAAGTGAAGCTTTCAACCAATAAGTCCACTAAAATATGATCAGACGTGTACTTACAGTAGTGTTGGGAGCTGTAAGTCAAGTGATTTACTGTTTGACTGGAGCCCCACATGTCACCTTTCGGGGGGGGGGGGAGAGGGAGGGGAAGGGATAGCGGGAGCTAGACTGACCCTACCTTAACAAGCAGCCGGCAATCAAACTATCACTTTCGGGGAGGGGGAATAGCGGGAGCTGGACTTACCCTACCTTAACAAGTAGCCGGCAATGAAACTATTGTTACTATACACTCCCTCGCTACTCCTATCTATTGAACTTTTCCCTCACAGTCACTATATAATACAATTGTAAAAATGTACATTTGTCTAATGAACCTGAATAAAAACTTATTAACTTACCAGTCTCATGTAATGACATATAAAGCATGCATCTGTCATAACCAGGCCATTGATGAAAAAACAGATTTAAAAATAGGGCTAAATATAGGGCATTTAACAGAATTTTCATAGAATAAGACCTTAAACCTAATGAGTAAAAATATAAGGATAAAACTGTCAAGTGAGAAAGGAAAACTGCTGCTTCAAAACAAACTAAATGTAATGTTCTCTTGGAGGATAATAGAGTGGCCAGGATCAGGCAGAGTTAAGAATCTCTACCATAGCCTCAGCAGTCATCGGGATACTGAATTTATCAAATACGTAGTTCCATGTGTGTGTGTGTGCGTGTGTGTGTATAGGGGGGGCACACCAGAAAGTCGATTATAATAGGTAGAAAGAAACTTGTGTAACTGCAATAAAGGCAAGCATGATCCTAAACGATAACATTCATTCAGAAACCACATTTGCTATAAAATCTTAGTGATTTGAGAAATTGAGATGGTTACCTAAAAGCACTGTGAAATGTATTGCTCAGGACAGAAGTAAGAGTATTTAATACCACACCTGCAAGGAAAATGATGGGGGGGAGGATGCTAAACCCATAGATTGTATAGTGCATGGAGGATGGGAAGGCAGGTCCAATTCCTTGGACCAAGAGTGCCTTACCAGCATCAAGAAATCCCCCTTCAGGGATATAGGCTGGATAACTAGAGGGGTGATTGGTGGAATGATGAAGTAAAGGGGGTGATAAAAGAGAAAAAGGTAGCTTATGAGAGGTTTTTACAAAGCAGAAGTGTTATAAGAAGAGCAGAGTACAGTGGACCCCCGCATAACGATCACCTCCGAATGCGACCAATTATGTAAGTGTATTTATGTAAGTGCGTTTGTGCGTGTATGTTTGCGGGTCTGAAATGGACTAATCTACTTCACAATATTCCTTATGGGAACAAATTCGGTCAGTACTGGCACCTGAACATACTTCTGGAGTGAAAAAATATCGTTAACCGGGGGTCCACTGTATATGGAGAGTAAAAGAAAGGTGAAGAGAGTGGTGAGAGAGTGCAAAAGGAGAGCAGATGATAGAGTGGGAGAGGCACTGTCAAGAAATTTTAATGAAAATAAGAAAAAAATTTGGAGTGAGTTAAACAAGTTAAGAAAGCCTAGGGAAAGTATGGATTTGTCAGTTAAAAACAGAGTAGGGGAGTTAGTAGATGGGGAGAGGGAGGTATTAGGTAGATTCAATTCAAATTCAAAATTCAAATTCAAAGTTTATTCTCTATAAAGATTACAATGTTGAATTTACAGAATTTGGTTGTTGTGTGGTTTACATGTAGTTAAATAATGATTACAGAGTGTACCACTAGAACGCCTAGCATGGCTAGGCATTTCGGGCAGACTTAGTTTAATTTTTTATTTTAAAATATTACAGATTATGAGGTAAGCTGGTATTATGGCTAAGTGACTAAATACTAGTTTGTGAGTTCAGCAATGTGAATGCTTTTGTTTTGGCACAGTACATAGTTTCAGTATTGGAGTATTATAGGATTCATTATTTTAAGATTGAGATTAATATTTCTGTTTATGGTCAAATGGGTGTACCACTAGAACGCCTAGCATGGCTAGGCATTTCGGGCAGACTTAGTTTAATTTTTTATTTTAAAATATTACAAATTATGAGGTAAGCTGGTATTATGGCTAAGTGACTAAATACTAGTTTGTGAGTTCAGCAATGTGAATGCTTTTGTTTTGGCACAGTACATAGTTTCAGTATTGGAGTATCATAGGATTCATTATTTTAAGTTTTGAGATTAATATTTCTGTTATGGTCAAATGGGTGAGTGAGTGTAAGTGTGAACCACCGGGTGGTATTCGTGTAGTTAGTTGATGGGGTGTATCAGGGAGATAAGATGTTTTTCTAATGGTAGTTTTTGAAGGTGATGAAATGTGTCTGCAGTTCTAGAGTTCTCAGGTGGGGTGTTCCAGATTTAGGGCCTTTGACATACATTAATTTTTGTAAAGGTTTAGTCGGACACGGGGAATGTCGTAGAGATGTTTGTGTCTGGTGTTATGCCTGTGGGTTCTGTCACAACTATCAAGAAAGCATTTCAGGTCAAGGTTGATATTGGAATTTAAGGTCCTGTAGATGTAGATTGCACAGTAGTAAGTGTGGATGTACTGAACAGGGAGTAAGTTTAGATCTATGAAGAGTGGGGGGGGGTGTGTTGCCAGGGATGGGATTTAGTGATTATTCTTACTGCAGCTTTTTGTTGGATTATTATTGGCTTTAGGTGTGTTGCTGCAGTTGATCCCCAAGCACAAATAGCATAGGTAGATGGCGAGAATATTTTGAGGAACTTTTAAATGTTGAGGAAGAAAGGGAGGCGGTAATTTCATGCACTGGCCAGGGAGGTATACCATCTTTTAGGAGTGAAGAAGAGCAGAATGTAAGTGTGGTGGAGGTACGTGAGGCATTACGTAGAATGAAAGGGGGTAAAGCAGCTGGAACTGATGGGATCATGACAGAAATGTTAAAAGCAGGGGGGATATAGTGTTGGAGTGGTTGGTACTTTTGTTTAATAAATGTATGAAAGAGGGGAAGGTACATAGGGATTGGCGGAGAGCATGTATAGTCCCTTTATATAAAAGAGGTTGTAAAAATTATAGAGGAATAAGTTTACTGAGTTTACCGGGAAAAAGTATACGGTAGGGTTATAATTGAAAGAATTAGGGGTAAGACAGAATGTAGGATTGCAGATGAGCAGGGAGGCTTCAGAGTGGGTAGGGATGTGTAGATCAAGTTTTACATTGAAGCATATATGTAAACAGAATTTAATAAAGGTAGGGAAGTTTTTATTGCATTTATGGATTTAGAAAAGGCATATGATAGAGTGGATAGAGGGCAATGTGGCAGATGTTGCAAGTACAGTGGACCCCCGGTTAACGATATTTTTTCAATCCAGAAGTATGTTCAGGTGCCAGTACTGACCCCAATTTGTTCCAATAAGAATATTGTGAAGTAGATTAGTCCATTTCAGACCCCCCAAAAATACACGTACAAACGCACTTACATAAATACACTTACATAATTGGTCCATTCGGAGGTGATCGTTATGCGGGGGTCCACTGTATATGGAATAGGGGGTAAGTTACTAAATGCTGTTAAGAGTTTTTTATGAGGAAAGTGAGGCTCAGTTAGGGTGTTTTAGAAGAGAGGGAGACTACTTCCCGGTAAAAGTAGGTCTTAGACAGGGATGTGTAATGTCACCATGGTTGTTTAATATATTTATAGATGGGGTTGTAAAAGAAGTAAATGCTAGGGTGTTCGGGAGAGGGGTGGGATTAAATTATGGGGAATCAAATTTAAAATGGGAATTGACACAGTTACTTTTTGCTGATGATACTGTGCTTATGGGAGATTCTAAAGAAAAACTGCAAAGGTTAGTGGATGAGTTTGGGAATGTGTGTAAAGGTAGAACGTTGAAAGTGAACATAAGAACATAAGAAAGGAGGAACACTGCAGTAGGCCTGTTGGCCCATACTAGGCAGGTCCTTTACAATTCATCCCACTAACAAACATTTGACCAACCCAATTTTCAATGCTACCCAAGAAATAAGCTCTGGTATGAAAGTCCCACTCAAATCCAACCCTTCCCACTCATGTACTTATCCAACCTAAATTTGAAACTACCCAAAGTCCTAGCCTCAATAACCCAACTAGGTAGACTGTTCCACTCATCAACTACCCTATTTCCAAACCAATACTTTCCTATGTCCTTTCTAAATCTAAACTTATCTAATTTAAATCCATTACTGCGGGTTCTCTCTTGGAGAGATATCCTCAAGACCTTGTTAATATCCCCTTTATTAATACCTATCTTCCACTTATACACTTCGATCAGGTCTCCCCTCATTCTTCGTCTAACAAGTGAATGTAACTTAAGAGTCTTCAATCTTTCTTCATAAGGAAGATTTCTAATGCTATGTATTAATTTAGTCATCCTACGCTGAATGTTTTCCAACGAATTTATGTCCATTCTGTAATATGGAGACCAGAATTGAGCTGCATAATCTAGGTGAGGCCTTACTAATGATGTATAAAGCTGTAGTATGACCTCTGGACTTTTGTTGCATACACTTCTTGATATAAATCCCAATAATCTATTTGCCTTATTACGTACGCTTAGGCACTGCTGTCTTGGTTTAAGGTTGCTGCTTACCATAACCCCCAAGTCCTTTTCGCAATCTGTATGGCTAAGTTCTACATTATTTAACTTATAAGTGCTAGGGTTATGGACACTCCCGAGCTTCAGAACCTTGCATTTATCTACATTGAACTGCATCTGCCACTTTTCTGACCAAGAGTAGAGTTTGTCTAAATCCTCCTGAAGTTCCCTAACATCTACGTTTGAATCAATTATCCTACCTATCTTCGTGTCATCGGCGAATTTGCTCATATCACTAGTAATTCCTTCATCAAGATCATTGATATATATTATAAACAACAACGGGCCCAAGACTGATCCCTGTGGAATGCCACTTGTTACTGATCCCCACTCGGATTTAACCCCATTTATGGACACTCTCTGCTTCCTGTCTGTGAGCCATGATTCGATCCACGAAAGCACCCTTCCCCCAATGCCATGAGCTGCCACTTTCTTTAACAGTCTATGGTGCGGAACTCTATCAAAAGCCTTACTAAAATCTAAGTAAATAATATCAAATTCTTTATTGTGGTCAACAGCCTCAAAAACTTTACTGAAGAAAGTTAATAAAATTAGTTAGACAAGACCGGCCTCTTGTGAATCCATGCTGAGTATCCTTAATCAAGCTATGCTTATCGAGATGGCTTCTTATAATCTCAGCTATAATTGACTAGTAATTTGCCTACAATTGAGGTCAGGCTTATTGGGCGGTAATTTGACGGTAACGACTTGTCCCCTGTTTTAAAAATAGGAATTACATTAGCCATCTTCCACATATCAGACACTACACCTGTTTGAAGAGACAAATTAAAAATATTAGTTAATGGTTCACAGACTTCCATTTTGCATTCTTAAGAACCCTTAAAAAAAACCTCATCAGGACCCGGTGACTTATTTTGCTTCAGTTGGTCTATCTGCTTCACAACCATTTCACTAGTGACTGTGATGTTACATAATTTATCTTCTTCTGATCCACTATAAAAATTAATAACCGGAATATTATTAGTGTCTTCCTGTGTAAAAACCGAGAGAAAATAATTATTTAAAATCGAGCACATTTCATTCTCTTTGTCAGTAAGATGCCCATAGTTATTTTTAAGAGGACCTATCTTATCTCGGACTTTTGTTTTATAGACCTGGAAAAAACTTTTTGGGTTAGTTGAAAAAACTTTTTGGGTTAGTTAAAAACATAGAAAAGAGTAAGGTGATGAGGGTATCAAATGATTTAGATAAAGAAAAATTGGATATCAAATTGGGGAGGAGGACTATGGAAGAAGTGAATGTTTTCGGATACTTGGGAGTTGACGTGTCGGCGGATGGATTTATGAAGGATGAGTTTAATCATAGAATTGATGAGGGAAAAAAGGTGAGTGGTGTGTTGAGGTATATGTGGAGTTAAAAAACGTTATCTATGGAGGCAAAGAAGGGAATGTATGAAAGTATAGTAGTACCAACACTCTTATATGGATGTGAAGCTTGGGTGGTAAATGCAGCAGCGAGGAGACGGTTGGAGGCAGTGGAGATGTCCTGTCTAAGGGCAATGTGTGGTGTAAATATTATGCAGAAAATTCGGAGTGTGGAAATTAGGAGAAGGTGTGGAGTTAATAAAAGCATTAATCAGAGGGCAGAAGAGGGGTTGTTGAGGTGGTTTGGTCATTTAGAGAGAATGGATCAAAGTAGAATGACATGGAAAGCATATAAATCTATAGAGGAAGGAAGGAGGGGTAGGGGTCGTCCTCGAAAGGGTTGGAAAGAGGGGGTAAAGGAGGTTTTGTGGGCGAGGGGGCTTGGACTTATAGCAAGCGTGCATGAGCGTGTTAGATAGGAGTGAATGGAGACGAATGATACTTGGGACCTGACGATCTTTTGGAGTGTGAGCAGGGTAATATTTAGTGAAGGGATTCAGGGAAACCGGTTATTTTCATATAGTCGGACTTGAGTCCTGGAAATGGGAAGTACAATGCCTGCACTTTAAAGGAGGGGTTTGGGATATTGGCAGTTTGGAGGGATATGTTGTGTATCTTTATATGTATATGCTTCTAAACTGTTGTATTCTGAGCACCTCTGCAAAAACAGTGATAATGTGTGAGTGTGGTGAAAGTGTTGAATGATGATGAAAGTATTTTCTTTTTGGGGATTTTCTTTCTTTTTTGGGTCACCCTGCCTCGGTGGGAAACGGCCAACTTGTTGAAAAAAAAAAAAACTAGACTTTCAGAACAAGAGATGCTCAGCCAGTGATGCCACTCTGTCACTTGTTCTCTCTACACTGGAATATTGTTGAACACTAAATGGTTCATTTTATGGCAGGCAGAACCTTAGATCTGGAGATTGTACAGGGAATCTTCACTGCCCATGTAAGCACAGTCATGCACCCAAATCATTGGGAGTGCTTGAAGGCCCTCAAACAGTACTTCTCGGAACATAAGCAAAAACAAGTGCATCATAATTTACACAGGAAAAATTCTGGAGTAATTGGTTCTAAATCTACACCATGAAATCGCTGCCTTCAAAAGTAAGAGGCTTGGCAAGCAGTGCAAAAATACTCCAGTGAAAAGCAGTGGCACAGTGAGTACAGCAACCAAATAATCAAATGGGCCACCCAAAACAATATGAAGTTCAGTGAAGAGAAATTTCAACTACTCAGATATGGAAAACTTGAGAAAATTAAAACTGTCAGGGTATACGACAAATTCTAACTTTTCTTCTTTCTTTCAATGCACCAGCCATATCCCACCAAGGCAGGGTGGCCCAAAAAGAAAAACAAAAGTTTCTCTTTATAAATTTAGTAATTTATACAGAGGAAGGGGTTACTAGCCCCTTGCTCCCAGCATTTTAGTCGCCTCTTACAACAAGCATGGCTTACGGAGGAAAAATTCTGTTCCACTTCCCCATGGAGATAAGAGGAAATAAACAAGAACTAGAAAGAAAATAGAAGAAAACCCAGAGGGGTGTGTATATATACATACATATATATGCTTGTACATGTATGTGTTGTGTGACCTAAGTGCAAGAAGTAGCAAGACATACCTGAAATCTTGCAAGTCTATGAGACAGAAAAAAAGATACCAGGAATCCTTCCATCAAATAAAAACTATTTATATAATAAAGCATAAAAGTAATGTAGAGGACTTGGAGGTAATAATTTCAGAGGATCTTGCCTTCAAAGACCACAACTGCTAGGAAATGATTGGATGGATAATGAGAGCCTTCATAACTAGGGATGTCAAGCCTTTGATGATTCTCTTCAAATCGCTTGTTCTCTTTAAGCAGGAATACTGTTTTACACTAACTGCCCCTGTCAAGGCAGGCAAAATGCTGACCTGGAGAGTGTATAAAGAACTTTCATGGCACACAAAAGTATGATAGGGCATCTAAATTACTGGGAACAGTTGAAGTCCTTTGATTTGTATTCCCTGGAATGCAGGCGAGAGAGATACATGATAATATACACTTGGAAAATCCTAGAGGGATTAGTACTAAACTTGTACATGAAAATCACTCCCTATGAAAGCTAAAGACTTGGCAGGAGATGCAACATTCCCCCAATGAAAAGCAGCGGCGCCACAAGTACAATGAGAGACGACACAATAAGTGTCTGGAGCCCAAGACTGTTCAACTGCCTCCCAGCATGCATAAGGGATATTACCAATAAACCCCTGGCTGTTTTCATGAAGGCACTGGACAGGCACCTAAAGTCAGTACCTGACCAGCCGGACTGTGGTTCATAAGTCAGTTTGCGTGCAGCCAGAAGTAATAGCTTGGTTGATTAGACCCTGATCCACCACGAGGCCTGGTCTCAGACTGAGCCTCGGGGGCGTTGACCCCCGAAACCCTCTCCAGGTATAATCCCAGGACGTCTTCAAGAAGGACCTTGATGAGTTCCGCAAGTAATTCCTGATCAGTAGAGCTGATAGATTGTGTCGATATTACCAACAGCCTGATTAATCAAACTGTCAACCATCAGAATTGGTGTGGGATTGGGCTGCAGGGCAGTAAACTTTGGATCTGTCTACAAGTTCACTATGGATGATGAATCTAACTACAATTTGTTCATTGTAGCTTTTAGATTTAGAAGATGTAATTTCTTTTATAGCTGAAGAAGTGATATTTTATATTGTGCATAATTTATAGTAATATATACCAGTAAAAATAAAAGCATTCTAATCAATTATACAAATCTGCAACACAAAATTATTTATTAGGTGAGGTTTATATACAGGAGTTCTATGTTTTTAATTTTTTTATTACATATACTTCATATAAATTATTTTACAGCCATGCAACTGCTCTGGAGCTGGAGCTCTAAGTCGTCAGTGTGATTCCCGCACCGGCTACTGTGTGTGTAAAGAAGGTTATGAAGGGGAACACTGTGGCAAATGCAAGTTTGGATTTTTTGGGTTTCCACTATGTATCTCATGCAGCTGCAACATGGCAGGTACCAACCCGCTTAATTGTGATAGTAAAGGACGATGCCAGTGTGATGATGGTGGACAGTGCCCATGCAAGGTCAGTACATAGTGCCACTTGTGAGTAAAAGGTTCACAAGAGAATTATTATATAATGTTTGCAAGAAAATAAAAGGGACTTCAGACTAATACTAAAAACATTTCTGTTTGCTGTTAAAGTTGATGGAAAAATCTAAGAAAAAAGTATTGCTGCAATAATAACAATGTTGATAAATTGAAAATATAATTAATATTACAGTAATCATATACTGTACTTACAAAATATATGGTACCTCATGTGGACACTAAATACATTTTAATGAAATACTAGGCACCCTATGTTAGGTAAAAGGACACAGATGCAACTAATGTGACATTTTAGTGTGGCAACGTTTTGCTCTCCAGGAGCTCTGTTAAGCTCCTGGAGAGCGAAATGTTGCCACAATAAAATGTTACTGTAGTTGCAACTGTGTCCTTTTACCTAACATTTTGTCAGTAATTGTACTTTTATTAATAATTATTGTATCTTTAAAGAAGATATGCTGTGGGGTGAATGCCATAGAGTTTCTGGACACATTAATGTAGATACATAGTAAAACATAATTTAATTACAGTGGTCCCTCGCTTTTCGTAGTTCTCGGGAATCATAGATTTCGGAAATCATGGGGATATTTTCGTATAAACATGGACTTGCTAATCATAGGTTGACTCGCGAATAGTAGTTCGTCCAGGACGCGTATGCACAGTGTGAGCCGGGGCGGCCTCCCTACCATAATATTCCACTCATTTTAGTGCTTGCAAGTACTAAATAAGCTACCATTGTGTCGACAAGAGGGATTTTGAAGGGTTTGGGACTGACCCTGATGAGCCTGTCTGTTGTTAAAACAATTGTGGCACTGGGGAGTTCCATGGGGTTGGATGTGAGTTTGGAGGATGTGGAAGAATTGGTGGAAGACCACAACGAAGAGCTCACCACTGAGGAGCTGCAAGAGCTTCAGCAGGAACAGCAACAGATCGCAGCTCAGAATCTTGCTGCAGAGGAGGAGGAAGAGAGATGGAAGAAGGTGCCTTCTTCAGAAATTAAAGAGATTTTTGCTATGTGGGGCAAGATGGAAAGATTTATGGAGAGACATCACCCTGACAAGGTTGTTGCAAGCCATGTTGGCAACATGTACAGTGACAAAGTCTTGGGCCATTTTAGGGAAGTGTTAAAGAGACGCCAGAAACAGAGCTCTCTCCACAGTTATTTTGCGAGACAGGACTCCAGTGACTCTCAAGGTGGTCCTAGTGGCATTAAGAAACAGAGAAGAGAAGCAACCCCAGAAAAGCAATTGGTATTGTAGATGAATGGTTCAAAGAACCGACATGTTGTTAAATTAGACACATGTGCGACTCTTGGGTATCTTTATTGAGGAAACGTTTCGCCACACAGTGGCTTCATCAGTCCATACATAGGAGAAACTTGAAGAACAGGAGGAGAATGAGGTAATCAGTCCCTCAACCTTGAGTCGATGTGGTCAGTCCATCAATCTTGAATAGAATACGGCATATGAGCGGAGAAGTAGCTTATAAACCGTATGGCAGGAGAGGTGCAGCAGTCGTAGGTGGTGTCACATTTGTTCAATGTGTCTAATTTAACAACATGTCGGTTCTTTGAACCATTCATCTACAATCCTATCAGACACTGCAACTTCTTGGGATCTTAATACAGTGGACCCCCGCATAATGATCACCTCCGAATGCGACCAATTATGTAAGTGTATTTATGTAAGTGCGTTTGTACGTGTATGTTTGGGGGTCTGAAATGGACTAATCTACTTCACAATATTCCTTATGGGAACAAATTCGGTCAGTACTGGTACCTGAACATACTTCTGGAGTGAAAAAATATTGTTAACCGGGGGTCCACTGTACTTGGGAATTCTTCTCTTGCCTAACCCTTGGGCACGACCTACTTCCACATTGAACAAATGTGACACCACCTACGACTGCTGCACCTCTCCTGCCATACGGTTTATAAGCTGCTTCTCCGCTCATATGCCGTATTCTATTCAAGATTGATGGACTGACCACATCGACTCAAGGTTGAGGGTCTGATTACCTCATTCTCCTCCTGTTCTTCAAGTTTCTCCTATGTATGGACTGATGAAGCCACTGTGTGGCAAAACGTTTCCTCAATAAAGATACCCAAGAGTTGCACATGTGTCTAATTTAACAACATGTCGGTTCTTTGAACCATTCATCTACAATCCTGTCAGACACTGCAACTTCTTGGGATCTTAATACTTGGGAATTCTTCTCTTGCCTAACCCTTGGGCACGACCTACTTCCACATTGAACAAATGTGACACCACCTACGACTGCTGCACCTCTCCTACCATACGGTTTATAAGCTGCTGCTCCGCTCATATGCCGTATTCTATTCAAGATTGATGGACTGACCACATCGACTCAAGGTTGAGGGTCTGATTACCTCATTCTCCTCCTGTTCTTCAAGTTTCTCCTATGTATGGACTGATGAAGCCACTGTGTGGCGAAACGTTTCCTCAATAAAGATACCCAAGAGTTGCACCTGTGTCTAATTTAACAACATGTCGGTTCTTTGAACCATTCATCTACAATCCTGTCAGACACTGCAACTTCTTGGGATCTTAATACTTGGGAATTCTTCTCTTGCCTAACCCTTGGGCACGACCTACTTCCACATTGAACAAATGTGACACCACCTACGACTGCTGCACCTCTCCTACCATACGGTTTATAAGCTGCTGCTCCGCTCATATGCCGTATTCTATTCAAGATTGATGGACTGACCACATCGACTCAAGGTTGAGGGACTGATTACCTCATTCTCCTCCTATTCTTCAAGTTTCTCCTATGTATGGACTGATGAAGCCACTGTGTGGCAAAACGTTTCCTCAATAAAGATACCCAAGAGTTGCACATGTATCTAATTTAACAAAGTAATTGGTACCTGAGGTGTTGATGGAAGGGGATTCCCCTTCCAAACTGTAAACAATCCAATCTCTCTCCTCCTCCAGTCTCCCATACACTAAGAAGAATCTCCAATAAAGGTAAGTTTTATGCTGTTAATGTTTCATTCATCATTTCCCATTGTATTGTTTATGTACTACATCTATATTTCATGTAAAAAATTTTTTTGTTTTAATACTTCTGGGTGTCAGGAACGGATTAATTGTATTTACATTATTTCTTATGGGGAAAATTGATTTGCAAATAGTAGATTTCGATAATAGTAGCAACTCCAGGAACGGATTAACTACGAAAAACAAGGGACCACTGTATTTGTATTATAATAAGGAAGAGATAATTGTAAGTTCAGTTTCAACAATTTAATATCTGTATTGAGTTGCATATGATTATAGAGCTAACTTTTACATTACTGTATTTTTTATTGCCAAGCCTCATCATTTATTACTTTGTAATGCAATATATAAATTCATGTATTTATGCTGTAAATGTAGATAATTTATAGAAGTTAAATGTAGTGTACAAACATTAAAAGTAGTAATACATAAATAATTTTTTTTCAGTCTAATGTGGTGGGTCGTAGGTGTGGTAAGTGTGTGGGCGGGACATTTGGCCTTTCGGTAAACAATCCCTCTGGTTGTACTGGTTGCTACTGCTTTCGAAGAACCAACAAGTGCATTCAGGCTGAGCTCACCTGGTCTCAGGTAGGATTATTACTTGGGGTTGAAGTTGGGTTAGGAGATGCAGCAATGAAACATTCCATTTGTATCTTAGTATTTTTTGGGTACTTGATACTATTAGTACAGTAGTTTGATAAATGCTTTAGTAGAGTAACTTACTAATTTGCCAGTATAGTAGTTGAATGGTAAATCTTCAGATTTTTTTAATAACAGTAAATTTTAGAAAACGGCATCCTCGAGACTTAGGCAAAGCTAGTGTTTTGAAAAACTGTCTGAAATGATATCAGTAAATGTCATGCAGAGTGCTGCTAAACAAGAAACTGCAAATATTTACTTTGGCTGCTTAGATTTTTTTTTTTTTCAATTCTCCAACATTAAGTGTGTTATGTAATTAACCCTTTGAGAGTTTCGGCCGTACTGGTACGGCTTACGACCCAGGGTTTTTGACGTACTTGTACGCCTAAATTCTAGTGCCCTCAAATCTAATGAGAGAAAGCTGGTAGGCCTACATATGAAAGAATGGGTCTATGTGGTCAGTGTGCGCAGTATAAAAAAAATCCTGCAGCACACAGTGCGTAATGAGAAAAAAAAACTTTGACCGTGTTTTTGGAATAAAACAACGACTTTGCACTGTATTTTCGTATGGTATTTATTGTTGTATTCTAGTTTTCTTGGTCTCATTTTATAGAATGAAAGACATATTACAGAAATTGAGGTGATTTTGACTGGTTTTACAATGAAAAGTACCTTGAAATTGAGCACAAAGTAGCAGAAATGTTCGATTTTTATCTAAGTTCAAAAGTAAACAAATCATGCCAAGCGTCCAATACACGTCAACTGGTGAGTCTAATATTCTTTCACAAGTACGCTGATATTATTTATACCATTTCTACACTAATGCAGTAGTCTGCATAACAGTAAATCTTCTATCTTTTGTAAGAATAAAAATTCCAAGTGGAAAGCCAAAGAAATATAAGAGAGGCCTGGGGATGTGACTAACGAACAGAGAATTTGTTATTTTAGTGCCAAGAATGTCTTTTTTGTTTATTCTAGACCCTATTCGGAAATTGGCATCTTTTGAAATTTGTGTGAAATTGGCAAAATTGCTAAATTCTGACCACTTTATTGGATAGTTGAAATTGGTAAATGGGTGGTTTCTTGTACTTATTCGATAGAAAAAAATGGAGTTCTAGCGAAATAGTTATGATTTTTGTCAACTAGTACATCGGAATTGGCCGAAAATATGGCTCAAAGTGGGCAAAATCGCCGATGCGTAAACATCGTCAAGACCACTAACTTCGCGAGAGCATAATTCCGTAAGTTTTCCATCAAATTTCATACTTTTGGTGTCATTATGATCGGGAAAAGATTCTCTATCTTTTCATAAGAAAAAATCATTTTTTTTTTTTTTTTTGAAATTTGTCCGACCCTGAGAACAAGTTTCAGAGAGGGCGTGTCGACCCTCAAAGGGTTAAGACTATTTATATTTTGTGCTTATGGTAAGATAAAGTTTTGATGAAGAAAAAAAAAATAATGAATAACCCAACATAACTTAACCTACATTTTGAGCTAAATTCTAGGTTATGTTTGGTTGGTTTAGCTTTTTCATTTTTTGGTTATTAAGGAAATTCCTGTTTTTTCCATAGGCCCAAAATGTAACTGTTTACATTGCAAACCCACTTAACTGTGAAATTAACATGTTAAAACTCGAGTAGCTAAAGTAAATATTAAGCAAAAAGTCAAAAGAATTTTTCAACAGTTTGCTCACAGAACCCACTTATTAATAAACAACGTAAGTCGTTGCCGAAGTTTATCTCGAAGCTAAAATAATTATTGACCAGAAACAGTGCTTTGATATACTGTCCTGCTTTGAGGAAGAGAAGGAAAATCATGATAGGGAGGGACTGAGGAGTGGAAAGAGGGAGGGGGAGAAGTGAGGAAGGGACGGAGGAGTGAAGGGAGGGAGGGATGGACGGAGCTGAAATAAAGAGGGCAGAGAGAAGCAGTATTTAAACACTACTGAAAGATATTTTGCCAGTTAATTGCTTTATTAATTTAATTCAGAGGTGATGTACAAAGAAGTTGAGGTAATCAGTCCCTCATCCTAGCAGTCTTGATGCTCATGAAGACTTAAGGTACTGAACACTGGCTGCTAGGGTGAGGGACTGATTACCTCATCTTCCACTGTATTGCATGAATATTTCTGCAAGTCTGAAGGACTGATTACCACTACTTCTGTCTTCGTGTGTAACATGTCTAAATCCTCATCTTGTGTTGGTATTGTATACCAGTGTTGTAATGATCACAAACCTCTGTGGGCCACCCTCACTCATGTCCTTGTCTATTTACACAAAGTAATAGCTTAAGAATTGAATCAATGAATAGTGTATTTACAGAAGGTACTGGTGGAGGTGTTCTCATGGACAGGACCAGAACTTGTTAACCTAGAACCTGTGATCGACATTAAAGGAAACATTTCACCATGAGTTGCTTCTTCAATCCTCTTCTGGACTGAAAAAGCCATTCGTAGCAAAACACTTTTCTTGAATAAATATCTCGAATGGTACCTAAGTGCTTTGAACCATGTCTTGTCTGTATTACCATACCATTTATAGCACTTCCAATTTCTGTAAACATTATCTCCAGCAGTCTCTCATTTTAGCCCTGATGATGCAAAAGATGTGAAAACACAGCATATATTGATTAAGACACCTGTGCAACACTTGAGTATCTTTGTGAAGATGTTTCACCAAAAGTAACTTCATCAGTCTAATACAGAGTAATCCAGGTGACAGTGAGAGACTTTAAGGAGTTTGAGGTGATCAGTTTCTCAGCCTTGAAAGGTGTTCAGTCCATCAGTCTTGATTCATCAACACATGTGTGGCATTGGATGTGGTGGGTAAGGTTAATTCATGGACAGGACAGTAAGTGAATTGCCCCTAAGTGCAAGTCATCTAGGTAGCAGGCCTAATTTCTCTGGTTTAAATATCATTTGACAAATTGGCAAGACATTGCCATGAGGTAAAGTGTTTTCAGTAAAAATAACATGTTAAAATGAGCAGCAAAAACACTACTTAAAGTCTTGGTACAGGTAATCAAAACTACTTTTGAATACAGAGGAAAGAAAAACCATTGTCTAGTTTTGCATATCACTTTTGTATGGTCCTACCTTCACTACTCTTATTCAAGCATAGAAGCCACATCTTTAAAAATGTATTTAATAATTTGAAAGAGCTCAACATGGCAATGAAAATAATTCAAGAAATAAGTTGGTTTACTTACTAGAATTAACTGAGGGCTATAGACCAAGCACCCTCCTAAAGAGGTTCCTTGATGCTGGTGAGGAGCTCTTGATCTAAGGAATATGACAAGTCATTTCCTTCCTTGGATTGAATCTGATTGCCTCTTATTCCCCAGGTACTATATAACCACTACAGGTTTAGCTCTTTCTGTAAATATAATATATTAGTAGTAATCATAATAATAATAGACCTGACCATTCAACATTTAAGGTATGATTGGGTTAATTGTGGAGACAGTTAAGGATTCGAACACAATGGATAATGTTAACTCTGATTACGTCTTCAAGAAATCTAATCTGACAAATACAAGGAGTAAAAACTTCAGAAACTCCAAACTGCACACTGTTACAGACAGTAAATTCTTCCACCATAGAATAATGACCTTATGAAGCAGATTGAGTAATCTGCTTCATAAGCAGATTGACTAATCTGCTGCCTAGACCCAGCTGTAGTTAAAAGTTCTTCAGGAAGATTTTATCAGTAAAATAGAGGGAGACCTTGCACAAGCTGCAGCATTCGTACCTACTACCAGGCCACTAAAGAGGGTAGCAGACACGTAAATGCAGCTTAATAAATCATTTAGGATTGCATCATGTTAGTTATTTATTACATATATGAGATAGCAAAACTCTGAATTTGAGTGAGTGGAAATATTCTCAGATTTCAGATGAATATCTTCACAGCAAGAATTTTGAAGTGCATATAGCCTTTTATAGTTCCATCTTGGGTATATAGCTTTGACTTGTTTATGAACATAAAAAATATTTCATCTGGAAAGCTGCAGAAACTGTTGTGGACATCTGAACATATGAATAAAAGATTATCTATTATGAGAAATACAGTGAAGAAAATATCTTAGAATGCAGATAGAATATAAAATATTCGTAATAAATTTTCCAACACACTTAACTCAAAAACATATTTTGTTTTGCACTAGGAAGGTCTCTGCTCTTTCGGTATTTACTCCTTTGCACAGTGCATGTAAATTATTTTTTAATGGGTTTCTACATTTAACAATGCTTTTCTCTTTTAAGCTTAAAGAAAATTAGCATCACATTGTGAATATTGCCTTAATCTTAGCTCTGTATTATATTTATATTGGCTTGATGCTGTATTCATTTTCTATTACAATATATAATGGCATTTGGGTTTGCTTCATAGTGAAGTGTTTGTATTATTTATTATATTGAATGACTTAATAAACAAGTCATCTACAGAGCACTTTATATTTTTGTACAGTATATATATTTTTTGGACTTGGTGCAAATAACTCTATATGCTCAACAATAACTCACGTGCAGACAGAAACTCAGGAAATTGATTGATCTGTATATGTATTTTGATCCCCTTCTGGGATCATCTTCAGCAGAAGAGGATCCCAGAAGGGAATCAGGATATACACAGATCAGTCACTCTCCTGAGTTTCTGTGTACATGTGGGTTATTACTGATCACTGATAAATGTTCATTACACTTTAGTTATTCATAACTCTTTATGGTGAAGGAATTAACCTAATGTAGTCTTGAGATGTTAAAATGAAAGAGGAAATTCCAGGAAGCTTGAGGGTTACTGTTGTTCAGAAAAGTGTGGGTTTAAGTATGTTAATACTTGTACATGTTTGCAAGCAATTAATAAATTCAAAAATAAAAGTAGATGATGATTTGGTCCATCCTGGTCTAGGTATAGTATCTTGTTTTTGGGTAATGTGTTATGGCACTGCATTCACTAGATGAATATGTTTTATTAACTGATTAGAAAAAAAGAGTGGTTTTATGCTTTAAGTTAATAAGTGTCTTGAAAAGTCAATCAGTTTAATATACAGTATATACAGTACAATGTTCAGACCTTGAACCTGACTACTGTATTAAGTAAAAGTTTTAGTACACATGTAATAATACTGTGTGCAGCATTTTTTAAGTCTTCTAGAGTGACTATTTAATGTTGATATGTGGCTGATTCTGTTTAGAAAAAATTTTATCAGAGTAGATATGGTCAAACATGACTTTTATAATGTTACTTTTGCTCTCAGAATAGCATTGGCAGTAATTAACCTCTTTTAAAATTCCCTCTTTTGTTGATTACAAAATGTCATAAGTGGCTCTGACCTGCTCAACTCTCTTGAATTATTAAATTTTGTCAGTGCAGTTTTTTTCATTTATAATGCTCTTGCATTTCATTTCATCACCATCAATACCTAATTCCCTCTTTCAACAGCATAACTCTGTATTACAATTTTACTTTTTTAATTTACATTTGTGGTCTACTGATGTTATCAGTGAATTCCTAATTGAGTTTGTGCTTTTTTTGTGCATCTGAATGTTTCATCATTTCCATCATCATTAGCAAAAGGCATTAGCTTCAAATTATTAACGATAAATGCAGCAGCGAGGAGGCGGTTGGAGGCAGTGGAGATGTCCTGTCTAAGGGCAATGTGTGGTGTAAATATTATGCAGAAAATTCGGAGTGTGGAAATTAGGAGAAGGTGTGGAGTTAATAAAAGTGTTAGTCAGAGGGCTGAAGAGGGGTTGTTGAGGTGGTTTGGTCATTTAGAGAGAATGGATCAAAGTAGAATGACATGGAGAGCATTTAAATCTGTAGGAGAAGGAAGGCGGGGTAGGGGTCGTCCTCGAAAAGGTTGGAAGGAAGGGGTGAGGGAGGTTTTGTGGGCGAGGGGCTTGGACTTCCAGCAAGCATGCATGAGCGTGTTCGATAGGAGTGAATGGAGACGAATGGTATTTGGGACCTGACGATCTGTTGGAGTGTGAGCAAGGTAATATTTAGTGAAGGGATTCAGGGAAACCGGTTATTTTTATATAGCCGAACTTAAGTCCTGGAAATGGGAAGTACAATGCCTGCACTCTAAAGGAGGGGTTTTGGGATATTAGCAGTTTGGAGGGATATGTTGTGTATCTTTATACGTATATGCTTCTAAACTGCTGTGTTCTGAGCACCTCTGCAAAAACAGTGATTATGTGTGAGTGAGGTGAAAGTGTTGAATGATGATGAAAGTATTTTTTTGGGGGGGATTTTCTTTCTTTTTGGGTCACCCTGCCTCGGTGGGAGACGGCCGACTTGTTGAAAAAAAAAAAAATATCATTACATCTGCATGACAATATACAGTGCTTATTTCAAGGGATGTATTTAGGAGTTTAAATAACTAATTACATGTAACAGCAATTTTTATGTAACAAGGTGAATTAAAAGCATGTTTTACCACTAACATTTTTTTCTCTCATTACAACTGCCTGGTAATTCAAACCCACATCCTCATCACTACCTGTCATTTAATACTACAGTATTTTTAACGTTGGGTTATACAGTCATGCCAGTTGCATGTAATTTTTGTTTTGCTTTTGCCATATGGAAATAAGTCACTTTGACTTTTAATTTTTTTAAAATGCTGACCATCTCCCACCAAGGTAACATGATCAGAAAAAAAAGAAACACCTTCACCATCATTCACATTATCACTGTCTTGCCCGAGGCACTCAGATATGACATTTACACATATGTCTAAATATGATAATTATATTTTTGTGTACCTGTACCTAAATAAACTTAATTATTGTTAAAAACATTGGGGTCCAAAAGTTGTAGTCTCTCTTGTTCATAATTTACATTCTCATTAATAAGAATTCTCATTGGATAAAGCGTCTTCAAACTCCATGTGATTTTCATCGAAATTTAATATTTGGTCGAGTGATTATTGTACTGATCTAGTAACCCAACAGTCCTGAGTTACAATCTTTCTGGGTAGGCCATGCTACTTTCTGATTTGGTTTAGGATAGTTTTTGAAGTATAACCATATCTTAAATGGCTTGTAAAAAGTAGTTTGTAAATATTCAGAAAATAAAGATATATATACTTTCCTATTAGTGGTAGACTTAAATACTATTGGTCTTTGACCTACTGGTTCTGTATGTATTTACCAATTTGATTAAGAATTTAATTTTTTGCTGTACCAAAAGAATCTGGAATTAGTTACATATTTACTCTTTCTGTCTCTACCAGTCTATCATGGTAGCATCTATGTTCAGTACTTTGCATTTCACATGATATAAGGTAGTTCAAGCATATAGCCTTACTGTAAATTAGGGATGTTATATTTTTTTCACATTTTTAATACAGCAGTGTTTCATCTTGTGATAACTTTTGCCAGTCTTCTTTTCTTTGTTTCATTCTGACAGTCCTCCGTTGACAAAACAAAACTCTTAAGCTCATTTATTTTTTCAGTCTTAATTTGGATGATTTCAGGTTCCAGAACCTTATATTTCTTTTCAAGTTAGTCCTAGACCTTGCTTGTCTCAATTAAGTTGGTGCTTGAAGAGTTGTCATAATTGTTGAGAAGTTTATTAATCACTGCACAATGAGTATTAAAGAAAATTCAAGCACAGAATGCATAATATAGGTATGAATCGCATATGATTCCTCCCTTTTCATATTATTGTAGTCAGGATAGTCAGAAATTTCTTCTTGTATTGACATAAATGCACAGTCCTATGAACAGATATGCATGACACCAGAGCTGGCATTGGGGATTTTATAAAATGTGATCTGTGGCATCAGTGAGATCTAATACAGTCAAGTGGACTCGGTAAGAGCTTTAGTTTGCAATTTCTTTAATGCCTCTGGCAAAGTGGGTTAGCAGTCCTTGTAACTAGTCCTATTGCCCTCATGTCTATTATTATAAAGTGTTTCAGTATATTCTTAATAAAAAGATACTTTGCATATAAACATTGAAGCATTATAAATGTTTGATTATGAGCATGAGTTCCCTAATGCCCATTGTGCTGTTGATCACTTCAGTCATGTTTAGTTAACCTTTCCAAGCTGCTCTTTCAACTTTCATCTACAAAATAATTTTCAGTTTCTTTTGATAGTTGCTTGGCCCATCTTTCTCTAGTTATAGTTTTCTGTAAGGTTCCATTCTGTTCATTAGATCTTCCTCACTGTGTGTGTGTGTGTGTGTGTGTGTGTGTGTGTGTGCTCACACGTGTGCATGTGTGTGCGCATTATATAAATAAAAGTGTTATCCACTTTTCTGCTGATGCTCTACTTTGCATTCTTCTCTATACTTCAGCCATGGCCTTTTTGGGACTCTTCCTGAATTTTCTACTTTGCAGTTTATTTCTCTTATGTCTAATCATACTTTCTTCTCTCTGGGGCAACTGTATTTTATACAAACTTCGTATCGTTGATGGTAATCAATTTCCGAAAAGTTGATGAATAAGACATGCACAACACTCTGGTATCTTTATTACCAAAATGTTTCAGGTGAGAAGCAGGCTCCTCGGTTGAATACAGGAGAATATAACATTGGTACATTGGAAGTCTTTTGCACAGCCTACTTCCACTAGTGGGCCACACTCACCTGTGATGTCACTGCCAGCTGCAACACCTCACTTCTGTTACAGTAAATAAGATCTGGCTGCATGCCTCTACTGTAGGCCAAGGGATTGACCATCTCCTATCAAGGCTGAAAGACTGATCACCTCAAAATTAGTTCTAATGTCTCTAGAGTTATATCATGTTCACCTGTGTTTGACTGAAGAAACCTGCTGCACAGGCAAAACCTTTCAGCAATAAAGATACCCAAATGGTGCATGTTTCTATTGTTTATTCAAACTTGTGTTGGTTAACATGTTTTGTTAATAGCTTAGGCATTACATTAATCTCTGACTTTTGTTAGAATAGGTCCTCCAGAAACTTTCCTGTGATCTTTTTTCCTTCCAGTCTTTCAAGAAGTGATTGTAGAGTTATCTACTGGAGAATAGGCAATCTTCTTTGTTTTCACTAACCAGCTGCTTTGCATTTACTGAAACCTGTTCTATATTTACAGTATTATACATACATTTTTCTTGTCATGAGCTTTTACTATTACATACATATTATTGTCCTAAATTTATACTTCATTAAAAAGTGTCCCTCTTCACCACATCCATAAATACATCAACTACTATTCTCTCATAACCTTCTGAATAGCCTCACATTCCGCACCATCCTCATCACCACCTTTACAGCTACGGATGTGGGGTCGGCGGGTACTGACCATCGAGTACCGAAAGCCTGTGGCTGGAGAACGACCTTTTCGCCCGCCTTTTGTGGTAGTCCATCCCTGGAACACGCAGGAGATATGCTATATCAATGTAATTACTGAAACTTGTAAACCCCCATACATGCTTTACTTTACTCTTCATGCAGTATCTGATTATGCTTTTATTTATATGCTTTTAGTGTTGTAGTTTCCCCTCAGGTGTGTTCTGACATACTGCTCACTGTGGAGGCTGTTATTATATTTATTTGTGTTTTGTCCAACAGGTCTATGAAATACTATGCCATGCGCCTATTATGCTTTATGTTTAGCTAAATGTATATTTGAATGATTCGCTGTCTGCAGCCTGTTTTTATTGCAACGAAGAAGCTGCTTTTTGAAATCTTATATTTTATTGTGATCTTAAAACATTTATAGAAACCAATTACAGTACTTTCATCATATTTTATTTATTATAGATATATGATGATAACATCATTGTAGAAATATTTTTATTAATTTTCCTTCATTACACTGCAGTCATTGCAGATATATTATTGATTTTGCTAGAAAGAATATATTTTGCTATATAAATTCTGGGTACATGCTAAAATGTGTGTATCCATATTAAGAAAAATCTATTATTTCTCTCTCAATTACAGAATGCTCTGCATGCTTTGGCTTGTCCAGTTGTAATATCAAAATACGTAATACTTCAGTTTATGATTTTTTTTTTATAAAACCTAACTGCAAAAGAATCATAAAATTTTTGATATGGAATTATGTACTGTTATTTCTCTATATTTTTAATCGAGTTGATGTTTGCTCCATGGAACAAACCATGGCCTTAAGGATGTAGCATAATATTTTTCTGTTGCTTTAACAGTTAGCTCTTCCTGGGGAGAGAACTCTAAACTTTGAAGATGGTGAAACAAGACTCAACATAACAAATCAGCTGCATGTCATCCCTGGCACTGAAGGTCATGTCACCATTGGTTCCTCACTACTTTTTGAGGCTCCACTTTACTGGCAACTGCCTCGAGAATTCATGAGAGACAAGGTTGGTTTAAACACTGCTTTATAACCTTTTTTATTTTTTTTTTCCAGCAGTAAGTTTAGAATAAGGTAAACAAAAGCTGGAAAATTTTTTTTGGAGTCATTGTTTAGGGTACCAAAGGATTATTATTATAATCATAACTAAGCACTAAACCTATGAGGGTCATACAACAGGGTACTAAAGAAGATTGTCATCATTGGGGCTCTAAAAAAATAAATTAAGCGATTTTAAGCTTGTTTGCATATTATATTTGTGGGAATGTGCAAAAGCTGTAGAGGTCATACAGTGTCTAATAAATGGAAGGTAATTGGGTTTGATCGAAGGAAGGGGAGCATAGCTCAAATTCTCTAGACCAAAAGCCCTTTATCAGAATCATAGCACCCTTGACGGGTACAGAAGTAATGAGACATACTGTAAAACATTAATATTGGGAAAACAACAGGTGGTTATCAAGTAACTAGAGGAATGTATAGTAATAGAAGTATTGGGTATGTTTAACTAGAATTTTTAACCAGATATGGAGTGAAACAAAATGGAAAAGGCTCAAGAAATTGATTAATAATTTTTTTTCAGGTCAGATCATACAATGGTTATTTAAGATTCAAAGTTCACAGTGAAGGAGACAAGAATTTTCCAGAGCACATTCTTCAGTCTTACCCGCTGGTTTCACTGCAGGGCAACTGGAAGCTTGTGTTGGAATATTACTCCCCTGCCATATCTCCTGATGGACAATATGAAGTCAAGTTGGTTATTGTTGATAGTTTTTGTAGTGTATTTATTATATATACATAATATCTTATCTTATTTAGATAAGGCTAAGGAGGTCTTTGTGGCATTTATGGATTTGGAAAAGGCGTATGACAGGGTGGATAGGGGGGCAATGTGGCAGGTGTATGGTGTAGGAGGTAGGTTACTGAAAGCAGTGAAGAGTTTTGCGAGGATAGTGAGGCTCAAGTTAGAGTATTTGGGAAAGAGGGAAATTATTTCCCAGTAAAAGTAGGCCTTAGACAAGGATGTGTGATGTCACCGTGGTTGTTTAATATATTTATAGATGGGGTTGTAAGAGAAGTAAATGCAAGGGTCTTGGCAAGAGGCGTGGAGTTAAAAGATAAAGAATCACACATAAAGTGGGAGTTGTCACAGTTGCTCTTTGCTGATGACACTGTGCTCTTGGGAGATTATGAAGAGAAGTTGCAGAGATTGGTGGATGAATTTGGAAGGGTATGCAAAAGAAGAAAATTAAAAGTGAATACAGGAAAGAGTAAGGTTATGAGGATAACAAAAAGATTAGGTGATGAAAGATTGGATATCAGATTGGAGGGAGAGAGTATGGAGGTGGTGAATGTATTCAGATATTTGGGAGTGGACGTGTCAGCGGATGGGTCTATGAAAGATGAGGTGAATCATAGAATAGATGAGGGGAAAAGGGTGAGTGGTGCACTTAGGAGTCTGTGGAGACAAAGAACTTTGTCCTTGGAGGCAAAGAGGGGAATGTATGAGAGTATAGTTTTACCAACGCTCTTATATGGGTGTGAAGCATGGGTGATGAATGTTGCAGCGAGGAGAAGGCTGGAGGCAGTGGAGATGTCATGTATGAGAGTATAGTTTTACCAACGCTCTTATATGGGTGTGAAGCATGGGTGATGAATGTTGCAGCAAGGAGAAGGCTGGAGGCAGTGGAGATGTCATGTCTGAGGGCAATGTGTGGTGTGAATATAATGCAGAGAATTCGTAGTTTGGAATTTAGGAGGAGGTGCGGGATTACCAAAACTGTTGTCCAGAGGGCTGAGGAAGGGTTGTTGAGGTGGTTCGGACATGTAGAGAGAATGGAGCGAAACAGAATGACTTCAAGAGTGTATCAGTCTGTAGTGGAAGGAAGGCGGGGTAGGGGTCAGCCTAGGAAAGGTTGGAGGGAGGGGGTAAAGGAGGTTTTGTGTGCGAGGGGCTTGGACTTCCAGCAGGCATGCATGAGCGTGTTTGATAGGAGTGAATGGAGACAAATGGTTTTTAATACTTGATGTGCTGTTGGAGTGTGAGCAAAGTAACATTTATGAAGGGGCTCAGGGAAACCGGCAGGCCGGACTTGAGTCCTGGAGATGGGAAGTACAGTGCCTGCACTCTGAAGGAGGGGGTATTAATGTTGCAGTTTAAAAACTGTAGTGTAAAGCACCCTTCTGGCAAGACAGTGATGGAGTGAATGATGGTGAAAGTTTTTCTTTTTCGGGCCACCCTGCCCTGGTGGGAATCGGCCAGTGTGATAATAAAAAAAAATATATCTTATGCTTATGGGAGATTCTAAAGAAAAATTGCAAAGGTTAGTGGATGAGTTTGGGAGTGTGTGTAAAGGTAGAAAGTTGAAAGTGAACATAGAAAAGAGTAAGGTGATGAGGGTATCAAATGATTTAGATAAAGAAAAATTGGATATTAAATTGGGGAGGAGGAGTATGGAAGAAGTGAAAGTTTTCAGATACTTGGGAGTTGACTTGTCGGCAGATGGATTTATGAAGGATGAGGTTAATCATAGAATTGATGAGGGGAAAAAAGGTGAGTGGTGCATTGAGGTATATGTGGAGACAAAAAACGTTATCTATGGAGGCAAAGAAGGGAATGTATGAAAGTATAGTAGTACCAACACTCTTATATGGGTGTGAAGCTTGGGTTGTGAATGCAGCAGCAAGCAGGTGGTTGGAGGCAGTGGAGATGTCCTGTCTAAGGGCAATGTGTAGTGTAAATATTATGCAGAAAATTCGGAGTGTGGAAATTAGGAGAAGGTGTGGAGTTAATAAAAATATTAGTCAGAGGGCTGAAGAGGGATTGTTGAGGTGGTTTGGTCATTTAGAGAGAATGGATCAAAGTAGAATGACGTGGAGAGTGTATAAATCTGTAGGGGAAGGAAGGCGGGGTAGGGGTCGTCCTCAAAAATGTTGAAAGGAAGGGGTAAAGGAGGTTTTGTGGGCGAGGGGCTTGGACTTCCAGCAAGCTTGCATGAGCGTGTTCGATAGGAGTGAATGGAGACGAATGGTATTTGGGACCTGACGATCTGTTGGAGTGTGAGCAGGGTAATATTTAGTGAAGGGATTCAGGGAAACCGGTTATTTTTGTATAGCCAGACTTGAGTCCTGGAAATGGGAAGTACAATGCCTGCACCCTAAAGGAGGGGTTCGGGATATTAGCAGTTTGGAGGGATATGTTGTGTACGTATCTTTATACATATATGCTTCTAAACTGTTGTGTTCTGAGCACCTCTGCAAAAATAGTGATTATGTGTGAGTGAGGTGAAAGTGTTGAATGATGATGAAAGTATTTTCTTTTTGGGGATTTTCTATCTTTTTAGGTCACCCTGCCTCAGTGGGAGACTGTTGACTTGTTAAAAAAAAAAAAAAATCTTTAAGGACTGGTTGTCTTTGCATCATGCATTAGAACAAACTGCCAAGATAAAAGGAAGTGCTTCATATCTCTTGTCTATATATTTGATGACTTACCTCTCAAAAATCTCTATTCTTGTGCATTCCACAATTTTTTAGGTACCTTCATGTACCATCATATTCACAAAGTAGTAAACCAGTGTAAGCATATCGTGTATTAAAAAATCTGAAGTTGGATTTGAAACATTCCTCGTGCTGGTCTGGTTATCATTTAGTTGTACTTGACACAAAGAATGCTTGGAAATGAACATGCATAAATGATAGAATAGGAAGGGACACAAAAAAATAGAAAGGGTGAAAAAAGTGGAAAAAATGTGAGGCATTATTTACTGAAAAGGAAATGCAGTATGGAGGTGAAGAAAATGGAGGGGAAGTGGAACAGAATTCTTCCTCTGTAAGCCATGCGTGTTGTAAGAGGCGACTAAAATGCCGGGTGCAAGGGGCTAGTAACCCCTTCTGTATAAATTACTAAATTTAAAAAGAGAAACTTTCGTTTTTCTTTTTGGGCCACCCTGCCTTGGTGGGATGCGGCCGGTTTGTTGAAAAAAAAAGTACATGTACAGGCACAGTACTCATAAATCATAGCAGGTTCAGATACTGTACTGTGTGATGTAATTTTTACTTGGGGGTTTTGCTCTTGTGCAATTTTTTTTTTTTTTTACCTCATGGGTTTTGTCCTGCCAAGGTAGGGTGGCCAAAAGAAACACATTTATTATTATTATTATTTCAATCACTATCTTGCCAGAAGTGTGATGACATCACATTTCAGATTACCCTTTGACTGTGACATCCCAGTCTCTCCTTCAGGGTGAATGCATTGTCTTTCTCATTTCAAGGACTCAAATCTGGCTAATCAGTTTCCCCTGAATCCCTTCATATTTTTAAGAAATGCTGTATGCCAAACCTCAGGATTATTAAGAGCTACACCAGTAATTGGAAAGTATGTACCACATGTGTTAGCAGACAAAGGGGAAACAAAAGAGAGACAAACTGGAACCTGCAGTCTCAAGTGGATGTTCTGTTGGCAGGATTCATGAGGTTACCTAATGAATGAAAGATTAACAGTCATGTGTCATTAGTGAGGAGCTAGTTGCTGAATAAAAAGCAAAACTTGTCCTTTAAGTCTTTTTGTGAAATATGTAAATAGGAGGCATAAAAACACCTTTAAATTCATTTCCATTTTAAAAATATTAATAATTATGAAATATAACTTCAGGTTACGTGAGGATTATTGGCGGTTGAAAAACAAACCACAGAAAGTTACTCGTGAAATGATGATGATTGCTTTACAAAACATCCAGCACATTCTCATACGTGCAACTGATGCTGCAGATGCAACATCTGCATCGTAAGTATTAAGTTAGTGATGCATTACCTGTAATTATATCTTTTCCCCCTAGCATTTGTTTTATGTATTCCATTAATGAGGCTATTATTTTTCACAGTTTTTTTTTTTTCTTCATTTTAAAACACTCAGACTAATTTTTGTTCCTCTTCTTAACACCTCCAGTATTACTAGTATTCTTTTTTATGCTGTGGTTAATATCCAGAGACAAGATAGGGTGATAAAAAGAAAAAAAAAGTGAACATAAAAAATAGGTGGTTGGAGAGTGAGATGGCAGGGTGAAATTCAAACTATTGAAACTGAATAGATAGAAATGGAAAAATAAAGGTAGTCACTGTGATAGGTGGTGAACCTTCAGAGTGAAAGTGGAAATAGATACAAAAAATTAAACACAAACAGGTAGAAGGTGGAGGTGTACTATATATCATATTTCAGGGCAGTCTCCATAGTATAAAAAATACATGAATATGAAAAGAGTAATATACATTTATAGGTACTAAGGGCACCTGGGTTAAAATTACCTATATGATTACATTTTTCCTATATAATTAATGGCATATGTATTATTACCTCGAGAAAGCTGTGTAAAAACTTTTTTGATAATACTGTTGTATCAGTACTTTTGGACTCATTTTAATTAAATTATTCTGTTAAGTACTTCATTAATTATATTTAATTTTGAGATTAAAGTTTGTAATGCATTCCTTACTAATATGAAAAACTTCTCTAAATTACTGATGTGTAGTCTTCAAGATGTGACTCTGGATGTTGCTGCAGAAGGTTTTCCTGTTTCATCTCGCGTAGCCTTGGGTGTGGAACAGTGCATCTGCCCGGCAAACTATTCAGGCACTTCTTGTCAAAATCCTAATATTGGTATGTATTTTATTAGGCTTTCCAAATATTCAGTATTGGTATTTACATCTTAATTGTATCATCAGTTTAATTTATTTTGTATTTTTCATTCCATTATCCATTACCCTCTCTTTCTGTGCTGTTCATCCTTCTGTTTTTGTTTTACATTATTCTTACCTCATTATTCTCTCTACTTATTCCTGTCACTTCAAGCCGTGTGTACAAGCCGTGTGTACAAGCCGTGTGTACAATTGTAATACTATTTATGTATTATTCACCCTTTCAAATTTAACTGCATTATATATACTGAATTGCTTGATTAAGATAAAAGATAAAGATTTTATTTCTTTGCAAGGTTACAGTGTGTATTTACAATTTTGATTTTGGGTCACCCTGCCTCGGTGGGAGATGGCCGACTTGTTGAAAAAAAAAAAAAAAGTACAAAGAAAGCCACTATCATGCCGAGGCATTTTGGGCAGACTTATCCTAGTACGTAATAACTACTTAAGTCTAGACTTGATAAGAGTGGTTAACTTTTTAATAAATCTTTATTTTATCTTAATACTAATGTGAGGCAGTCAAGGTGGAGGTTTATAAGAATAATAATCTTGAAGTTGATGTACAAAATGGTTACTCTACATTTTTATAATTTAAGAAAATGAAATGATAGAAAAATTATATTATATTTTAACTAATGAAAGAAAGATAAAGCCATTGTAATCAGACAGGTATGGGGTATAAGGAATGGGCTTTGAACATTGCAGAAAAAAGGAGATTAGAGAGGCAGTGGAAATGTCATGTTTGAGAGTAATATTTGGTGTGAATGTTACGCAGAAGGTTAGGAACATAGAAATTAAGAGGCAGTATGGGGTTACCAAGGGCATAATTCAGAGGGCTAAGGAGGAGCTGTTGAGGTGGTTGGGATATATGGAGAGGATGAAAAGGACCACCGGTGGCCTGGTGGCTAAAGCTCTCGCTTCACACACGGAGGGCCCGGGTTCGATTCCCGGCGGGTGGAAACATTTCGACGCATTTCCTTACACCTGTTGTCCTGTTCACCTGGCAGCAAATAGGTACCTGGGTGTTAGTTGACTGATGTGGGTCACATCCTGGGGGACAAGATTAAGGACCCCAATGGAAATAAGTTAGACAGTCCTCGATGACACACTGACTTTCTAGGGTTATCCTGGGTGGCTAACCCTCCAGGGTTAAAAATCCGAAGAAAATCTTATCTTATACGAGGGTGTATAAATCTGGGATGGAAGGTTGGAGGGGTAGAGGTCATTGTAGGAATGATTGGTGATGAGTTTTAGGGACTTTAGCATTCAACAGGCTTGTGTGAGTGTGTTAAATAGAAGTGAATAGAGACAAGTAAAGTAAAGTAAAATTTATTTGTAAAGGTTACAATGTGTAATTACAATTTTGATTTGCTAAAGTAAAAGATAGCCACTATCAGGCTGGGGCATTTTGGGCAGACTAATCCTAATATATAGTAACTAATTAAAACTAGATAAGATAATAGTAAGATAATAGATAGGAGTGAATGGAGACGAATGATACTTGGGACCTGACGATCTGTTGGAGTGTGAGCAGGGTAATATTTAGTGAAGGGATTCAGGGAAACCGGTTATTTTCATATAGTAGGACTTGAGTCCTGGAAATGGGAAGTACAATGCCTGCACTTTAAAGGAGGGGTTTGGGATATTGGCAGTTTGGAGGGGTATGTTGTGTATCTTTATACGTATATGCTTCTAAACTGTTGTATTCTGAGCACCTCTGCAAAAGCAGTGATAATGTGTGAGTGTGGTGAAAGTGTTGAATGATGATGAAAGTATTTTCTTTTTGGGGATTTTCTTTCTTTTTTGGGTCACCCTGCCGTGGTGGGAGACGGCCGACTTGCTGAAAAAAAAAAAAAAATTAAAACTAGACAAGAAGTAGTGGTTAACTGTTTACAATCTTATTTAAACTTAATACACATGTGAGATAGTAAGGTGGAGTAGGGTTCGGTAAAATAATCTTGAAATTGCACACAAAATCTGCCTTACAAGTAATGGTTCAGGTGGTAATATTTTATGGATTGGCAGAATTAAAAGCCTAGAGATCACATAATAAAACTAATTAGCAGATGTTTTGGTTGATTTGGTTAATATTGAGAGATAAGATGATTTTGGATGTACTGTTGGAGTGTGAGCAAAATAACTTTTATGAAGGGATTCAAGGAAACCAGTTAGCTGGACTTAGTCATGGAGGAAGGAAAGTCAGTGCCTGCACTCTGAAGCTTGGGTTGGGGATGGTGCAATGAGATGGTAATCTGAATTGTGATATCAGCACACTTTTGGCAACACAACAATTGAAGAATGATGGTGCATGTGTTCTTTTTGGGTCACCCTGCCTTGGCAGGAGACATCTGTTGAAGTAAAAAGAAATTATTTATTTTATTTATTTTCTGACTTTTTCTTTTTACATATTTTCAGGGTATTATCGCTGGCATAAAAATAACTACATTCAGTCCACTATTATTATTGATTTGGTGGGAGAGTCACGCCAGTGCCGATGTAATTTACGATCTGAGACTTGTGATGCAGAAACTGGCATATGCAAGGTAAAATGCTCTCATCATTTGATCATTTCTCCTTTTCTTTCTGTACATATGATTTTTTAAAATCATGTGTTTACTTAGGTACACAAATACATTAAAATTATGATTGTATAGGTTTATAAAATAATAGGAGAAAATCTATGGGGAAAATTTATTTTCATCAGGCCACTAGAAAAAAAAAATACTTTTTCACAAAGCATTATAGATAACAACAATGAGATCCAAGAGAAGGTTGTGTAAGTTACATCTATGGAACAGTTTTTTTTAATGACACACTCAGTATTAAAGACAGGGTACACAAGCATAGCTCTTCTCTAATTATAAATGAGTAATCACAAGTCAATAATCATATTTTAGATGTTAATGTGATGGGCTAATTCAGAGGTCAAAGTTAAGAGGTTAGTTCCAAGACCTGAGCTCCTCTGCCAAGACAGTGATAGTGTAAATGATAGTGAAAGTGTTTCTTTTTCGGGCCGCCCTGCCTCAGTGGGTAATGGGCAGCATGTAAAAAAAAATGTACTGATATACATGCATGCAAAAAGAAATGTATTTTTAACACTGGCCATCTTCCACTGAGGCAGCATGACCCAAAAAAGAAGAAATAATAATTTTCCTTTTTTACCTTTAGTAATTTATACAGGAGAAAGAGTTACTAGTCCCTTGCTATTGGCATTTTTTGTTGCCTTTTATGACATTGCATGGCTTATGGAGGAAGGATTCTTTTCCACTTCCCCATGGAGAAATATATGTATGTATGTATGTACTAAATGCAAGATTTCAGGTACACCTTGCTACTTCTACTTACACTTAGGTCACACTACACATACTAGCATATATATACGCACCCCTCTGGGTTTTCTCCTATTTTCTTACTAATTCTTGTTCTTGTTTATTTCCTTTTGTCTCCATGGGGAAGTGGAACAGAATTCTTCCTCCATAAGCCATGCATGTCGTAAGAGGTGACTAAAATGCCGGGAGCAAGGGGCTGGTAACCCCTTCTCCTGTATACATTACTAAAGTTAAAAAGAGAAACTTTCATTATTTTTTAGATCTCCTTGCATTGGTGGGATGCGGCTGATGTATTAAAAAAAAAATGTACTATATATGAAAGAATTTAGCCCCCCAAAAAATGAATCCATGAACTCAGCCTTATGTCACTAGTGTAGCAAAGAACAAGGGAGGATGTGATCGTAACATAAAATACTTAAGAGTCATAGACTTTTCACAGTAGGGATATAGCAAGGAGAGGGTTGGAAATTACACCTCCATATAAGCCACAAGAATATTAAACATTTCCAGTGTAATAGTGGTAAAGACATGGAATGAACTGAACAATGACACAGGAAGCATACTCCATATATGAGTTCATAAGGGTTATTTCGTGTCAGATGATCAAAAATTAAGAGGCATGACCAGGAGCTAGAGTGCCTTGTTCCAGACTTAAATAGGTAATTACACACAAGGTTTAGACTAGTGTAATTCATCGCATTCATCGGCCAATATAATAACTGTTAATTCTCGTCTTTTTCAGAACTGCCGAGACAATACAATGGGAGATCATTGTGAAGTTTGTGTGACTGGTTACTATGGTAACCCTGCTGTGGGACAATGCAAGCCCTGTGCATGCCCTTCACTGGAACAAAATTTTGCCGAGACATGCCAAGCTGATCGATATGCTGGTTACATATGTCACTGCCGGACTGGCTACAATGGTGATAAGTGCGATAGGTAAAATTAAAGGATATACTGTTTTTTAAGTGTTACTCTCAATTTAAAGTATTTTTAATTAAATAAACTGGGCCAGTTGTGCAAGCCCCACAGAAAGTTGGTTTATATTCCAAGCAAGTAAAACTTGATTTTCATTATTTTTGCAAATACAGCGGACCCTCGACTTACGATATTAATCCATTCCAGAGAGCTCATCATTAGACGAAATTATTGTAAGTTGAATTAATTTTCCCCATAAGAAATAATGGAAATCCTATTAATCCATTCCAGACACCCAAAAGTATGAAAAAAAATTTTTACCACATAAAATATACATTTTCCTACACACAAAAAGAAGGATACATGCACAGTATACTATACTATATGAAGAATAAATGACACACCTTTATTGAAGATGTAGTGATGAGACACTGTTTTTCTTGAACACACTGGGATTTTCAGAGTGATACATGAGTAAAGGCTTCAGTTTGCAATCCCCACTAGCATTACAAGAAAACATAAGAGTTAGCCTGTCTTTCATAGGCTTATGTCCTGGGAGTGCCTTTTCCTTCTGAGTAATGTAGGTCCTGTTTGGCATTTTCTTCCAGAACAGGCCTGTTTCGTCACAATTAAACACTTGTTGGAGTTGGAATTTTTCAGCTTCACCATGCCTTATCACATTGTGTATGCCACTATTATTCTTAAATCTCTCAAACCAACCTTTGCTGGCCTTAAATTCACCAGTATGAGCACTAGTTCCAGGCATTTTTTCCTGGTCACCTGGGTGTTAGTTGAGTAGTGTGTGTCGCATCCTGGGGGAGAAGATTAAGGACCCCAATGAAAATAAATTAGACAGTCCTCGATGACACACTGACTTTCTTGGGTTATTCTGGGTGGCTAACCCTCTGGGGCTAATTGTTTCTCGGTAATTGTTTCTCGTTAAGTCACGCCAACAACAGTCTCCCCACATCTTCAAGTAGTACAGCTGACGGTGGTGCAGCAACAGCTGACGGTGGTGCAGCAGCAGCTGACCGTGGTACAGCAGCAGCAGCAGCTGACTATGGTACAGCAGCAGCAGCAGCTGACCATGGTACAGCAGCAGCTGACCGTGGTGCAGCAACAGCAGACGGTGGTGCAGCAACAGCTGACCGTGGTACAGCAGCAGCAGCAGCTGACCATGGTACAGCAGCAGCAGCAGCTGACCATGGTACAGCAGCAGCAGCTGACTGTGGTACAGCAGCAACAGCTGACCGTGGTACAGCAGCAGCTGACCGTGGTGCAGTAACAGCTGATGGTGGTGCAGCAACAGCTGACAGTGGTGCAGCAGCAGCTGACTGTGGTACGATAGTATTTCTCACCCTTTTTACCACAGGGTTGGCACTAGAAGCTTTCTTTGGGCCCATAGTGGCTTATTTAGCAGTTACGAGTACTAAAAACAATGGAGTAATACAAAATTTATCGAATGTGTGTTTGCAACCATCTGCCCTAGCTTGTAAACAATGGCACTAGCTGAGCTGAGGCGCTCTGGCCAGACGGACAGCGTTCGGGACGAATGATGCAAGTCGAGTTTTTTTTCATAGGTTGGGGAAATTTTTTTACACTGAAACGCTTCCTAAGTCGATTTATCGTAAGATGAGGCCTTCGTAAGTCGGGGGTTCACTGTATATACAGTAATCTGCAGGGTGTGAATAAACAATAAAAAATCTCTTCATTAGATGTGACTATGGTTATTATGGTCGGCCATCACAGCATGGTGGGTATTGTCAGCCTTGTGGTTGTGATCCATTTGGTAGTGTTCGTGAAGGATGTGACCAAGATGGAGTATGCACTTGCAAAAAAGGAATCACTGGACGAGATTGCTCTCAGTGTGCACCAAGGCATGTCACCTCTGCAACAGGCTGCAAGTGTAAGTAAAGTGACACTGAAATTCTGAGGCATTATATTCTGAATAAAAAAATCATCATAATTCCAAAAGGCATCATTTAATTTGAGAAATTTACTATGGAAAAAAATAAAATCCATAAATTTTTGTGAATTTATATCATGAAATACCTGTGATAACTTTTTGGGTAGTATCAAACTCTGGTAATATTGTATTCCAATGTCTAGTAAGAGTGATTTTTATAGTGTTCCTCCAAGAACAAAAGTCAAAATACTGTGCCTGGAACATTTCACAGCTAGTCCACAAATTGAAGATAAATCTTTTGGTGATATTCTGGTCTGTCTTGGACTTGGTTTTAGTCCAGAATGGTTTACAAGGCTTTAAAGATTTATCTTTAATTTGTGGGTTAGTTGTGAACAGATGGTAAGTATATTACAATATGGTAAGTATAATATTACAATAGCAAACTTAACCCTTCTTCCCTAATATGCAGAATCTAATACAAAATGGAAGTTGCCACAGTTGCTTTATGCTAATGACACTGAATAAAAGTTGCAAAGGCTGGTAGACAAATTTGGAAGGGTATGAAAAGAAGGAAATTAAAAGTGAACATAAGGGGGGTGTTAATGTTGCAGTTTAAAAACTGTAGTGTAAAGCACCCTTCTGGCAAGACAGTGATGGAGTGAATGATGGTGAAAGTTTTTCTTTTTTGGGCCACCCTGCCTTGGTGGGAATCGGCCAGTGTGATAATAAAAAAAAAAATAAGAAAGAGCAAGATGGTGAGGGGTAGCAAATGATTTAAGTAATGAAAGATTGGATATCAGATTGGAGGGAGGGAGTATGGAGGAAGTGAATGTGTTCAGATGTTTGGGAGTGTATTTGTCAGTGGATGGTAAATGAAAGATAAGGTAGACCATAGAATTGATGAGGAAAAAGCAGGTGGTGTATTGAGACATCTTTGGAGAGAGAACATTATCCATGGAGGCAAAAAGGGAAATGTATGAGAGTATAGTGGTACCAATTCTCTTATATGGGTTTGAAGCATGAGTTGTGAATGTTGCAGTGAGGTGGAGGCTGGAGACAGTGAAGATCTTGTGTCTGAGGGCAATGTGTGGTGTAAATATTATGCAGAGAATTCATAGTTTGGTGATTAGGAGGTGTGGGGTTACTAAGAGTATTATCCAGAGGGCTGAGGAAAGGTTGTTGATGTGGTTTGGACATTTAGAGGGGATGGAGTAAAATAGGATGACTTGGAGGGTGTATAAATCCATAGTGGAGGGAAGGCAGGGTAGGGGTCACCCTAGGAAAGGTTGGAGGGAGGGGGTAAAGTAGGTTTTGTGTGTTTAGGGACTTGAACATCTAGCAGGAGAGAGTGTGAGTGTGTGAGTGTGAGAGTGTGAGAGTGTGAGAGTGTGAGAGTGTGAGAGTGTGAGAGTGTGAGAGTGTGAGTGTGTGAGAGTGTGAGTGTGTGAGTGTGTGAGTGTGAGAGTGTGAGAGTGTGAGAGTGTGAGAGTGTGAGTGTGAGTGTGTGTGTGTGTGTGTGTGTGTGTGTGTGTGTGTGTGTGTGTGTGTGTGTGTGTGTGTGTGTGTGTGTGTGTACTCACCTAATTGTACTCACCTAATTGTGGTTGCAGGGGTCGAGACTCAGCTCCTGGCCCCGCCTCTTCACTGATCGCTACTGGATCCTCTCTCTCTCTGCTTCCTGAGCTTTGTCATACCTCTTCTTAAAACTATGTATGGTTCCTGCCTCCACTACTTCACTTGCTAGGCTATTCCACTTGCTGACAACTCTATGACTGAAGAAATACTTCCTAACGTCCCTGTGACTCGTCTGAGTCTTCAGCTTCCAGTTGTGACCCCTTGTCCCTGTGTCCCCTCTCTGGAACATCCTATCTCTGTCCACCTTGTCTATTCCCCACAGTATCTTGTATGTCATTATCATGTCTCCCCTGACCCTTCTGTCCTCCAGTGTCGTCAGTCCGATTTCCCTTAACCTTTCCTCGTACGACATTCCCTTGAGCTCTGGGACTAGCCTTGTTGCAAACCTTTGTACTTTCTCTAACTTCTTGACGTGCTTGACCAGGTGTGGTTCCAGACTGGTGCTGCATACTCCAGTATGGGCCTAACATACACAGTGTACAGTGTCTTGAACGATTCCTTATTAAGGTATCGGAACTCTATTCTCAGGTTTGCCAGGCACCCGTATGCTGCAGCGGTTATTTGGTTGATGTGTGCCTCCGGTGATGTGCTCGGTGTTATGGTCACCCCAAGGTCTTTCTCCCTGAGTGAGGTCTGTAGTCTTTGTCCACCTAGCCTATACTCTGTCTGCGGTCTTCTTTGCCCCTCCCCAATCTTCATGACTTTGCATTTGGCTGGATTGAATTCGAGAAGCCAGTTGCTGGACCACATGTCCAGCCTGTCCAGGTCTCTTTGCAGTCCTGCCTCATCCTCGTCCGATTTAATTCTTCTCATCAACTTCACGTCATCTGCGAACAGGGACACCTCAGAGTCTATTCCTTCCATCATGTCGTTCACATATATCAAAAATAGCACTGGTCCTAGAACTGACCCCTGTGGGACCCCGCTCGTAACAGGCGCTTACTGTGATACCTCTTCACGTACCATGACTCGTTGCTGCCTCCCTGTGTGTGTGTGTGTGTGTGTGTGTGTGTGTGTGTGTGTGTGTGTGTGTGTGTGTGTGTGTGTGTTTGTTTTAGGAGTAAGTGGAGGCAAATGGTTTTTGGGACTTGACAGGCTGTTGGAGTGTGAGTATGGTAACATTTTGTGAAAGGATTTAGGGAGAGCATTTAGCCAGACTTAAACTCCTGAAAGTGGGAAATACAGTGCCAGCACTCTGAAGGAAAGGTGAGAATATTTGCAGTTTGGAGGGGTATCTAAACTATAGTATAAGCATGCCTCTGGCAAGACAGTGATAAGTGTGAATGATGGTGAAAGTGTTTCTTTGTTTGGGTCACCCTACCTTAGTGGGAGATGGCCAGTGTGTTAAAAAAAAAAAAGATTGCTGATACTATATGGAAGAATTTTTGTGTTATTGAACATAATGAAAACAATTTTTTTCATGTGTTTTTTATTTACCAAAAGTTACATAAACATATTCTTTGTATTGCAGCATGTGAAGATGGCTGTGTCAACATACTGCTTGATGAAGTAGAAGAAATGATTAGAGCTGCTACTTCCATTAATGTAACAGGCTATATACCAGCCCCTTGGCCCATGGTCAGAGAGGTATTATAGATGATTTGCTGCAATTTTTTTTTTTTTTTTTTGCTAGGTATCTGGATACCCACAACTTAGGAATTGTAATACAGGTTAAACTAATAGTTTATGGAGAGTAAAATTATGAGTAAATCTAAATAAGAGAAATGTATATTCAGTGGGCTTCTACAAGCAAGGGATGGGATTCCATGATTCCCCTTCTCTGCATATTACCACTTTGTATATTTTTATGGAATGTGTACTGTTCATAATTTTCTTCATGAAAAAGATGATGCACATTTTTTCATATTGCATTAATTATTTGATTATGTGGAGAAGTGACTTGTGACTGTTGTTGAGAAAATTTTTATCTTGCTACAACACCTTTGGGTTTACTGCTTGACTTATTATTATTATTTTTTTATTCAACAAACCGGCCATATCCCACCAAGGCAGGGTGGCCCAAAAAGAAAAACGAAAGTCTCTCTTTTTAAATTTAGTAGTTTATACAGGAGAAGGGGTTACTAGCCCCTTGCTCCTGGCATTTCAGTCGCCTCTTACAACACGCATGGCTTACAGAGTAAGAATTCTGTTCCACTTCCCCATGGAGGTAAGAGGAAATAAACAAGAACAAGAACTAGTAAGAAAATAGAAGAAAACCCAGAGAGGTGTGTATATACTTGTACATGCTTATTTACTTGTATATGCTTGTACATGTATGAGTAGTGTGACTTAAGTATAAGTAGAAGTAGCAAGACGTACCTGAAACCTTGCATGTTCATGAGACAGAAAAATGGACACCAGCAATCCTACCAACATGTAGAAAAATGGACACCAGCAATCCTACCATCATGTAAAACAATTACAGGCTTTCGTTTTACACTCGCTTGGCAGGACGGTAGTACCTCCCTGAGTGGTTGCTGTCTACCAGCTTACTACCTATATTATTATTGTTGTTGTTATTAATTACTGTTGTTATTATTTATGGGAAACATGAGGTAATAAGGTTTGATCTAAGGGAAATTCAGGGTACCTTGAAAGGACTACATATATAAAGTAGTTGCCTTTTACATACATTCAGTATATGTATAAATTGGCTTTAGAATATAAACATTTTGAATATGCTTTACATTTTTTTTGGTATGATATCTGATTAACTCTTTATTTGATTTTTTCAGATCCAGAATATTACCAGAATCCTGAGGTATCAGCTAGACAGATATCACAGCAATGTTGATGCCTCTCAAGAACTTGTGGTTGAATTTGATTTAGACTATTATGCCAGAGATCTCTTGCGCAAGGTAAGTGCTTGATGTTAATTGAAAAGGATAATTATGAAAAACCAGAAAGAAACTTGTCATTGAATTTTGAAATATCTTTCTAAAAGTCAAATCCCTTATTATTCGCCAGAAATTCATAAACTTGAAGTTTGTATACTCTTGCAACGACTTGTCAGAGGAGAGGCCTGCTTAATGTGTATGTAGAAGCTGGTTATAATGGGTGCTCATTTATTTACATAAAAATAGCACATAATGTGAGAGTTTAGTACATTCCTTTTCATGTGTTTCATGACTTTCACAAATTTTAATCATTCTAAAGGAAACTAGTTCTTTTTGTGGCCAACATTTCTTGATAATACAATGATTTACTTGGAATCCTACTGTTGCTTTCATTTTTGTGTATATCATATGTTCTATGTGTTGCACTGTGATGCAGAAATTCCTTGTCTGCCCAGCACTTTAAAAATACTGTTAAAAAGCACCTCCTTACCTTAATGTTATGCTGACAGCAATTTACTGTGTCAAACAAATCCTGAAACTGTTTTTCATCCAATTCTATCCCTGTTCTTGTTCTGGCTTTCTTTCAACTCCCATATATTACTAGATAAACTTATACAGGTCGGCCATCACTAATCCGGCATCATTGGGACCTGTACGGTGCTGGATTACTGACTTTGCTGGATTACCCAATTTACGCCCTATTTTTGGCCCATTCCATTGTTCCAGTCTACCAAACTTGTGTAGCTATTTTGCTAGTATTCCTTCTGTAGTGATTTTTAAATTCAGCAAGGTTTATACAAGCATTGCACTGAACCTTCACCTCAGTGCAACTTTTGCAAGAACAAATCTTGCAAGGGTTCTTGCAACTATATTTGTATATACTTCTATTCTGTCGACTGAGTACAAGAAACTGCCCACTCACCTGTTTCAACTACCCAGTAAAGTGGTCAGAAATTGGCAATTTGGCCAATTTCACACAAATTTCTAAATATGCCAATTTCAAAATAGGATCCAGAATAAACAGTGCAGACATTCCTGGCACTAAAATAACATTTTCTCTGTTCATTAGTCAAGTCTCCAGGCCTCTCTTATATTACTCTTGCTTTCCATTTTTAATTTTTATTGACACAAAAAAATAGAAGATTGACTTATGCAGACTACTGCATTATTATAATAATTGTATAAAAGTCAACCCATTTGTGACTGTGTATTAGACTGGCCAGTCGGACACGTATTGGACGGTGATGTCATTTGTTTACTCTTGAACATCGGCAAAGAATCAAACATTTCCACTACTTTGAGCTCAATTTCAAAGTATTTTCCTTGTGAAACCAATCAGAATCATATCTATTTCTGTAATATATTTTCCATTTTGTCAAATGAGACCAAAAAAATGAAAATGCAACAATAACAATCATACGAAAATATACCGCTAAGGGGCTGCTAATGGCTGAGAGGTGAACTCCTTTATTTATCATCCAATTTCTTTCATTTTTGGTGTACTTTAAGAAGCATCTTTCCATCATACATTGCCCAAGTCTCAATAAGATAGCCCAACAAACAACTGAGAAAAACAAATATTTACCAAAAATCATATAAGGCAAGCCCAAGCCAGGTACTGGAAATAAGTCACTTTGTTTGACTTTTTTGGGTTATCCTATGGTCTCTACAAATATGCTGCTATGTATGATAATCTGTGTAGAGAAAATAGTCAAAACCCCCCGTTCACACCCATATAAGGCGTTGGAAAAAACTATACTCTCATACATTCCCCTCTTTCCCCCAAGGACAAAGTTCTTTGTTTCCACGCTCCTAAGGAAACCACTCACTCTTTTTCCCTCATCAATTCTATGTTCACCTCATCTTTCATAGACCCATCCGCTGACACGTCCACCCCCAAAAATATCTGGAAATACGTTCACCTCCCCATACTCTCTCCCTCCAAATCTGATTTTCAATCTTTCATCACCTAATCTTTTGTTACCCTCATAACCTTACTTTTTCCCTGTATTCACCTTTAATTTTCTTCTTTTGCAACACCCTACCAAATTCATCCACCAATCTCTGCAACTTCTCTTCAGAATCTCCCAAGAGCACAGTGTCATCAGCAAAGAGCAGCTGTGACAACTCCCACTTTGTGTGTGATTCTTTATCTTTTAACCCCCACGCCTCTGCCAAAACCCTCGCATTTACTTCTCTTACAACCCCATCTATAAAATATTAAACAACCACGGTGACATCACACATCCTTGTCTAAGGCCTACTTTTACTGGGAAAAAATTTCCCTCTTTTCCTACATACTCTAACTTGAGCCTCACTATCCTCGTAAAAACTCTTCACTGCTTTCAGTAACCTACCTCCACACCATACACTTGCAACATCTGCCACATTGCCCCCCTATCCACCCTGTCATACGCCTTTTCCAAATCCATAAATGCCACAAAGACCTCTTTAGCCTTACTAAATACTGTTCACTTATATGTTTCACTGTAAACACCTGGTCCACACACCCCCTACCTTTCCTTAAAGCCTCCTTTTTTCATCTGCTATCCTATTCTCCGCTTACTCTTAATTTTTTTTCAATTATAACTCTACCATACACTTTACCGGTACACTCAACAGACTTATCCCCCTATAAATTTTTTTCACTCTCTTTTATCCCCTTTGCCTTTATACAAAGGAACTATGCATGCTCTCTCGCCAATCCCTAGGTACCTTACCCTCTTCCATACATTTATTAAATAATTGCACCAACCACTCCAAAACTATATCCCCACCTGGGTTTTAACATTTCTATCTTTAACCATCAAACCCGGGTGCCTTACCCCCTTTCATTTTACCTACTGCCTCACGAACTTCCCCCCACACTCACAACTGGCTCTTCCTCACTCCTACAAGATGTTATTTCCCCCTTGCCCTAATTTACTGAAATCACAGCTTCCCTATCTTCATCAACATTTAACAATTCCTCAAAATATTCCTTCCCTCTTCCCAATACCTCTAACTCTCCATTTAATAACTCTCCTCTCCTATTTTAACTGACAAATCCATTTGTTCTCTAGGCTTCTTAACTTGTTAATCTCACTCCAAAACTTTTCTTATTTTCAACAAAATTTGTTTTATAACATCTCACCCACTCTCTCATTTGCTCTCTTTTTACATTGCTTCACCACTCTCTTAACTTCTTTTCTTTTTCTCCATATACTCTTCCCTCCTTGCATCACTTCTACTTTGTAAAAATTCTTTATATGCTAACTTTTTCTCCCTTTCTACTCTCTTTACATCATCATTCCACCATCGCCCTCTTCCCTCCTGCACCCACTTTCCTGTAACCACAAACTTCTGCTGAACACTCTAACACTACATTTTTAAACCTACCCCATACCCGGCCAATGCTTTCTTCAAAGCCCTTTTTTTCCAATTCTGTTATTTTTACCCAACCCAACTTTTTTTATAACTTACCATCTTCTTTAGAACTTTTTCATAAAATTTATTAATATACCACAATAGAAACAAATCGTGCCCTAAAATGTGCATCCTGAAATTATTAGCGCCAAATTTTCTAAAACAAACCAACAACTATGCCATTGTAACCAAACCTGTATACTTATTTATTTTTTTCAAAATATGTTTACCCATTAATTTAAATTTTTCTAAAAATTTTAATAAAGGGGATTATTTCATGGCACCCCCATTAACTCAACCTTCTAAATCTCTTTTGCATTTAAGTTACCCTTCCACAATTATTTCTCCTTGGGTTAAATTTTTTATTTTATTAAATCAAAATTCTCCTTCCCTGGAATTCCCTTCTTCTCCAATTAATTTTAATAACCACTTCTGATCCAACCTTCACTTAAACCCCTAATTCTTAATTTTTAAAAAATCATATCTATTTCTCCCTAAATGAATTTAAAATTTTCTGTACCTTTTTGTTTGGCAATCTCCGGTCCCCCAGATTTTCCCTTTACCCACTTGAAAATCTCCTACCCCCACTTGTTTTTTACCAAAATCCCCTTCTTTCTAAAAAAATAAAACAATTTTTTCTTACATCCGCATACTAGAATTTAAAACCCCGTTTTAAAAGTTTTTTCCTTTTTGAAGTCGGGGTTACACCCCTTAATGGCCTTTTGCGCCTCATAAAGATTTTAAGAAAATTTTTTAATTAAAGGAATTAAAAAATTAAAAAATAATTTTATTTGAAAAAGAAAAATAATTATTATAAATAAATATTTGGGGGGTTTTTTTAATTAAAAAAAATGTTTTTAAGGGAAAATTCTTTTATTCGTTGGAGCCATGGCTAGGGCTTTAAGTAAGCAGGTTATAACAATAAATGAAGAAAAAGAAATTGGAATGACTTATCCAGCAAGTAGTACCACCAAACAGTAGCAACAGGTTGGTGTGGCAACCCTGGAAATTTGAAATTATGCTCGCCGAAATTAGTGCTGGATAACTGATGGAACCGCATGACTAATTGCCGGATTAGTGATGGCCGACCTGTACTATCTCATCATATTTTGTATTAATCCAAATAACTAGTGTTACTATTATTGCAATTTTTAGTTAACTTAATAAATTTTAATATAGTAAAAGAGTTCTAAGTGTCATGCACCATGCTATGTTTTATCTGCTTACATATACAGTGGAACCTCTGCTTGCGAGTTTAATCTGTTCCATGACCTTGCTCACAACTGGATTTGCTCGTTTGCAGAGTTAATTTTCCTCATTTAAATTAATTGAAATGCAATTAATCCATTCCAGTGGAATTCTGTACTTCAATAATTTTGCTAATATCAACTCTATGGCTTATTTATCCATCTCACTTCATCTAATATGACATAATAAACAATATAAATAACATAGAAATCTGATATATACTCTAAAATGAATAAAATATGTCATTCTTGTAGTGGTATGGGCGGTGTCGGTGGCCGACCAGAGTTTGTCTGGTGACAGGACAACATACTTCTTGAATATTTCGCTATCAACAACTCTACAGCTTATTTATCTATCACAGTTCTTCTAATATGAAATAATAAACAATGTAAATCACATAAAAACCTGATATATACTCTAGAATGAATAAAATATGTCATTGTAACAGGTGGAGGCGGCCACAACCGCTCCCTCTTTGTTGTGGTTAACACTTCCATCTAATGATGGCCTTTTGAAGCTGTCTATTATTAGAATTATTATATGTAATACATTGTTATTATATATGTATTATTATTATACATTTTATTATTATACATATATTATTATTATATATTGAAAAAAAAAATTATTATTATTATATAAATAATTTATAATTTTTATTCACACAAAAAATATAAGACTTACTGTTATTTCTTATTGCAATAATTGTATAAATAATGTCAACCCATTCACGACTGCATATTGGAATGGCCAGTGACGTAATTTGTTTACTCTTAAACATAGCCAAGCAATGGACCATTTCTCCTACGTTGAGCTCAGTTTCAAGGTACTTTTCGTTGTGAAAGCATCAAAATCATATCTATTTCTGTAATATATCTTCCATTCTATCAAATGAGACCAAAAAAATGAGAATACAACCATACGAATATACTGCTAAGGGGTGGCTAATTGCTGAGAAGTGAATTCCATTATTTATGCATAGATTTCTTTCATTTTTGGTGTTTATTAAGAAGCATCTTTCCATCATACATTGCTCAAGTTTCAATAAGATAGTCCAACAAACAAATGAGATACAATTCCCGAGATCAAGAGCAAGAGTCCCTCACCAGCGTCAAGGAACCTGCCTTGAGGTCTCCTCGCTTATGGAAATCTTGCTCGTGTATGGAAGCAAAAAATCGACCCATCGACTGCTCGTATTTGGAAAAACTCGCACATGGACACTCTCGCAAGTAGAGGTTCCACTGTACATTTGAGTCATATTCATTGAATCTATTTTATTGTGGTATACCAGTAATGTCTTGTATTACCTGGAGAGAATTCCGGGGGTCAACATATGTAAAATTTTATTGTCCTTTTAATCTTAAGTTAGGGTTAAGCTTGGCTGAAATGCCCTTCATAACCATGGGCTTTCCATGTGCTCTATTAAATGTTATATAATTTTGTACAAAAGATGCATCATATGGAAATAAAGAATTATGAATTTAGAAAATATCCTCAAATGAGGTGTCTTGATACTAGTGAATTACTGTTGCTGCAAGCCCCATTCCCCTTTACTGGTTAAAATCTGAGTACAGTGGTACCTCGGGATACGAAATTAATTAGTTTCAGAAGGCTGTTCAAGTGCCGATACCAAATGAATTTGTTCCCATAAGAAATAATGTAAATTAGATTAATCCGTTTCAGACCCCCAAAAATACTCTTGCAAAAGGACTTACATAAATACACTTACATAATTGTTCGAGTTTTGAGCTGTTTGTATCCTGAGGTACCACTGTACCTCTGTGTTCCCAGGTACTTTATGACCCCCCTTACGGGTTTAACACTACCTCCATGAATGTACCAATAATAATAATACAAATAATGATGCCCAGTCATGGCATCTGCTCCATCTGCATTTCCAAGACTCAAAAAGGTCATGAAATGTTCACTAATGTTTTCAGATAATAAATCAGTATATGCAAAGAACGAGCAGAGTTATTAGTGTTTCCACTTGAGAAAACTGCTTTGACTTTTCTGTTTATAAATCAGTTGTTTTCTCATGTTAAGAACATAACACTGCAACAGGCCTACTGACCCATGCGGATCAGGTCCCCCCCCCCCCCCCCCCGATTAGCCCAATGGCCCCTCCTCCCCCCGATTAGCCCAATGGCCATCCTCCCCCCGATTAGTGCAATGACCCACCCAATCTGGTCACCTCCACTCAGGGATGGAGCACGGCACCACATGTTAGATGTCGTTAAATAAATTTTTCAACAATGGTATCTACATATATTAAAAATTAAAAATATCAGTTTTCTGGGTACTTTTGACCTTCACTAAATGTTGAAAAGTTTATTCTCTGGCAAGACAGTAATAGTATGAATGATGGTGAAAGTGTTTCTTTTTCAGGTCACTCTGCCTCGGTGGGAGACGGCCAGCATGTTAAAAAAAATATGTAATTATTCTTAGCACTGTAATTTTATTTTGCATTTAGGCAGAACAGCTGGAAGTGACAGCAAAAGAAACATACCCACCAACTGCAGTCATTAAAATTGAGGCCCAGACGATTTTAGATTTAATTAAAAGTCTCTATACCCAAATTGATGGTAAGTAAAATTTTATAGTAAAAAATAAGATTCACCCAAAAAAAACAGGAATATTATTTCTAAAATGCTGTGTAAAGGCATTATACATAAATAGTTTCTTGATTTTACAATAAATTCTGTGACCATAAAAGCTTTTGAGTTTTATGTTACATGTTATTAAAAAATGAAAATTTATCATATTAATCTAGCAAACATACTGTACATTTAATTAGCGATCTCTTGCAGATACCATTGCATACCTTAAGAACTATGCTATTGGAGAGACTCCTAGTATATCTGTTGGTGGTGCCATGTTGGAAGCTGAAAAGATTTTGAAAGAGATTCAGATGCGCAATTTTACCAAGTTTGATATTGAAGCTGAGATAGAGATAAGGTTTGCAACTGTTTTCATTTATAATAGTTGTGGTACATTATCCTACTCATATTTGCCATAATAACATATGGATTTTATTCATTAGAAGTGTAATGATAGTCATGACCAATACAGCTTATGCAAGATATATTTGTCTAATTATTTTTCTTAACTTTTTTAATATACAGCCTCTCCTCACTTAGCGATGTACTCATTTACTGACGCCTCAGACTGATGACGGGCTCTCTGACCAGTATTCATACCTAAATAATGTATATTAGAACTGATTTCCTCTATTCTGTTTATTCATTATACAGTACACTACTGTATAAACATTGAAAAATATACCAGAAATATTATAAGATGGTTGACACAAACTCTCTACCATTATAGTATGCTCCTCACTTAGTGACGAATTCATTTAATAACATGGTCTTGGGAACGGAACTCCATCGTTAAGTGAGGAGAGACTGTACTGTATGTATATTTGAGTAATAGGCTTTATATACTATATGAGGATAATTTTGTTTTTTGTAGCAAGGCTAAACTTTTGCTGAACCGGATAATGAAAATGGACCAGGAAAATCCACACATTCAAGCCCTTCAAGTTCGCATAAAGGATATCGACAACAAACTTAATGAACTTCTTCAAAGAATAAATGCAGCCAATAGTAAAACAAATGAGGTACAATTTTTTTTTTTTTACTGTTATTTGAGTTAGTTATGTCATAGGTGAAGTATAAATCAAAGTACATTACAGAATTTTTATGTACTCATTAATGAAAATAAAGCTGAAGAGCCAGTGAATATTGATGAAGTTAAATTTTAAGCATTAAAGCATTACAGTGATTTATAAATTATGTTTTGAATGGCATTTGAGAAGAAAGTTTTTTGTATGTACAGCAGGTCACCACATACAATCCTAATGCAAATTATTTACAACTTAGTGTTCACAACTTGAAATCTGTTTTCCTAGAGACAACGATGTTGTGATCAGAGATAGTGAATCATAATTTCTTAACGAAATTTAAAAACACATACAGTACAATATGTACTTAAGTTCTTCACTTTGCTATCCTCCCTTTCATTCTCTCCTTCCTCCTCACACTCTTTTATTGTATTTGACACAAAACCCTTTACACATGTGGTATTTGAGGATTGACAAGAGAGGCACAGACACAGGCAAGTCAGTAGGACTGACTTCCTCTTTATTCCCTCCCTCCCATCCTGTGATAACAGACTTACCATATGCTCTCTACCTTTTTATTGTTATACTGAGGGTATTAGGTGCCTGGGCATATGTGTGGGAAAGATGTGAAGAACATAATTGCATAACTATGCTGTGTTGGGGAAGGAAGGGGTTATGGTGTAAGCTGTGAACTGCCACACATCAACCATTGATCGAGTATGAGACATGATCGAGTCACCATTGCACATTTTGCTGATGTTGTTACCAGCAATTTAAATTTTCCACAAATTGCTAGAAAAATGACAGGATGGATAATGAGAACCTTCAAAACTAGGGATGCCAAGCCCATGGTGGCACTCTTCAGGTCGCTTGTTCTATCTAGGCTGGAATATTGCTGCACACTAATAGCACCTTTCAAGGCAGGTGAAATTGCTGACCTAGAAAATGTACAGAGAACCTTAACGGCGTGCATAATGGAGATAAAACACCTCAATTACTGGAGTGCTTGAATTTCCTGAACCTGTACTCCCTGGAATGCAGGCGGGAGAGATACATGATTATATACACCTAGAAAATCCTAGAGGGACTAGTACCGAACTTGCACACGAAAATCTCTCACAATGAAAGCAAAAGACTCGGCAGACGATGCAACATCCCCCCAATGAAAAGCAGGGGTGTCACTAGCACATTAAGAGACAATACAATAAGTGTCAGGGGCCTGAGACTGTTCAACTGCCTCCCAGCATACATAAGGAGGATTACCAATAGACCCCTGGCTGTCTTCAAGCAGGCACTGGACAAACACCTAAAGTCGGTACCTGACCAGCCGGGCTGTGGCTCGTATGTTGGATTGCGTGCAGCCAGCAGTAACAGCCTGGTTGATCAGGCTCTGATCCACCAGGAGGCCTGGTCACAGACTGGGCCGTGGGGGCATTGACCCCTGGAACTCTCTCCAGGTAAACTCCAGGTATAATGTGAAAATGGGCCCTTCAAAATGGTAATTTTTTTTTATTCCAGGCCTTCCAGAGTTTCAAGGCTATATCTGCCATTCTTGACCAATAAATCTAATAGATATGATCCTTCCTCACATACATAAAATAAACTTAAAAATATGAATACATTTGATACAAAAAAGTATTTATGGAAAAGTTCTGTTTAAAGGTTTGCAATGTTTATACATTTATATTTGTGAGAAATTAATTGGTTCCAAAGTGTTCCACAGAATGCAGATGTCATAACTTGGATGTTCATAAGTCTTGGTTCTAGTTTTTATTAATTTAGGTTGAACTTTTAGCTTTAATTATAACACTCCTGAGAAACCTTGCATAAAATTGAAATTCTAAACTTTTTTGTTAACTTCATTGATTTTCAAGACAATAATTGAATGGTTTTTATTTGCATTTTAGGCAGCTATGGTGAATGAAAGCAATCGCAGGAGGCTTTCTCGTGTAAAGGAATATTCTGCAGAGATCAAGAGCACTCGTCAAATAGTTGATGATCAGAACTTCAACTCCACCCAGTTGCTGAAAGAAGCCAACAAAAACCTTATTAACACCAGAATTAATTATGATGTATGTATTAACAAGTGCACATTTTGTACTCATTAAGCTTTTTTCTTTATAATGTTTTCACATGTGTGCTTAAACTTTTTTTATTCTTAAGAGTTTAATACATTTTATTATTCTTGAATTCTGTACTTATTTTGTCATTAAAATTCATTAACTGGATATATACACCAAGATGGCAGTGGAGATGTCATGTCTGAGGGCAATGTGTGGTGTGAATATAATGCAGAGAATTCGTAGTTTGGAAGTTAGGAGGAGGTGCGGGATTACCAAAACTGTTGTCCAGAGGGCTGAGGAAGGGTTGTTGAGGTGGTTCGGACATGTAGAGAGAATGGAGCGAAACAGAATGACTTCAAGAGTGTATCAGTCTGTAGTGGAAGGAAGGCGGGGTAGGGGTCGGCCTAGGAAAGGTTGGAGGGAGGGGGTAAAGGAGGTTTTGTGTGCGAGGGGCTTGGACTTCCAGCAGGCATGCATGAGCGTGTTTGATAGGAGTGAATGGAGACAAATGGTTTTTAATACTTGACGTGCTGTTGGAGTGTGAGCAAAGTAACATTTATGAAGGGATTCAGGGAAACCGGCAGGCCGGACTTGAGTCCTGGAGATGGGAAGTACAGTGCCTGCACTCTGAAGGAGGGGTGTTAATGTTGCAGTTTAAAAACTGTAGTGTAAAGCACCCTTCTGGCAAGACAGTGATGGAGTGAATGATGGTGAAAGTTTTTCTTTTTCAGGCCACCCTGCCTTGGTGGGAATCGGCCAGTGTGATAACAAAATAATAAATACACCAAGATGTGTACATATCTTTATTGTTGACTTCTTCTAGAGGACTTTTCATCCTTATGAACTTTGGTCTTATGTTGGCACTTTTATTGACGTTACTCTCAGGTTGAACGTACATTATGAGCACTTTTAAATAATTCCATGTACTGTATTGACATCTGAAAATTATTGCAGATTTTCTTTTCTTGGTACATTAAGGAGTTACAGAATTATCACAGTATTGCCTCTAAATTATATTAAAGGATAATATAAGATACCTGCCAAGCTATTGATTTTAATCATAAACTAAGCTAACTCATCTTAATCTAGCTTGAGATCTTATGGTGGCTGGTAAAGACCATTATATGAGCAGTAGCACTGTTCATAAGAGCAGCTCTGCCACTATAGAGTTCCTACCCATTCAGTATTATTATTATTATTATTATTATTATTATTATTATTATTATGATCATAACTAAGTGCTAAACCCATAAGAGTCGTAAAGTGCTGCAGGGTAGACTGTGCTAAAATGTGTAATATGCCTGATCAGAGATTAGCGTGGATGAAGAGTGTAACAGAGGTACAGTTAGGAAGGGCAGCGAGGAGTGCTAAAGGAAGTATGTATAATCAAAGCTGGTTTAATAAAGCTATTGCTGGCAAAGGTGGGGCTATCTGCGAGGAGGGTTCCCATTCAATAAATGTCTTATTTTTCTTAAATGGCATTTAGAGTAAATTTAGCTGTAAAAAATAATAAAGAAAATACACAATTTAGAGGTGTGAAATTACACTATTGGGGAAATCAATTCAGCACCAGTTTCTTTTAAGCCTTTTATTGTATTAAAGTAGAGTTGTGTTACAGTAAGATTTCAAACCATGACTAATTTTAATGTATAACTGCTGTAACTAATTTGTATTGCTCATAAGACATAGAAAAAAAGTTGAAGGGACAAACAGTACTAGCCTTACTGATGTCATGTTATCTCGCTGTACTAGAAATTTTTGTTAGACATGAAATATATTGAAGGATTTACATGATAATCTGATAGTATCCTTTCTTTCATTTTATCATAAAATTTATAGTAATATATCTTGTAGAAGGGAGCAAGGAGTTAGTAACCCCTTCTTTATACATTACTAAAGTTATGAAGAGAAACTTCTGTTTTTCTCTTTGGGTCACCCTGCCTCGGTGGGATACGGCTGGTTTGTTGAAGAAGATCTCTTGTAAAAATATTTGACCTCCTTTTTAAGTCATGAAGTGAAGGTGTTGATCTGTAACGTGTAGAAAATCTGTTAATAGTATAATTTTTAAAGATCTTTATTCATTGTAAAAGAATACCCAAAATGCATGTAGGAGCATATGTATTTGCAGAATATGTGACAGGTTTGCTATATGTAGGAACAACAGCTGTAATACACATCCCACACTTAAGAATTAATATTGTAACTGGTTTCCAATGTGATAAGTACTGTACTCTTAATATTGTTGATTAAGACTTAATGAACCATATATTTCCTGTCAATATATTGTGAGGATCGTAAGTTATAGGAACCTATAGAAACATTCTATATGATGAAAATTTTGTTCACTAAATCTCTTCACTTATTTAGGATCTTGCCAACCTGTTAGTTGACTTGAGAAATGGCTCCAACTATCTTGAAGAGTTTGAGGGTCTTTTGTGGCGACTGAACATTGAATATAGGGACAAATATGTCAAGAGAGCCCATGACCATGCAATGGAACTTATGAGAGAATCAATTAGACTAGAAAGGTTAGTATTGTTATAGTTTTATATTCTCATGTGAAATAAAAATAATTAGTAGTATTCGAAGTATTAAAGATGTAGCTCTGAGTTGTTATCTAGGTTGTTTTACTTTCTATTGTATTTTTGTGAATGTTTTGTCAATGTATTTTGTCTTTAAATAAAATATATATTAACCCTTAAATGGTCCAAACATATATATATGTTTTTTCAACATCTGAAAGTATGTAAAAATATAGATCTTTTTTTTTGTTTTACATTTGAAAACGTGTAAAAAAACTTCTATCTACATTTTTTTTTGTTATATTTGAAAATATGTAAAAAAAAGTAGATCTACTTTTGTAGCACTACGAATTTGAACGTCAATCTGTTTGGACCGTTTAAGGGTTAAATATAGGGGTGGTAGGAGAAAATTCTCAAACAGCTTCAGGGAGAACCTTGAGTTTTCCCTGAAGCAAGTTTATTCTTTTCTCTGAGGAAGAGGGTCCCCAGGACAGTTCTAGAGGTGGTACCTCCCTATATTTATATTTAAAAAAAAAAAAGTTAGTAGTACATATATATATGAATGTTTCCATGGGGAAGTGAAAAAAAAATCTTTCTTCCATAATACATGTGTGTCATAAGAGGCAACCAAAATGCTGGGAGCAAGGGGCTAGTTATTCCTTCTGTATAAATTACTAAATGTAAAAAAGTTTCTCCTTTTTTGGATCACCCTACCTTGGTGGGAGATGTTAAGAACAAAAAATGTATATGTATATGAATCTTTCTTTCAACACACCGGCCGTATCCCACCGAGGCGGGGTGGCCCAAAAGGAAAAACGAAAGTTTCTCCTTTTACTCTTCTTCTTCTTTCAACGTACCAGCCGTATCCCACTGAGGTGGGGTGGCCCAAAAGAAAAAACTGAAGTTTCTCCTTTTACATTTAGTAATATATACAGGAGAAGGGGTTACTGACCCTTGCTCCTGGCATTTTAGTCGCCTCTTACAACACGCATGGCTTACGGAGGAAGAATTCTGTTCAACTTCCCCATGGAGGTAAGAGGAAATAAACAAGAACTAGAAAGAAAACAAAAGAAAACCCAGAGGGGTATGTATATATATGCTTGTACATGTATATGTAGTGTGACCTAAGTTTAAGTAGAAGTAGCAAGATGTACCTGAAACCTCGGATGTTTAGGAGACAGAAAAATGGGCACCAGCAATCCTACTATCATGTAAAACAATTACAGGCTTTCGTTTTACACTCACTTGGTAAGATGGTAGTACCTTCCTGGGTGGTTGCTGTCTACCAACCTACTACCTAGAACTTATATGTATATATGCATGTATATGTTAATGTAAGTTTTTTCCTTGTTCTGTAACATTGGTGTCAGTGGAATGCCTTCTATCTGAGCAAAAAAACTAATGGAAAAATAAATATATAAATAAACAGCTCTAGGAATCATAAGAATATTGTCTTTATTAGTAGTAGTAGTAGTAGTAGTAGTAGTAGTAGTAGTAGTTGTAGTAGTAGGTTGGTAGACAGCAACCACCCAGGGGGGTACTACCGTCCTGCCAAGTGAGTGTGAAACGAAAGCCTGTAATTGTTTTACATGATGGTAGGATTGCTGGTGCCTTTTGTCTGTCTCATAAATATGCAAGATTACAGGTACCTCTTGCTACTTCTACTTACACTTAGGTAACACTACATATACATGTACATGTTTATTTATACACACTCATCTGAGTTTTCTTTCATTTTATCTCAATAGTTCTTGGTCTTATTACTTTTCCTTTTATATCCATGGGGAAGTGGAATAAGAATCTTTCCTCCGAAAGCCGTGTGTGTTGTAAAAGTCAACTAAAATGCCGGGAACAATGGGCTAGTAACCCCTTTTCCTGTAATAATTACTAAAAAGAATAAGAAGAAAATTGTCAAAGTGGGAAGTCTGAATGTGTGTGGATGTTGTGCAAATGATAAGAAAGAGATGATTGTGGATGTTATGAATGAAAAAATGCTGGATGTCCTGGCTTTAAGTGAAACAAAGCTGAAGGGGGTGGGAGAGTTTCAGTGGAGAGGAATAAATGGGATTAGGTCAGGGGTTTCAAATAGAGTTAAAGCTAAAGAAGGAGTAGCAATAATGTTGAAGGATAAGTTATGGCAGGAAAAGAGGGACTATGTATTCAAGGATTATGTGGAGTAAAATAAAGGTTGGATGTGAAAAATGGGTTATAGTAAGCATATATGCACCTGGAGAAGAGAGAAGTGTAGAGGAGAGAGAGAGATTTTGGGAAATGTTGAGTGAATGCGTGGGGAGTTTTGAACCAAGTGTGAGAGTAACAGTGGTTGGGGATTTCAATGCTAAAGTGGGCAAAAATGTTGTGGAGGGAGTAGTAGGTAAATTTGGGGTGCCAGGGGTAAATGAAAATGGGGGGCCTTTAATTGAGCTATGTGTAGAAAGAGGTTTGGTAATAAGTAATGCATATTTTATGAAGAAGAGGATAAATATGCAAGGTATGATTTAGCACGTAATGAAAGTAGTTTGTTAGATTATGTATTGGTGGATAAAAGGTTGATGGGTAGGCTCCAGGATGTACACGTTTATAGAGGGGCAACTGATATATCGAATCATTATTAAGTTGTAGCTACAGTTAGAGTAAGAGGTAGATGGGAAAAGAGGAAAATGGCAACAACAAGCAAGAGAGGTGAAAGTGTATAAACTAAGGGAGGAAGAAGTTCGGGTGAGATATAAGCAACTATTGGCAGAAAGGTGGGCTGGTGCAAGTATGAGTAGTAGGGGGGTTGAAGAGGGTTGGAATAGTTTTAAAAATGCAGTATGAGAATGTGGGGGCAGAAGTTTGTGGTTATAGGAGGGTGGGTGCAGGAGGAAAGAGGAGTGATTGGTGGAATGATGAAGTAAAAGGTGTGATAAAAGTGAAAAATTAGCTTATGAGAGGTTTTTTGCAAAGCAGAAGTGTTATAAGAAGAGTAGAGTATATGGAGAGTAAAAGAAAGGTGAAGGAGTGGTGAGAGAGTGCAAAAAGAGAGCAGATGATAGTGGGAGAGGCACTGTCAGGAAATGTTAATGAAAATAAGAAAAATTTTTGGAGCGAGTTAAAACAAGTTAAAAAAGCCTAGAGAACAATGGATTTGTCAGTTAAAAACAGGTAGGGGAGTTAGTAGATGGGGAGAGGAGGTTTTGGGTAGATGGCGAGAATATTTTGGGGAAATTTTTTAAAAATTTAGGAAGAAAGGGAAGGGGTAATTTCGCCGGGCCAGGGGGGGAACCCATCTTTTGGGAGTAAAGAAGAACGGATTGAGTGTGGAGAGGTGCATGAGGCATTAAAATAAAATAAAAGGGGTAAAGCGCGGAAAGACGGGATCATGAAAAAAAATGTTAAAAGCAGGGGGGGATAAGGTTGGAGGGGTTGGTATTTTTTTTTAAATAAAGTTGAAAGAGGGGGAAAGGGAACCCAGGGATTTGGGAGAGAACATGTTTAAAAACCCTTTTATAAAGGGAAAGGGGGGCAAAAGAGATTGTAAAAATTATGAAAAAGAATTTACTGAGTAAAACCAGGAAAATGTACGGTAGGGGTTTTAATTGAAAAAAATTGAGGTAAAAACAGTATGTGGTTGCGGGTGAGGGGGAGGTTTCAGAGTGGGTGGGGGGTGGTAGATCAGTGTTTACATTTAAGTATATAGGAACATATTTAGATAAAGATAGGGAAGTTTTTATTGCATTTTTGGGGTTTGCAAGGCATTTAGTTATATTTTGTGGAGGTGAAAGTGTTGAAAGATGTGAAAATATTTTCTTTTTGGGGGTTTTTTTATTTTTTTGGGGACCCGCCCCGGGGGAGACCCTGGCTTGTTGAAAAAAAAAAAAAGAGGGAAAGGGGGAGCAATGGGGCGATGTTCAAGTAGTATATGGAATAGGGGAAATTTTACTAAATGCTAAAAAGAGTTTTTATGAGGATAGTGAGGCTCAATTAGGGGGGTGTAAAGAGAGAGAAAAAAACTATTTCCCGGTAAAAGTAGGTTTAACGGGGAGTGTAATGTCCCCTTTGTTGTTTAATTTTTATATTTTGGGTTGTAAAAAAGTAATGCTAGGGTGTTCAGGAGAGGGGGGGGATTAAATTAGGGGGAATTAAATAAAAAATGGGAATTGCCAGTTCTTTTTGCTGAGATACGTGCTTAGGGAGTTCAAAGAAAAATTGCAAAGGTTAGGGGATGATTTGGGGTTTTGTAAATTAGAAAGTTGAAAGTGAACTAGAAAAGGTAAGGTGAGAGGGGAACAAATTATTTTGTAAAGAAAAATTGGGGATCAAAAGGGGAGGGGGGTATAAAAAAAGTGAAGTTTTTAGAACTTGGGGGTTGAACGTTCGGCGGGTGATTTATGAAGGATAGGGTTTAAACGTAGAATTGATGAGGGGAAAAAAGGTGAGTGTGCTTTTTAGGGGATATGTGGAGACAAAAAGTTCTATGGGGCAAAAAGGGGGAAAGTTTAAAGTATAGAGTAAACCAAAACTTTATATGGGTGGAACTTTTGGGTTTTAATGCAGCAGCGAGGAGGGGATTGGGGGGCAGTGGGATGTCCCGTTAAAGGGCAAGTGTGTGTAAATATGCAGAAAAAACGGGGTGGGAAATTAGGAGAAGGTTGTGGATTAATAAAAGCATTAGTCAGAGGGAGAAAGGGGGTTGTTGAGGTGGTTTGGGATTTAGAGGAATGGATCAAAAGGGAAAACATGGAAACATAAAATTTAGGGGAAGGAAGGGGGGGAGGGGGTTGTCCTCAAAAGGGGTTTAAAAAAAGGGGAAAGGAGGGTTTTTTGGGGAGGGGGTTGGATTTTCCCGCAAGCGTGCATGACGGTTTTTAGGAGTGATGGAGGGGAATGATACTTGGGGCCTGCGACTTTGAGTGGAGCAGGGGAATATTTTGTGAAGGGGTTCAGGGAAACCGGTTATGTTCATATAGTCGGACTTGAGTCCTGGAAATGGGAAGTACAATGCCTGCACTTTAAAGGAGGGGTTTGGGATATTGGCAGTTTGGAGGGATATGTTGTGTATCTTTATACGTATATGCTTCTAAGCTATTGTATTCTGAGCACCTCTGCAAAAGCAGTGATAATGTGTGAGTGTGGTGAAAGTGTTGAATGATGATGAAAGTATTTTCTTTTTGGGGATTTTCTTTCTTTTTTGGGTCACCCTGCCTCGGTGGGAGACGACTGACTTGTTGAAAAAAAAAAAAAAAACTTCTGAACTGTTGTATTCTGAGCACCTCTGCAAAAACAGTGATTATATATACTCTTTATACTTACAAAAAAAGTTTACTGTAAAATAGTATGCTGTGTTTTGCTGGTAGCAGCCTTGAACATCTCTTGTTTACCATGTCTCTTGATAGCATCTTTATCTGCATTATGATGCATTATCTGTTTACAAGCAAATCTGTAATGAAAAACATACAAACCATATAACCTAGGTGCATAATAGGCTATACCATCTAGGTTTGTGTAAGAACACACTATGATATTCACACAACGATGAAATCGCCTAACAGTGCATTTCTTGGAACATGTCCTCATTGTTAAGCAACGCATGACTGTACTAAACCCGTAGGATTATACAGTGCCTTGGGGAATGGGATCCAAGTAAAGGGAGGATAATTTCATTTCTTTAGATCAAAAGCCCTTCATTTACATTTTTCCCCTACATGTATTTCAATGTAAACTGTGGAGTACATATAGGGGAAAATGGCATATACACAGAAAACTTGCTACAATTTTACAAAAATATGTTAACAGATTGCGTGTTATCCGATGGTCTACTGTACAGCCTCTCCTCACTTGACGACTGAGTTCCCTTCCTAAGATCACGTCAGTAAATGAATTCGTTGCTAAGTGAGGACCATACTATAATGGTAGTGGGTTTGTGTCAACCATCTTTGATATTGTTTTAATGTCACCTTGCACCATTTATAACATTTCTGGTATATTTTTAAATGTTTATACAGTAGTGTACTATATATTGTATTAAACATAGTAGAAGAAATCAGCTTTAATATTACTACATTATTTAGGTATGCGTACTGGTCAAAGAGCCCATTGTAAGTCTGAGTCATCAGTAAACGAGTACGTCGCCAAGTGAGGAGAGGCTGTAATTTATAATAGTTTTTAACCACTCTGAAGTAATGTGGGAAACAGTTTTGTAGGGAGAGGTGTTTGGAGTTTAGTTAACCAATACTGCAGCGCTCAAACCACCTCTTGCCAGTGATCCAAAACCTACCTTTGTTCTTGATCTTCAGCATTTAACCCTCTAACTGTCCAAACGTAGATCTACATTTGCGCTAGTAGCCCTCCGCCCTTGATTTTCTCCATAAGAAAGAATGTAAAAAAAAACGTAGATCTATGTTTGGAGCGTTACACGAGCAAACATAGATCTACGTTTAGACAGTTTAAGGGTTAAAGCACAAGCTGATCTTCCAAGACTTTTTTTTTAAAGAGGTGCACTTTATGTGCTGGAAAATGCAGCCTTTAGAATTACAGATAGCAGTACGACTTCACATAACAGTGAATTTGTGTAAAGCAATTCAAACCTGTATTATTTTTGTGAAAATTCATCATATAGCTAGTAATATATATGTTAAATGTGTTGAAAATATTTTCTCATTTTATAATAATTGTCTTAGTTATTTTTAGCTGTTTTCTTGCAGTCTGTTTAACAAAACAAGAGATGTTGCTGATGGGCCTTTACGAGCAGCCAAAGCTTACCAGAGAATTGTGGATGCCTTGCTAAGTGCTGAGGGAGCAGCTAAGAATGCTTCACTAGCTGCTGAGACTGCTTTTAAAGTGGTATGATATTGCTTTTAAAGTGAAGTGACATTGCACTAAAAGTGTTAAGTATTATTTTCAGAACTGTATGATTACTAGTCTTGTTTCATATAATAGATTAAACAAAGTATATGCTGATGCATCTTACACTCAGTTGAATGCCTTGCTTCCTCAGGGAGCATCTCATTTGTTAAAGGAAGTTACACAGAGATCTCCCATACACTGCAAGTTCCATCTAAGTGTTTGAATACTACTGAAAGAGCACCTGAGTTATTTTTTAAATTCTACATGATAGGTTAGCTTGTGTAACAGTAAGTCAGATGCCCCTTGCCACTTAAAAGTGTTTGGAAGAGGCACAGCCCTTTGAAAATTCAAACAGTTGAAAATATAGGAAGGCCCTTTTGCGACCTTTCTGTGACAAAGGGGAACAATTTGAGCTGTTTGCTGAAGAGGACCTCAGTGTGAGGCAGAGATATATAGCACTTGTTTGCTGTCTTGTCTCCATGTTGGTTCATTTGTGCTATTGACCAAAATAAATTAAACTTTTCTGTTTAAATAAATACAAGACTGCACAAAGTACGTAATAAAAGAAATTAATGCATGTTACAGGCATACCCAGGTGATCCAGAGGAATCTCTTGTGCGCCGGGCAACACTTTCTCTTCACAAATCTCAAGAGTTACATTCAAAGGGGGAAAAATTGAAGATGACTTTAGGGCAACTATATGCTGAGTTGGATAATCAGCGTAGTGCCCTTGGAACTACAAAGGGAATTCTAGACGTAACAGATGACCGCCTTAATGCATTGAAAACACTTATGGAAACTCAGCTAACATCAAGTGAGTTTAAAATACCAGGTTTGCATATTTTCACTTAATCTCTTGTGGTTCAAATTAACAATGAGGATTTTGGTTAGTTTTTCAGTGGCTTTAAGTTCATACAGTGAATTCTCACTGATTATTATTATAATCACAATGAAGCACTAAACCCTTAAGGTTCATACAGCACTGCAGGGTAGGGTGTGCTAAAGGTTTAATATGCTCAATCAGAGATTAGCGAGGGTGAAGAGTATAACAGAGGTAGTTAGTAAGGGTGGTGGATTCTCACTGAATGACTTGCATATCAACCTCAGGAATAGTTCATCAGACAAATCATGTTTTTCCCTAGTATCCCATATTATAACTTAAGGGAGACTGAGATGATAATATTACATATCTGATTTTTATTAATTTTTTCATTGACGAAATTTGTAAAATATGTACTCACCAGAGATAGTTACATTGTTTAGTAGATACATAGTATTTTTATACCCTTCCCCAGTTGTTTGAGTGCATAACACATATAAGAGAATATTTTATCTTTTTTTTTTTTTTTTTTTTTTTTTTTTTTACTGTTGGATTAGGCTGCACATTGTTAGGTTACATAGTTTCAATGGCCATTAGGCTATCACTTTCGACCCATTAATAGTCAACACCTTACAGGTTGTCAGAATCTTGCACTATTGTTCATTTAATCTTGTCAGAAGTGTGCTGGCATCACAATTTGGATGACTCTGACTGCAACATCCTCACCCCTCGTTCATAATGCAAGGCACTGTAATTCCCACCTCTAGAATTTGAATCTGGTTAACTGGTTTTCCTAAATTCCTTCAGAAAAATTTCCTTGCTCACATTACAGCAGTATGTCAAGTATTAAAATACACTTGTCTTCGCTAACTCCAATCTAACGCAATCACACAAGCCTTATGGATGCTCATGAACCTAACTCCAACTGTTCCTGGGATGGGATGATCCCTCCTACCTCCCTCCCTCCCTTCTACCCCAGATTTATGTGCTGTCTTTGTCATCCTATTCCCCTCTATCCTCTCTGAATGCTTATACCACCTGAACATTTCCTCCTCAGTCCTCTGAATTATTCCTTCAGTGACCCCACACTATCTTCTAAATTTTAAGACACCACCTACCTTTTTACCCACTCATTTGTTTAAAGGTTCACCTTTCACAAACCTAGCTGCTGACATATCCACTCCCAAATATCTAAATATTCATTTCCTCCAAACTCCTTCCTCCAGTATATCATCCAGTTTTTCTTGCTTAGACATTTTGTTACTCTCATTACCTTGCTCTTTTCTATATTCACTTAATTTCCTTCTTTTAAATATCTTTCAAATTCATTCACCAACTTTTGCAACTTAGTGTCAGAACCTTCCTAGTTCTATGCTCTTCTAGAAAGCCAGCAAGAGACAGAATGAATGAATTTATTTATTTTGGTTGCCCTGCGTGGGTAGGAAACAACCAGCATTGCAAAAAAATTTAATGTGAATGTGGCTGAAATATTCAATTAAGATTCTATATGAGGTCATCTCTTCACAGAAAGTAAGTTGCCAAGTAGGACAAGGTATCATATAACCCTGGCATTGACAGGGACAGAAATTGAAAGATATTGAAAAAAAAGTTGATATTTGGATAATTCCTAGGTTTTATTTTATGAATTATCTTTCAGTATGCACTTTTTTTTTTTATCTTTTTGATTATACCTTGTAGACCCTTAATATATAAAAAATTAAAATGTATAGTTCTTTAAACTAGGCTTAAGATTTGCCTGAAATGCTGTTGCATCCCATGGGCTTTTCAGTTATTGTATATTTTGTATATGCAATAATTTTAAATAGAAATTTTTTTTTTCCTGTAACAACTACTTAAGCAGCCACTTGTGGCTTTTGGCCTTCAGTGCCCCCCTTTCCCTACACAAATAAAAATAGTAATAATATAATAATGCTTCAAAACAGGTCTCCTAGCTCTCCCCTTCCAACCAAATAGCAACCCCAAAGTCTTCCTTTCTCTTCTCCCCCTGTTTAGAAATTCTTGAGTCACCATTGTAAAGATTTAGTCTGGATATGGGTGTGAAATTTGGGTTGTAAATGCTGCAGCGAGGAGGCGGTTAGAGGCAGTGGAGATGTCCTGTCTAAGGGTAATGTGTGGTGTAAATATTATGCAGAAAATTCGGAGTGTGGAAATTAGAAGGTGTGGAGTTAATAAAAGTATTAGTCAGAGGGCTGAAGAGGGGTTGTTGAGGTGGTTTGGTCATTTAGAGAGAATGGATCAAAGTAGAATGACATGGAGAGCGTATAAATCTGTAGGGGAGGGAGGGCGGGGTAGGGGTTGTCCTCGAAAGGGTTGGAGGGAGGGGGTAAAGGAGGTTTTGTGAGCGAAGGGCTTGGACTTCCAGCAAGCATGCGTGAGCGTGTTAGATAGGAGTGAATGGAAACGAATGGTATTTGGGACCTGACGATCTGTTGGAGTGTGAGCAGGGTAATATTTAGTGAAGGGATTCAGGGAAACCGGTTATTTTATATAGCCGAACTTGAGTCTTGGAAATGGAAAGTACAATGCCTGCACTTTAAAGGAGGGGTTTTGGGATATTGGCAGTTTGGAGGGATATGTTGTGTATCTTTATACGTATATACTTCTAAACTGTTGTATTCTGAGCACCTCTGCAAAAACAGTGATTATGTGTGAGTGAGGTGAAAGTGTTGAATGATGATGAAAGTATTTTCTTTTTGGGTCACCCTGCCTCGGTGGGAGACGGCCGACTTGTTAAAAAAAAATAAAAAAAAAATTTAATGTCATTGATTTTAATGGAAAAAACTGTTTTCTGTAATGCTACTTAAAAAGAACTATTGTAAAGATTTTGCCTGGTCTTTTAGTGTCTTGAACTGTGTCTTGCCAGTATCAGTATAGCATTTTTATGTGAAAGGATCTTTTAATAAACTAGAGCTAAAAATACAGCACTTTTAATAATAGCATAATTTCATATGCATTTGTTTTATAATTTCTTTCCTGCCTATTTTTTTCCAGGTATTTCTTCAGATATTCAAGACTCACTGGAGAGAACTCAAACTACTCATGCTAATGTTCAGAGAACTTTGGACCATGTAAACTCAATACATGTGAACCTTACCATCATTAGAGAGCGTACACAGGAACTTAACCGCATTGACGCTTCTCTTCTCAATGAAATTAGAGACAAAAGTAAGAAAATCTTTGTATAGTATGTTGATCTTTTACAGTGTTTCAAAGATCATATTTTGTCTGTTATAAAAAATATTCTTTGGGATTTCTCTCTCTAAAAAATTAGACATTAAGTTGAGTACAATAACCTATACATTATTTTAAGTCAGACAACACTGGGAAACCTAGGTAGTAGGTTGGTAGACAGCAACCGCCCAGGGAGGTACTACCATCCTGCCAAGTGACTGTAAAACGAAAGCCTGTAATTGTTTTACATGATGGTAGGATTGCTGGTGTCCTTTTTTCTGTCTCATGAACATGCAAGATTTCAGGTACGTCTTGCTACTTCTACTTACACTTAGGTCACACTACACATACATGTACAAGCGTATATATACACACCCCTCTGGGTTTTCTTCTATTTTCTTTCTAGTTCTTGTTCTTGTTTATTTCCTCTTATCTCCATGGGGAAGTGGAACAGAATTCTTCCTCCGTAAGCCATGCGTGTTGTAAGAGGCAACTAAAATGCCGGGAGCAAGGGGCTAGTAACCCCTTCTCCTGTATATATTGCTAAATTTGAAAGGAACTTTCGTTTTTCCTTTTGGGCCACCCCGCCTCGGTGGGATACGGCCGGTGTGTTGAAAGAAAGAACACTGGGAAAGTTGTGAGACCCATATTATTCTTTATAATTCATGTTATCTGAAATGTTGGTATAACTATAAATTATAATACCAGTGTAATACTGTAGTGTAAAGCACCCTTCTGGCAAGACAGTGATGGAGTGAATGATGGTGAAAGTTTTTCTTTTTTGGGCCACCCTGCCTTGGTGGGATACGGCTGGTATGTTGAAAGAAGAAGAAAAGAAGAACTAGACTACTGTAGTAACAAAAGTGATTTAGAAATTTCTTTTTTGAGTATAAACAATGGAAATTAATTCTTAATTCAGTTCAGTGTTCATAAGTAAAGGTGAGGTATTTAAAATATTTAGAATATTATTTATTTCTCAAAAAAAAGTCATAGATAAAAATGGTGTTAATTTTGATAAAATTAAATAGAAAATAATTTACTAGTACAGTATATTTATTTCCTTTATATAGTATCAGCAGGAGAGAGTCATACTATGAAAGGAGTTCGTTTAGCAAATAATCTACGGAAGACTGTTGACAGAATTGAGAATCGGGGAAATGATCTAAGAGAAAGGATTGAAGCCCTCAAGAGGAAAATTAAACAGACAAGACAGTATGCATCTTCAGTAAGTTTGTCTACTTTTATTAGTGATGTTTCTCCTTACTTAATCTTTTATCATAAACCTTGATGGTTAAAGAAATAAGGACCTTCATCTGCAGTGGCTTCCTCCTTTTTTCTAGTATTAATTAGAATAATGAGCTTATTTAAAAACAAAAATGCATTTTTTCCCATTTAAGTAAATTTGTGGATTTCAGATTCGTGTATCTCTCACCACCAATTCTTCTGGAATATGTACAAGGAAGTATCGACCTTCACTTCAGCCTTCAACAACAACAAGCATTTTGCTCAGCTATGCTATCAGCAGCTCTGATAAAAATGCTCTCCTGATGTACCTTGGGTCTCACAACTCGGTCAGTTGAAGTAGTGATAATTTTTTACTTTTAGTTTATTGATACAGTCAGGTACAGTTAGCCTGAACACAGTTAGGCCAACAATTTGACATTCCACATTGAATATTTCTTTTTAAGCTGAACCCATAAAAGTAAAAATTAACTTGCTGGACAAGATATTCAAGGATTTTAAGTAACCTATCAATGTTTCTACATTATTGTATGGTATTTAAGCTATGTATAAGCCTATTGAGTGATACTGATTTATGGTGTGAATATTTAGCCAACTACAGGCGATACTTGCCAGTGATCACAATGGATAGATACATTACAACAAATACAAATCCCCTATAGTGTCCTTTCCAATACTTGTTGACACAGTAATGTGCTTTTCTGTCCTGTCATAGATCACAGCCATCCTATTAACTGGTCCTCTGCCAGAACTGTCTACCCTTCTAGCCTTACAGATGCCATCTTGGTGAAGCATCCCTTATACACAACATTTCTGGTATCAGTCTTAGTCCTGGCTTTGCCTCTGTAGATACCTTTCTCATTACATTGTCAGATGCTTCAAACTTCAGAACACTTGTGAATGACTTGATCTTTATCTCCTCACCTTACCTCTTCTCTTTTTCCTATATTTTCTTTGTCTCTCCTTTCTTCTGTCTCAGTGGGTTCTGTAATATGAATTTTCTTCCTGGATTTTTGTCCTACCTCCATGGGCCATTAGCTCTCCTGCAGTGCTTCTTTCTTTTTTCTCTTGTTCTTAGACTACTTCCACTAGTACTGTCTTTGCTTACATTCAAGTCCCTGACTCGTGTATCACTACTACTACTTCTACAATTATACTACTATCTCCTCTTGTTCTATTACTCCCACCCCCTCGTATATGTACTGACTACCTTACTGTTGTGCTTCTGTGTGACTAGTTAATGGTTCAAGTCAGGCCCAAAAGTTGTCTTGAGTTTCATATTGCTTCATGCCACTTATTTGTATATTGTTCCAGTCATTCTTTTGTGCCTTTTTTTTTTATTCATAATGGTAATGAAGACTGAGCAAAACAAATATTATATATTCTGCTGAAGCCTTAATAAAGAATTACATCGAACCCTCTTGAGTAGAAGACAAATGTTACTGGGGAGAACAATAAACTCCATAAATCTAAATTCAACATGTTCACAACACCATAAGATAAAATACAACAAAAGATACGAATTCTATACAGCATAAGGTTTGGGCAACTTAAAGTAAACACGTGCACCAGTAGCTAACTCCAAGAGTTTAGGTGAGCATGCAAAATTAAGTTTTAGTAGAACTGTTAAGGAATTTTACATAATACTAGATAAAACTCTCTGCTCCTGACCACCTTATCTCAGTCTTTGATGATCATTAAGTACAGTATAAGAAAATTGATGAGATTCTTTTTCCTTGCACTCGTTAGCATTGCAGTTGTACAGACACAGGTATTGTGCTACCCATGATTCCATTTTAGAGAATGACAAGCAATTGTCAACCAACAACATTAAATATAAACAACACCTAACAAGGCTGTTCATACTGGGAGTGCTAGGTTAAGCATTGTGTATACACGAATACTTTATTGAGTCATAATCAGTAGTATCTTCATTTAGCTTTTCCCAACACCTGCGCTCAATCCTGATGCCAAACATGCTGCATAAATGCATTACAGTGTTACTTTTGCCCGTATCACTAATACATACAACCTAACTAACTGGAAATTCCTACAGATTCATATGTACATAAGTTGTAAGATGTAGGCTAGAGGTTAACCTGCACACAATGTAGGAAATCATAAAAAAAGGGCTAGAGTGCACACAGCGTAATTTTTAGATTTTGTATTTTTATTAAGCAGGCATTTCTGTAGAACAGTCTTACCTGGGTCTCTGTCCAGTGGAACACAGGAAACAATCCCTCTATAACTGTCATTTCATTTGTCAGACATGGCTGCAAAAAGACAAAAAAAAAGAAAAATTAAAAATGTAAATAGTTTATAAAAATCCATTCTTTACCTAGGGAGTGAGAATATTGCATTATAACATTTTTAACCAATTACTGTTGGACACACGAATATTTTTCCAGATTCAAACACAATTGTAGTAATCATTACGAAGTGACACCAGTACATTTGAAGATGAGTACTGTATACTTCAGCTTCACTGATTTCACTCTCTGATTTTATTGAAGAGGATCTATGTGATGCCTTGATACACAATACAGTACTGTACTATCTTCTGTTTTAATATATCCTTATGTGTTTGTGCCATTATTCCAGACCTGTATTAGGGATTTGGCATTTGTTTAATACCAAAATGTACCAAGGTTATTAAGATAGGAGCATTTTGAAGGAAAATATAATGGAAGAAGTGTCCACTGCAAAAGTATCACTGATTAGATTAACTTTTTATACAAGATTATTAAAATAAAATATAGGAAAATATTAGCAAGATGAACTTCTCATTAATTCTGTAATGCTTGAGCACTAATAACTCATTCAATCAAAAGATGACTAAACACCATGGGTTTGCTCATTTTCATGTAGTACTATCACACTTCATGGTACAGTACATGATAACCTAATATACAGTATTAGCAAAGCACAGCTATATATTATTGTGTTGCACTGAGTAGAACCAGTTAAAAAAAAAGACAAATTACGTGCAATAAAATAATTTCTTTTGGGCCTATTTGGATTATTTATTGAGCAGTTACTGTTTACTAAAAGAGCATTTATGTATCATTTATTTATATATATAACTATCCACAAATGAATTTATGGGTAGTAAAGATTTTTGTATGAATTCTTATCCATTACTGTTACCTATGCTGTAGAGCAAATATTAAATTGTGCATATGGCTGAGATTGAGGTGACCAAGTTCATATCAGTTCCGTCAGAACAATGATCTGTTCTGTTTTCGTAATCATTGCAAAGTTTGCCATAAAACTACCTCATTATTCATGCACCATGATCTCAGTTGTGCCTGTGATAGGATATTTATAATATTGGCAATAGTGACAGAAATAAGATATGGGCCATTATCAAGTTACCCATACTGTTAACTTATGGATCACTATATTGAATGATCCATAACCTAACTGTATGGATTAATGTATTACCATGACCTAAATTGAGGAGCAAGAGAGCATAAATATTTTTAGTATAGCTGGAGATACTCTTCAGATGAGTGAAGAGGACTTGTCTGAAAAATGTCTCCAGCTACAATGAAAACATATACCTTATTTCTTAATGTTTGAGTTATTATAATATTTAACTATATGGTAGGTAGTAGGTTGGTAGACAGCAACCGCCCAGGGAGGTACTACCGTCCTGCCAAGTGAATGTAAAACAAAAGCTTGTAATTGTTTTACATGATGGTAGGATTGCTGGTGTTTTTTGTCTGTCTCATAAATATGCAAGATTACAGGTATGTCTTGCTACTTCTACTTACACTTAGGTCACACTACACATACATGTACACGTTTATTTATGCACACTCATCTGAGTTTTCTTTGATTTTATCTTAATAGTTCTTCATCTTATTACTTTTCCTTTTATATCCATGGGGAAGTGGAATAAGAATCTTTCCTCCGTAAGCCATGCGTGTTGTAAAAGTCAACTAAAATGCCGGGAACAATGGGCTAGTAACCCCTTTTCCTGTAAAGATTACTAAAAAGAATAAGAAGAAGAAAATTGTCAAAGTGGGAAGTCTGAATGTGCGTGGATGTTGTGCAAATGATAAGAAAGAGATGATTGTTGATGTTATGAATGAGAAGAAGCTGGATGTCCTGGCTTTAAGTGAAACAAAGCTGAAGGGGGTGGGAGAGTTTCAGTGGAGAGGAATAAATGGGATTATGTCAAGGGTTTCAAATAGAGTTAGAGCTTTGTAGATGAATGGTTCAGAGAACCGACATGTTGATAAATTAGACACATGTGCAACTCTTGGGTATCTTTATTGAGGAAACGTTTCGCCACACAGTGGCTTCATCAGTCCTCCTGTTCTTCAAGTTTCTCCTACGTATGGACTGATGAAGCCACTGTGTGGCAAAACGTTTCCTCAATAAAGATACCCAAGAGTTGCACATGTGTCTAATTTATCAGAGTTAGAGCTAAAGAAAGAGTAGCAATAATGTTGAAGGATAATATATGGCAGGAAAAGAGGGACTATAAATGTATTAATTCAAGGATTATGTGGAGTAAAATAAAGGTTGGATGTGGAAAGTGGGTTATAGTAAGTGTATATGCACCTGGAGAAGAGAGAAGTGTAGAGGAGAGAGAGAGAGATTTTGGGAAATGTTGAGTGAATGCGTGGGGAGTTTTGAACCAAGTGTGAGAGTACTTGTGGTTGGGGATTTCAATGCTAAAGTGGGTAAAAATGTTGTGGAGGGAGTAGTAGGTAAATTTGGGGTGCCAGGGGTAAATGTAAATGGGGAGCCTTTAATTGAGCTATGTGTAGAAAGAAATTTGGTAATAAGTAATACATATTTTATGAAAAAGAGGATAAATAAATATACAAGGTATGATGTAGCACATAATGAAAGTAGTTTGTTAGATTATGTATTGGTGGACCAAAGGTTAATGGGTAGGCTCCAGGATGTACATGTTTATAGAGGGGCAACTGATATATCGGATCATTATTTAGTTATAGCTACAGTTAAAGTAAGAGGTAGATGGGACAAGAGGAAGGTGGCAACAACAAGTAGGAGGGAAGTGAAAGTGTATAAACTAAGGGAGGAGGAAGTTCGGGTGAGATATAAGCGACTATTGGCAGAAAGGTGGGCTAGTGCAAAGATGAGTAGTGGGGGGGTTGAAGAGGGTTGGATGAGTTTTAAAAATGCAGTATTAGAATGTGGGGCAGAAGTTTGTGGTTATAGGAGGGTGGGGGCAGGAGGAAAGAGGAGTGATTGGTGGAATGATGAAGTAAAGGGTGTGATAAAAGAGAAAAATTTAGCTTATGAGAGGTTTTTACAAAGCAGAAGTGTTATAAGAATAGCAGAGTATATGGAGAGTAAAAGAAAGGTGTAGAGAGTGGTGAGAGAATGCAAAAGGAGAGCAGATGATAGAGTGGGAGAGGCACTGTCAAGAAATTTTAATGAAAATAAGAAAAAATTTTGGAGTGAGTTAAACAAGTTAAGAAAGCCTAGGGAACATATGGATTTGTCAGTTAAAAACAGAGTAGGGAAGTTAGTAGATGGGGAGAGGGAGGTATTATGTAGATGGCGAGAATATTTTGAGGAACTTTTAAATGTTGATGAAGAAAGGGAGGCGGTAATTTCATGCACTGGCCAGGGAGGTATGCCATCTTTTAGGAGTGAAGAAGAGCAGAATGTAAGTGTGGGGGAGGTATGTGAGGCATTACGGAGAATGAAAGGGGGTAAAGCAGCTGGAACTGATGGGATCATGACAGAAATGTTAAAAGCAGGGGGAGATATAGTGTTGGAGTGGTTGGTACTTTTGTTTAATAAATGTATGAAAGAGGGGAAGGTACCTAGGGATTGGCAGGGAGCATGTATAGTCCCTTTATATAAAGGGAAGGGGGACAAAAGAGATTGTAAAAATTATAGAGGAATAAGTTTATTGAGTATACCAGGAAAAGTGTACGGTAGGGTTATTATTGAAAGAATTAGAGGTAAGACAGAATGTAAGATTGCGGATGAGCAAGGAGGTTTCAGAGTGGGTAGGGGATGTGTAGATCAAGTGTTTACATTGAAGCATATATGTGAACAGTATTTAGATAAAGATAGGGAAGTTTTTATTGCATATATGGATTTAGAAAAGGCATATGATAGAGTGGATAGAGGAGCAATGTGGCAGATGTTGCAAGTATATGGAATTGGTGGTAAGTTACTAAATGCTGTAAAAAGTTTTTGAGGATAGTGAGGCTCAGGTTAGGGTGTGTAGAAGAGAGGGAGACTAATTCCCGGTAAAAGTAAGTCTTAGACAGGGATGTGTAATGTCACCATGGTTGTTTAGTATATTTATAGATGGGGTCGTAAAAGAAGTAAATGCTAGGGTGTTCGGGAGAGGGGTGGGATTAAATTATGGGGAATCAGATACAAAATGGGAATTGACACGGTTACTTTTTGCTGATGATACTGTGCTTATGGGAGATTCTAAAGAAAAATTGCAAAGGTTAGTGGATGAGTTTGGGAGTGTGTGTAAAGGTAGAAAGTTGAAAGTGAACATAGAAAAGAGTAAGGTGATGAGGGTATCAAATGATTTAGATAAAGAAAAATTGGATATCAAATTGGGGAGGAGGAGTATGGAAGAAGTGAATGTTTTCAGATACAGTGGACCCTTAACCAGCGATGGCATCGATTAACGATAAATCTGACTAGCGATTCATTTAAACGCAAAAATTTTGCCTCAACTAGCGCTTAAAAACCCGACCAGCACTATTCGTTCTGTACCATACGCGTCCACTTTGGCCTGAGCGCGCCTCACTTGTCCCTTGGGTGTCAGTGTTTACAAGCCAGCCAGCCACTGCGGTCGCTTCCAAACATACAACAACTGGAACATTTCATATAATCACAGCCTTTGTAGTGATTCACCTGCAAAATAAGTCACCATGGGCCCCAAGAAAGCTTCTAGTGCCAACCCTACAGCAAAAAGGGTGAGAATTACTATGGAGATGAAGAAAGAGATCATTGCTAAGTATGAAAGTGGAGTGCGTGTCTCTGAGCTGGTCAGGTTGTATAATAAACCCCAATCGACCATCGCTACTATTGTGGGTAAGAAAACGGCAATCAAGGAAGCTGTTCTTGCCAAAGGTGCAGCTGCTGCTGCACCACAGTCAGCTGTTGTTGTTGCTACACCACCATCAGCTGTATTACTCGAAGATGTGGAGAGAGTGTTGTTGGTGTGGCTTAACGTGAAACAGTTACCGAGAAACGATTAACCCCGGAGGGTTAGCCACCCAGGATAACCCAAGAAAGTCAGTGCATCATCGAGGACTGTCTAATTTATTTCCATTGTGGTCCTTAATCTTGTCCCCCAGGATGCGACCCACAACAGTTGACTAACACCCAGGTGAACAGGAAAAAATGCCTGGAACTAGTGCTCATATTGGCGAGGTTAGTGGGGAGGATGTGGAAGAGTTGGTGGAGGAGGACAGTGAAGAACAAACCACTGATGAGCTGCTAGATCATCTTCAACAGTAAGAGGCCACACCTGAGGAAACTGCTTCGGAGGAGGGGAGAGAGAAATTGAAGAAGTTGTCTACTTCAAAGGAAATGTGTGCAAAGTGGCTTAAAGTGCAAATCTTTTTTGATGAAAATCACCCTCACACAGCTATTGCAAGCCGTGCTGGTGACTGTTACACTGACAATGTTGTGAAACACTTTAGGATAAAGGAACGAGAGGTACAGGCCTCTATGGACAGATATGTTGTGCGACAGAAGTCCAGTGACTCTGAAGCTGGTCCTAGTGGCATTAAAAGAACAAGGGATGTAACCCCAGAAAAAGACTTACTGCCTCAAGTGCTAATGGAAGGGGATTTCCCTTCTAAACACTAACAAGATCAACGATCTCCCCTCCTCCCATCCCATCAATCATCACCAGATCTTCAATAAAGGTAAGTGTCATGTAACTGTGTATGTCTTCTTCAGTTTGTGTGTATTAAAATTAATATTTCATGTGGTAAAATTTTTTTTTTTCAATACTTTGGGGTGTCTTGCACGGATTAATTTGATTTCCATTATTTCTTATGGGGAAAATTAACTTGACTAACGATTATTTTGATTAACGATGAGCTCTCAGGAATGAATTAATATCGCTGGTTGAGGGTCCACTGTACTTGGGAGTTGACGTGTCGGCGGATGGATTTATGAAGGATGAGGTTAATCATAGAATTGATGAAGGAAAAAAAGGTGAGTGGTGCGTTGAGGTATATGTGGAGTCAAAAAACGTTATCTATGGAGGCAAAGAAGGGAATGTATGAAAGTATAGTAGTACCAACACTCTTATATGGGTGTGAAGCTTGGGTTGTGAATGCAGCAGTGAGGAGGCAGTTGGAGGCAGTGGAGATGTCCTGTCTAAGGGCAATGTGTGGTGTAAATATTATGCAGAAAATTCGGAGTGTGGAAATTAGGAGAAGGTGTGGAGTTAATAAAAGTATTAGTCAGAGGGCTGAAGAGGGGTTGTTGAGGTGGTTTGGTCATTTAGAGAGAATGAATCAAAGTAGAATGACATGGAGAGCATTTAAATCTGTAGGAGAAGGAAGGCGGGGTAGGGGTCGTCCTCAAAAAGGTTGGAAGGAAGGGGTAAGGGAGGTTTTGTGGGCGAGGGGCTTGGACTTCCAGCAGGCGTGCATGAGCATGTTCGATAGGAGTGAATGGAGATGAATGGTATTTGGGACCTGACGATCTGTTGGAGTGTGAGCAGGGTAACATTTAGTGAAGGGATTCAGGGAAACCGGTTATTTTTATATAGCCGGACTTGAGTCCTGGAAATGGGAAGTACAATGCCTGCACTCTAAAGGAGGGGTTCGGGATATTAGCAGTTTGGAGGGATATGTTGTGTATCTTTATACGTATATGCTTCTAAACTGTTGAGGTCTGAGCACCTCTGCAAAAACGGTGATTATGTGAGTGAGGTGAAAGTGTTGAATGATGATGAAAGTATTTTCTTTTTGGGGATTTTCTTTCTTTTTAGGTCACCCTGCCTCAGTGGGAGACTGCTGACTTGTTAAAAAAAAAAAAAAAAAAAAAACTATATGGTTATGAATGTTCTGGCTAACCAAAATATCATTTTTAAAATTTACAGCTAGTGTAAATTTCTCTTAAAATTTTGGTGAAGAAATAACCTAAATATTACTAGTTAGTAAATTAAAATTTTGCAGTAAAAATACAAAATAGACCCCAAAATAGTGCTAAAAATTTTAAATAATTTTGAAGATTTCTATTTTTTTCATCAGTATTATCCAATCCTTTGTGTAACTCACTGGTATGTGTGTGATTGTACAATGCAATACAGTATATGAAAATGGGAAAATACAGGTTACAATTAAATTACCAGTGATTTTGCTGACATATTCCTGTATTATAGCATTATAAAAAGTAACCTTAAATAGATCATTTTAGTCTGACTGGAAGAATAATTTTGGATATCTACAATATTTTCTTAATGTTTAGCTCTTCAAATGGTGTTTTTTCTTACTTTTGACCATCTTACCAAAAAATACACAACTGAATGTAGTTACCATATGTCTAATAGTAACTAGAAATTTCTCTGAAATAAGCAGTGTTCTCATTTTCCAACTAAAGAATGGATTTCAGGAGTTATCATGTCCAGTTGTAATTTTTGGTTAAATGCACATCAGTGTTTTACATAAATTGATTCTTATACTCAAATTTTCCAACAGAAATAATTTCTTAATTGTTTCTCATAAAGAACTGTAAATTGTACAAGACTCCACTAAAATTCAAAAATTTTGAACTAATTTGCCTTGAAAACAACAATGCCTCTACTTTCCTTATGCATTTTTTCTAATCTAAATTAATTGTACGGCACGAGAATGAAATTTCTAATTTTCTTACATTATATTTTCTGTTTTTTTTTTTTTTTTTGTTTGTTTGTTTTTTTAGAGTGATTTCATGGCAGTTGAGATGGTAAATAGAAAAATTGAATTCTCTTGGGATGCTGGTGGTGGAGCTCAGAGGATCACTCACCCACTGAAGCTCCTGACCAACACACCTCAGGTTTCTGATGATACACGGTGGTAAGCAGGAGAAATCAAGACTTCTGTTAAATTAATAATAGAATATTACACAAAAATTATAAGTAATAAAGTTAAACAAAAATTCTATATTAACTAACTCTCAAATGATCATTTATATGCATATTTGAAGCCATAAATAGCACTAAATATGTAGTACCTAAATGCTTTACAAAATATACTTTACTCAGATCTTAGGGGTATTTGCTATAAAAAAATCTTTAATACTGTACAATATGTGGTTATGATGTAATTTTGTTCATTAATCAACAATGCACACAGAAAAAATTCAAGACATAATAATTTGTGAAATTCATTCTTCCTGGGAAGAGAGAATGTGTTATCATTTGGGGGTGGGGGGGGGGGTTACTCTGCCTTGTTGGAGGTACATCAGTTTCAGCGAAAATGAAAACAAAAAAGCAAAATATACAATTCTAAAATTAGTCAGAACAGAATGTAATTTTGCATTCAAGACTGCTTTATAAAACTCTAACATAAGAAAATGTCAGCAAAACACTGTTTGTACATTATTCTTACAACCCTAGTTGAAAGACAAATTAGCACTCTCATTATATTTATTACTATATACCATTTTTCCACATAATATATTGTAATTTCACGTACCTGGGAGTCCTAAAAAGCACAGCTATAAACTAGAGAGTAACAAAGCAGTACCAATAGTTCTTCTATGTTTACAATTACATGTTATTGAACAGAAATCAAGCATTTTTAACTACTGTTGATATAACTACTTTTTAACACTGATTTTTTTTGTGTTCTTACTTATAAAGCAATTTAATTTTCAAAGAATTTTGTCTTATCATTTCTGTATAAAGGGAAAAAGATATTTATATTACACTTTTAAAAGATATGACAAAATTATCGTAAGCCATAGTACTCATACTCAGGCAGGGGAAGGGGGGGGGTTGCTTGTGTGCATGTTGCATACATATAGAGAGTGCAACAGACAAGTGAACTACCAGCAGCAATACTCACAGCAAGAGGCATTCTTGAGCTTCCCCAGTGCTCAGACATAATGTCTAAAGCTGGGGGTGACTCCAAAAGGACCCTTTAGTGCTTGCTGCTTTGCACCTCTTGACATCGTCTGCTGCTATGCAGCTGCCACACCCTTCAAGCCCAGTGTGGGCAGGGTCTGTGGCAGCCCAGGTGCCTAGCTTCTCCCTCCAAGCCCCATGGGGGCAGCTAGTCCCAGAAGACAAGGAGGCACTTGTACCTCCACCCATGGCAGACATTGGTCTGAGACACTCCCAAGAAAGGGAGCCAAGGCTGGACCACCACTTTGAAAAGGCCCGGGCCGGGCAATTATACCGGTGAATCTACATGCATACATACATACATACGTATGTGCCTACATACATACCAGAGCAAGTAACTACCTGGTGTGCATGTTTCACACTCATATGACAGAGTAGTAGTACTGTACTTTTCTGCACTCTACTACCTGATTGTCTCCTAAATTTAAGATTATCACTATAGTTTAAGGTTTTCAACCATTTCAGAAGTGACATCCTATAAGCATACTAGTTAATTGTATCTGATCAAACGTGTGTATAAAGTCATTGTATTGTGTCCTTGTGCACATTGCAATGTATTGCAACTTTTTTTAACTTTAGTGTTCTAACAAAGTTCTTGAGTTTCACTTTAATTAATCGTTGTTGCTTTCATCATAAGGTACCACATCACTATCAATCGCATTGGAAACATTGGTCAGTTATCTGTAACTCCAGCAAATATTGAAGGTCCAGCTGAAGTAGTAACACCTGTTAGTAATGCTTCCCCTCCAGGTTTTAGTAAGATGGATCTACTGCCTTCAGATATTCTCTGGATAGGTGAGTATAACTTAGAACTGACTGAGTATATTCAAAACAAAATAACAAGGTTTGTGCAATAATGCAAAAAGCATTCACTAATAATTTGATTTTTTAATATTTAAAATTAAGTGTCCAAATAAATAAATAACGATTTTGTATTGTGGGTAAAATTACTGTACTGTATATTGTACAGGTACCATGGGTGTATGCATGTCATTGTATTGTAGCCAGTGTAGTCAGACAAGATATAATTAACTAGAAATTAAATTTTCTTCTGGAATGATGGATATATGTATCTAATGGAATGATGGATATATGTATATTACAGGCTTGGGGGCTCCAGACAACTTGAACTTTGGGATATTTTTTTTTGTTTGTTTGTTTGTTTTTTTCAACAAACTGGCTATATCCCACCAAGGCAGGGTGACCTTAAAAAGAAAAAACGAAAGTTTCTCTTTTTAAATTTAGTAATTTATACAGGAGAAGGGGGTACTAGTCCCTTGCTCCGGCATTTTAGTCACCTCTTACGACATGCCTGGCTTATGGAGGAAGAATTCTGTTCCATTTCCCCATGGAGATGGGATAAATATATATGTTTTATTACATAATTCCATCTAACAAAGTGAAAAATTTTAACAGTAATAAACTAACGAGTATTCAGTAAATGACCATGATAATTCTTTAGACTACTGGCAATGGTCAGGCTGAATGAACAGGCCTATATTTTTCCAGATATCCCAATGAGTGGAAAACTTGTGGAATTCTCTGAAAACTGAGGTGATTACAAAAATTTAAACAAAAGTGGCATTAGTAATGCCCTAGATGGCACTAAAAATTATTTTTATGTAACAGTAGTAACACACCTAATTCTAGTGACCCCGAGGAATGTGAGGAAGATAATGATAGCAAGGAATTGGAGGAGAATGACAGTTATTGTGACTTTCAGGAATTTGAAAGTGAATAAAGTTTTATAATGGTTGAAAGTTAATAAGATTATGGTATATTGAGAATATGGTAGTTATGTTACTACATGCTGGCATGTTTTGCTATGAATACTGTATATTCTTTTTAAAAATAGTGGCAATAAAAGAATATTATTATAAAAACATTAACCAATAAAAATATAAAAAACATTGATACCTACCAAGGTAAGGTGACACGAAAAAGAAACACTTTCACAGTCATTCACACTATCGTTGTCTTACCAGAGGCCATGGTCATAGCACAGTTGAGATGCAAGCAGACAACAAACATGTTGCAATCAAAACATTGAAATCGTTGTTGCCTCCCGACAGACAACTGAACTAACACTGTCACTCACATTCCCACTAATGCAGTAATTTATGTTCCCTGATGGTGTTTAAAATACATGGGAAGAATCAGTTTAAAGTAATAGACATTGGCTGAACTACCTCAGACCAAGTGCTCTAGAAATTAATAAACAATGTAAGGTAACCAAGGTGTAATTTAGAGGGCTGAGAAGGTGTTACCAAGGTGGTTCGGGCATATAGAGAGGATGGAGAGGGATAGGATGACAAAATGCATTTGTAAAACTCAAGTGGAATGGTTGGAGAGAGGGGGTAAAGGACATATCCAGCAGGCTTGTGTGAACACGTTAAATAGGCATAACTGGAGACATTTATTATTATAATCAAAAACCAAGTGCCAAACCCATTACGGTCATAGTTACATGGAGACAAGTAGTTTTTAATAGGCATGCTGCTGGAGTGTGAGCAATGAAACATTTATGAAAGGATTAGGGAAAACCTGGTTAGCTGGACTTAGTCCTGGAGGTGGGAAGTGCAGTGTATGCACTCTGAAAAGGGTGAGAATGTTGCAGTTGGAGGGTCTAAATTTGATGTCAGGACACATCTGGAAAGATGGCAATTTTATGAACATTTTCTTTGGGCCATCCTGCCTTGGCACAGATTTAGTCATTTACTTAAAAAAGAAAATTATCATATATATATATTTATACTAGGTAGTAGGTTGGTAGACAGCAACTGCCCAGGGAGGTACTACCATCCTGCCAAATGAGTGTAAAACGAAAGCCTGTAATTGTTTTACATGATGGTAGGATTGCTGGTGTCCTTTTTTCTGTCTCATAAACATGCAAGATTTCAGGTACATCTTGCTACTTCTGCTTACACTTAGGTCACACTACACATGTACAAGCATATATATACATGCAACCCTCTGGGTTTTCTGCTATTTTCTTTCTAGTTCTTGTTCTTGTTTATTTCCTCTTATCTCCATGGGGAAGTGGAACAGAATTCTTCCTCCGTAAGCCATGCGTGTTGTAAGAGGCGACTAAAATGCTGGGAGCAAGGGGCTAGTAATCTCTTCTCCTGTATAAATTACTAAATTTAAAAAGAGAAACTTTTGTTTTTCTTTTTGGGCCACCCTGCCTCGGTGGGATACGGCCGGTTTGTTGAAAGAAGAAGAAGAAGATATATTTATACTAGGTAGTAGGTTGGTAGACAGCAACTGCCCAGGGAGGTACTACCGTCCTGCCAGGCGAGTGTAAAACGGAAACCTGTAATTGTTTTACATGATGGTAGGATTGCTGGTGTCCTTTTTTCTGTCTCATGAACATGCAAGATTTCAGGTACGTCTTGCTACTTCTACTTACACTTAGGTCACACTACACATACATGTACAAGCATATATATACACACTCCTCTGGGTTTTCTTCTATTTTCTTTCTAGTTCTTATTCTTGTTTATTTCCTCTTATCTCCATGGGGAAGTGGAACAGAATTCTTCCTCCATAAGCCATGCGTGTTGTAAGAGGCGACTAAAATGCCGGGAGCAAGGGGCTAGTAACCTCTTCTCCTGTATATATTACTAAATGTAAAAGGAGAAACTTTCGTTTTTCCTTTTGGGGCACCCTGCCTCGGTGGGAAACGGCCAATTTGTTGAAAGAAGAAGAAGTAGGAGGTTGGTAGAAAGCAGCTGCCCAGGAATTCCGGTACTGCCATCCTGCCAAGTGAGTGTAAAACAGAAGCCTGTAATTGTGTTACATGATGGTAGGATTGCTGGTGTCTTTTTTCTGTCTCGTAAACATGCAAGATTTCAGGTACGTCTTGCTACTTCTACTTACACTTAGGTTACACTTCGCATGCATGTACAAGCATATATATATATACACATCCCTCTTGGTTTTCGTCTATTTTCCTGCTAGTTCTTGCTCTTGTTTATTTCCTTTTATCTCCTTGGGAAAGTGGAACAGAATTCTTCCTCTGTAAGCCATGTGTGTTGTAAGAGGCGACTAAAATGCCAGGAGCAAGGTGCTAGTGACCCCTTCTCTTGTATACACTACTAAAGTTAAAAGGAGAACCTTTTTTTTTGGGGGGGGTCACCCTGCCTTAGTGGGATATGGCTGGTGCATTGAAAGAAGAAGATATATACATTCATACTGTAGTGTATATACATTTTTTTTTTACCAGGTGGGATTCCTGCTTCAGCACAAAACATAGTGAAAACCAAGACGTTTGCTGGATGCTTACACACACTCTCAATAGATGGGGAACACATTGGTCTCTGGAACTTCACAGAGTCTGAAGGCTGTGGAGCCTGTAATGAAGGGTAAGTGCAATGTGAGATCTCTTGTTTTTTACCCCATATTTAAAATGCTCTACTTTCCACACTTTGAGAAAAATAATTTGTGAAATTAATTTTCTGTGCACCACATCACACAGTTTAATAGTTAAATAGAGTTTTTATCGTATCCATACCCTTGGCATTTTCTACCTTTTTGTTTGCTGCTGCTTCCACGGTCATATGGTATGGGTGGTAAGATTGGTGTGTGGTTAATGAAACCCCTGCCACTTTCTGACTGGGGGTTTGAATGAACCACAAAAATTGCATTCACCTCAAGAACAGTAGATGTTGCTTGATTTGCTACTGGTGTAATTTCCACATCAGCAGACATACCCAACAAGTAAGGTTGGGGCAGATAATTGCACAATTAAAGTCAAAAGTGATGAATTAGTTCATATTTATTAGACTAGTTAATTCCTGGATGTTGTTCCTTGGTGCTTTGCTGAACTCCAACGCAAAAGGTAGTTTGTCATACTTAAAACCTTAGCAGCAGGAAACTGCCTTAATATGTAATTTTGAAACAAGCTTGCAAAACTGCAAGATGCAGATACATTGTACTTGTCTATAATATTTACCACATTAACATGCTAGGCAAAACTTTGCAATAAATCCTTTAGAGTAGAGCTATAGAGCTATAGATAAATATTCATTAGTGAGTATAGATATTCACATATTAACCCTTTCAGGGTTTCCGACGTACTTGTACGGCTTACGCACCAGGGTTACTGACGTACTAGCACACATAAGTTCTAGTGCCTTCAAATCTAGCGAGAGAAAGCTGGTAGGCCCACATATGAAAGAATGGGTCTATGTGGTCAGTGTGCACAGTATAAAAAAAATTCCTGCTGCACACAGTGCGTAATGAGAAAAAAACTTTGACCGTGTTTTTGGTTTAAAACAGCGAATTTGCACTGTATTTTCGTATGGTATTTATGGTTGTATTCTAGTTTTCCTGGTCTCATTTTATAGAATAGAAGTCATCTTACAGAAATTTAGATGATTTTAATTGGTTTCACAATGAAAAGTACCTTGAAATTGAGCTCAAAGTAGCAGAAATGTTCGATTTTTGCCAAAGTTCAAAAGTAAACAAATCAAGCCATGAGTCCAATACATGTCAACTGGTGAGTCCAATATTCTTTCACAAGTGCGCTGATATTATTTATATCATTTCTACACTAATGCAGTAGTCTGCATAACAGTAAATTTTCTATTTTTTGTGAGAATAAAAATTCAAAGTGGAAAGCAAAAGAAATGTAAGAGGGGCCTGGGGACGTGACTAATGAACAGAGAAAATGTTATTTTAGTGCCAGGAATGTCTTTCTTGTTTATTCTGGACCCTATTTGGAAATTGGCATCTTTTGAAATTTGTGTGAAATTGGCAAAATTGCTAATTTCTGGCCACTTTATTGGATAGTTGAATTGGTAAATGGGAGGTTTCTTGTAGTCATTCGATAGAAAAAAGGGAGTTCTAGAGAAATAGTTATGATTTTTGTCGGCTAGTACACTGGAATTAGTCAAAAATGGGGCTCAAAGTGGGTGAAATCGCCAATGTGTAAACATCGTCGCGACCACTAACTTTGCGAGAACATAATTTCGTAAGTTTTCCATCAAATTTCATGCTTTTGGTGTCATTATGATCTGGAAAAGATTCTCTATCTTTTCATAAGAAATTTTTTTTTTTTTTTCCGAAAATTTTTCGACCCTGAGAACAAGTTTAGGAGAAGGCCTCTTGACCCTGAAAGGGTTAAAAAGAAAATTACAGTATACAAGTGTTATGGAAGTGAAGATATACACTATTTAACACTTCATAAGCTGTCAATTCAAATATATATGCAAATATGGAAATGCACATTCAAGTAAAATATTTGTATGTGTCTTACACTTATGGGTGAAACATATTTGAATATACATTCAAAAAATTATATCAGTAAATTTTTTTTTTTTTAAGTATCAGAGATACAATCTGCCACTGCAAACTCTGGATAAATATGAAGGTATATTTAATAATTTACCTATATATAATAATTTTGTTGTTTAATATATTCCAGATTTTCTTAGTTATATTTTGCATTCACTCTACACTATAATTTTTTTTTTTCATCAAACCAGCCATATCCCGCCGAGGCAGGGTGACCTGAAAAGAAGAACGAAAGTTTCTCTACTAAGTATAAATATATGGACTTAAATTAATAAAGCATTCAGGAAGAAAGTTTATAATTATAAAGTACTATATATGTAACCCTTTGTGTATTACACAAAAGTTCAGTACTTTTTCAATATTACAGAGAGGAATTGGTGTCAAGACAAGCAGATGAAATTGCTCTTGGATTTAATGGCAAGGGTTATTTCAAGGGCACAAATAGAATAAGAATACCAAAGCAACATTACAGTACTGTCCTGGCTTTCAAAAGTCTAGACGAAGATGCACTACTCTTCTTAGCTGTAAATGAGGTTAAAGTAAGTATTGTATGTATGATACCTGTCTCCACTGCAATGTTACCATATTTTCTGGCATATAAGGAGCTGTCCATTTTTTTTTCCTCTCTCAACAGAAGTCTTGGAAAATCACCCTGTGGCATATATGCTCAAAGTCAGGGTGAAGGGTAGGCTTTGGGTTACTGGCAAATAGTGTTTTATAAATGGACATGCAATTCATTATAGTAATAAAATTGTAATACTTTTGCACCTTATATGCTGGAAAATGTGGTAATTTTATTGTACTTGTAGTTCATCTGTTATCAGTAGATGATTATTGTGTAAATAATTACAAGCTATCTAAGTAAATGAACTAGTGATAAATTGTTAGGTAAAAGGACACAAGTGCAACTAATGTGACATTTTATTGTGGCAACGTTTTGCTTTCCAGGAGCTTTATCAAGCCATTAAAAACAATACATGGACACAGAGGGTATATATATAGGCTTAGAGTGAGGTGTAATACCAATAATAGCAATATTACTTGTGGTAGTAGTGGCAATACAATATGGTAGAACAATCAACTTGCACATGAGTAAAAGGTAGCATAAAAATAGGTTAGACAGATATTTCTGTTAGTGGTTGGATTTGAGGAGGTCTGTTTCAGTGTTCCTCCTCTGTTATGTTCTAGTGCAGTATTAGCAGCAGTGACTATATGATGGCAGGGTTTATTGTTTTGAGGAGGATTTTTACTAATACTTCAGAAATGATGAAGCTAGTAATAAATTGAAATTTTTATACATATTCACTGTACGTAATTGGAATAATCCCTTTCAATCTACATAAACGACATAGATGAGGGCATAAAGAGCGACATCGGCAAGTTTGCCGATGACACCAAAATAGGCCGTCGAATTCATTCTGACGAGGACATTCGAGCACTCCAGGAAGATTTGAATAGACTGATGCAGTGGTCGGAGAAGTGGCAGATGCAGTTTAATATAGACAAATGCAAAGTTCTAAATGTTGGACAGGACAATAACCATGCCACATATAAACTAAATAATGTAGATCTTAATATTACGGATTGCGAAAAAGATTTAGGAGTTCTGGTTAGCAGTAATCTGAAACCAAGACAACAGTGCATAAGTGTTCGCAATAAAGCTAATAGAATCCTTGGCTTCATATCAAGAAGCATAAATAATAGGAGTCCTCAGGTTGTTCTTCAACTCTCTACATCCTTGGTTAGGCCTCATTTAGATTATGCTGCACAGTTTTGGTCACCGTATTACAGAATGGATATAAATTCTCTGGAAAATGTACTAAGGAGGATGACAAAGTTGATCCCATGTATCAGAAACCTTCCCTATGAGGATAGACTAAGGGCCCTGAAACTGCATTCTCTAGAAAGACGTAGAATTAGGGGGGATATGATTGAGGTGTATAAATGGAAGACAGGAATAAATAAAGGGGATGTAAATAGTGTGCTGAAAATATCTAGCCTAGACAGGACTCACAGCAATGGTTTTAAGTTGGAAAAATTCAGATTCAGGAAGGATATAGGAAAGTACTGGTTTGGTAATAGAGTTGTGGATGAGTGGAACAAACTCCCAAGTACCGTTATAGAGGCCAGAACGTTGTGTAGCTTTAAAAATAGGTTGGATGAATACATGAGTAGATGTGGGTGGGTGTGAGTTAGACCTGATAGCTTGTGCTACCAGGTCGGTTGCCGTGTTCCTCCCTTAAGTCAATGTGACCTGACCTGACTAGGTTGGGTGCATTGGCTTAAGCCGGTAGGAGACTTGGACCTGCCTCGCATGGGCCAGTAGGCCTTCTGCAGTGTTCCTTCGTTCTTATGTTCTTAAATAAAAGACTGAATTACTGTATAAAATAAGTACCAGTCTAACTAAAATTCTCATGATTTTTTTTTATATAAAAATTTAATTATCTTTAGGTTAACCATTGAAATTTAATACAGGTGCTAATAATACTGCCGACTACTTCCTTCACAGAATCAGTTCTTCAGCATAGCCTTGGATAATGGTCACGTAGTTTTTACTGTGCAGTTTGATCCTCAAACTCGCCTTGTGATGAAGTCTAGCAAACAGCTCAACAATAATGAAAATATGGTCCAGATTCAAGCGACTGTGCAGAATAAAGCCATAGGTAAACAAAGCATTTTCTGTTTGCTTAACCTTGGTACTAATACATTATTAGAAAGGCATTCCTTGAAGAAATTAAAGATGCTTATCTTAAACAATAATTGCCATCACTTTTCATTTTCATATTTTCTTAACTTTAGTATTTTTTTTGTACTCCTATTCTTTGTCTTTCCCCTACACTTACAAAACTCACACACACAATAAATTTCGTATCATTCACCATGTTGTTGGGTGGCATTTACTAAAAAGCATTTCTCCATACATGACGTTACTCATTTGGATGAGTGGTATTAACTATAAAAGTGCTTTATCACTTTTGTTTAACTTTTAGATTATTCTTATTGTAATATCCATTTAAATAAATTTATTGAAAAATATTTTATTTTGTCATGTAATTTTATTGCACAGCTATTGTATCAATGTTTTAAGTGTCATACAAAGATAATATCTGATTCTTATTTACACTTTCTGTTAAAAGCTGGTGCGCGAATGGGCCGACTGGTCGTTGGTGACCAAAACCAGCTAGGAACTGTGAAAGGAGGACCAGACCTTGATCTCTCCTATGTACCTTATTACTTTGGTGGTGTTGATCCTGAGTTTAACAAAGAAAGGTTTGTTTAGTACTTGTATATTATTAATGTGTAAAGATATGATATGATAACTGAATTTTAAAAAATAAAAATGGTTCACCAATAAGCCATCAAAAAGCTTTGATCAGATAACTAAAAGCTTCACCAGTAATGGGTCATTTTATAACTAAGAACTATGTCAGGAGAAAGTTTCCCATGCTTAAAATTAACCTCTACCCAGTATCTGCATTGTTATTACAGCATCTAACCATGATTTTATTTTGTCTTTAGTAATAATAATAATTTGGGATTTTATAATTCTTGAGTATTTGTTCTTGTGAGGGCATGAGCTACAGTAAAATGAGTTTTGCCTGTAATTATCTGCAACTGTGTGTATTTACCAACCAGTATTACTGTTTGTGGAAAGGAAGCTCTAGCTCCTGAATTCTTCAACTGGTGTAGTGGTGCCTTCACACTATATATTTTGTTAGGTTAATACAGTATTAGAGCATCTCAGGTATGGGGCTTTAGTTTTGCTTGGTTCAGATCAGGCCTTTTTTTTTTTAACACCAGCTGTTTTCCACCAAGGCAGGGTGACCTAAAAAGAAAAAGGCGAGTTTTCCTTTTTATGTTTAGAGCCCTTTATATCCCTTTATTCAGAAAATGAGATATGTACTTGGCTCTGTCAATTTTTCATTAGAGAGTTGCTAACCATTTAAAATAGGAAATACATGTTACTTTTATAATTTTTATCCATTACCATTCATAACATTTACTTTATGATAGACTGTAAACCCAGCACCAGAACTGTACGAGAAGTAAATCAGTAGGAAAATGTTTAAAGAAATTTTTCATATATTTAAGGTAATACTGTTAAAATCTTGATATACTTGCAACACATTACATATTTTGAACTGAGAAAAGTTAAAAAAAAATTGTATTATGATTCATTATAATTAATTGGCAACTTTATAAGAAGCCTTCAGTATAAATCAACTTCATTTAAATATTTTAATTTTGTTAACAGATGGAGCAGTGAGTTAATTCTGCGTTCACTCTTGGGCTGTATGGCAGGACTGAGTGTGCTGGAAGAAGGCAAAAATCCACTCACTGATGGACAGTATTATGGTGTTGAACAGTCTTGCCCTGAAAAGGTATATTACTCTTTCCATCAATCATGCAATCTAACCATCATGCTTAAGATAATTTCATTGGCAAAAATTCACTGTTACATATGGCTTTTCATATGTGGGTTCGATGCAGCATTTGCATGGAACTACACCTGAAAAACCATATTAAGAAACTTGAGAAAGTGCAGGGTATGCAACAAAACTAGTTTGAGGGAAATGAGGTATGAGCTAATGGATTTTGAATTTAAAGACACTTGAGTACAGAAGAACAAGGGAAGACATAACATATAAAGTACTTAGAGAAATTGATAAGGTAGACATGGATAGGCTGTTTGAGAGGCAAGAAACCAGTTACTTACATTAGCTTGTTTTGACTGCGGTAGGAGTTATAAATAAACGGAGTGTAACTTGCGTATTATTATCATAATCAAAGAAATAATGTGTATAATTTTTTTTTTTTATGATAAAAGCTGGTAATTTAAGGCTAAAGTTTTGAGAACTTTGCATTTTTAATATTGCTCATTCTTCCACAGCCATTAAATGATGTAGGCTTCCTTGGTCAAGGATTTATAGAACTTCAGTCTCATGTCCTGAAGCGCGAATCAAACTTTGGATTCACATTCCAAACCATGGAAGCAGATGCCCTCTTAATGCTCTCTACATTCATTGGACAGGTAAATGTGAAGGTCATATTGGCAATGATTAGATCTGTTATACTGTATATGGTTGGTTTTAAAAGTATTTTTTTTAATTAGCATGTTTATTGTTAATGATTAAAAGAAATGGGAATTAGTATTAATGTATTGAATGTTTATAGAAAAATGAATATTCACGGGTAATTATTTCATGCATTTTTATTATCGATAAGCATGCTCTAAATTTGCACTACAAGAAGTTGTGTTTTCAGGTGAAAGCTTCGGTATTGATACACCTCTTTCCAATTTTACGTGAAAGATAGCATTCATAGAAATTGTCATTTGCTGAAAACTGCATATGGGCAAAATATGGATGTTCCTAGCATCTCCTAAAACTGTTTTTACTCGTGCTATGAAAAAGAAAAATGCATTGTCCAGCACAGCACTTGCAAATTTTGTAGAGATGGTTGACATATAGTAACACATGGGTGTTGAGCAAGAGTGGAATATTGGTTGGGGTGAGAGAGTAATAGCTGGTCAGATTCTATGTTCATTTTCTCATCAGTGGCAAGTGTTAGTGTAAGGCAGTGAAGCAATGAAATAAATCACGAAATGACAGATTCCATATGGTTGTTCAAACATTAACCCTTAAGCTACCGATGACATACACTTATGCCAACTAGCAAAATGCCATTGATGTGAAATTGCGCCAAAATTTTAGGACTTCCAGGATAGTCCCAATTGGGAATATGTACATCAGAGAAAATAGGTCTGTGCTGTAGGTGTGCAGTGTGTAAAATAAGCAGTGTTGTCCACAAGGCATTGTGAAACCCATTAAATGCCAGTGATAGTAGGTCCAGCGCTGTTTTGTTGATGTTTCTGTCAGTAGCCCACATCTGTAAAGTAAAAGGACACAAGTGCAACTAATGTGACATTTTTTATTGTGGCAACGTTTCGCTCTCCAGGAGCTTTGTCAAGCCGCTCCTGGAGAGCAAAACGTTGCCACAATAAAAAATGTCACATTAATTGCACTTGTGTCCTTTTACATTACATATTGTCGGTAATTCTACCAACATTATTACAGCCGCCCACATCTGTGACCGCTCTCTCTTCCCACAGCTTCAGTAGCTTTTGTGCTAAATCTGTTTGGACTACATTTGTTTAGTGTTATTGAACAGGAAATATAAGTGAAATGTAATATTAACCCTTAAATGGTCCAAACGTATATATACGTTTTTTCAACATTTGAAAGTATGTAAAAAAATGTAGATCTTCTTTCTTGTTTTTCATTTAAAAATGTGCAAAAAAAACTTTTATCTACATTTTTTTTTTGTTATTTTTGAAAATATGTAAAAAAAACGTAGATCTACTTTTGGAGCACTACGGATTTGAACGTCGATTTGTTTGGACCGTTTAAGGGTTAAACATAGATATACATAGGTATAAAACATGGCCCATAAAAAATTTGAAAAATGGAACAAATAAAAAAATGTTAAAACACAGGAATGTATGAATAAGTGGATTGAGCAGAAAGCCAAAAAAAAAAAGTGCATCACTAAATATTGTCCTAAGGAAGGAAAAAAAATTAGAGTACTATAAGACAGTGTGTCATAGGGAAGGGAGGAAGACCTGAATTAGTCCTTGTTTAGTACTGGCCTGTTCCACATGTTCAGGTTGCTCAGTTGATTTCCAAATATATTTTCTGATGAAAGTGCTTCTGCTGACCACACTGCTGCAGGAAATTTCCCTGCTGAATTCGAGGAAATTATTTCTGAGGATGGCTTGAGCAAGTGTTTAATGCTGATGAGACAAGTCTTTATTAAACAATGATGATACCAAGGACTTGCATCAGCAAGCAAGAGAAAAATGCACCAGGATTCAAGGTAGCAAAGGATGACTTTAGATTGCTACTGTGTGGTAATTAATGCATCAGGCGATTTTAAGTGTAAGATCATTCTTATTTACCACTCCAAGACTCGGTACTTTGAAAGTTACAGACAAAACCACCTTGCCAGTTATTTGAGGGCCAAACCAGTCAGCATGGATAACAGAGGAATTGTTGACTGGCTTAAGCATTTTATTCCATAAGTCATATTTTACCTGTGCAGCAACAAACCTTGCATTCAAGGTTCTCTTTATTCTTGATAATTCTCATACTCACCCAGAACTCTTAGAGGATGTGCATATACATGTAAAGCTTTATTTTTTTATACCACCAACACAACATATTGCAGCCACTGGATTGAGGAATTAAGTGCAACTACATATGAAAAGTTAAGTGGTAACTCATCAGAGCAGTGGATGCTGACTCAGAGCTTGGGGTGCCAGACTTCTGGTGTAAATTTAACATTACAGATGCCATCAGCAATGTCAAAGGTGCAAAGAATGAAGTGCCTTAATCAACATTAAATTCAGGCTGGGAAAAAATATGGTCCAGTGGATATTCTCAAGATCACCCTCGGTTGTGAACGACATCCAGGAAATATTCAGCTGACAAGGAGATTGCCAGGTGAGGGCTTTGAAGATATGCAGGAAGATGTGAATGAGCTCTTAGATAAGGAAAATAAAATGTTGGCAGAACTCAGTGCCCACATAGAGGGAGGCAGATAACAGATGAAGTTGAGGAAGAAGAACCTGCAGAATACAGTTACCATTGAAAATGATACATAAGCAGTTCCATGTTGCTGTTAAACTAGCAGATTTTGTCATTGAAGAGGACTATGATATCTAGATTATTATTATTCTTATTATAATCACGGGGGAGCGCTAAATCCATAGGATTATACAGCGCATGTGGGGGGGGGGGAGGATGGAAGGTATTCGAGCTCAATTCAGGGAACCGGAGCACAGACCCAATTCCCTAGATCAAGAGCCCCTCACCAACATCAAGGAACCTCCCCTGAGGGGCCTGATATCTAGAAATACTGCTTTGAAGCAGGGTCTGAAGCAGCTGGTGATGCCTTATTAACTATATAAAATATGACAGGGTAAACAGCATTGTATGACCCTTTTGGGTTTAGCACTTAATTTGATTATATCATTATTATTACTGCAGGGTAAAGCAGGCCAAAGACATAGAGAATATCTTGGTACTTCAGTACAACCATCACCTAATAATAACACAGCATTAACGTCAATGCAAGAATCACAGCCATCCACCTCCAGCCCTGTAGGGCTACACCATCCCTCTCCACTCCTTTCAGAATTGACGTCCTGTAGCTCGAGTGCTAGTGCACTTGGCTCACACACTGAGGTTCGGAGTTTGAATCTCCAGTACGGCTGGAAAACATTAGGGACGTTTCCATAAGACATCTGCTGTCCCTGTTCACCCATCAGTATAAAATGGGTACCTGGGTGTTAGTTGACTGGTATGGGTTGCATCCTGGGACAAAACTGACCTAATTTTCCCGAAATGCTCATCATAACAAGCGGCTTTCTATATAGTAGTATGTCATTGATGCCAGCTAGACCTGTATACCTATATGTACATGTAGAAATAAAGATATTATTATTGACATACACCAGTAATCAGAATTTAAGGTAAGAAATATTATTTATGTAACCTTTGTATTATATCACTACATCCAATTACATTATTTTTTTTTCTCTTACAATAATGGGACCTATTAGGTGATGAAAGATTGGATATCAGATTGGAGGGAGAGAGTATGGAGGAGGTGAATGTATTCAGATATTTGGGAGTGGACGTGTCAGCGGATGGGTCTATGAAAGATGAGGTGAATTATAGAATTGATGAGGGGAAAAGGGTGAGTGGTGCACTTAGGAGTCTGTGGAGACAAAGAACTTTGTCCTTGGAGGCAAAGAGGGGAATGTATGAGAGTATAGTTGTACCAATGCTCTTATATGGGTGTGAAGCATGGGTGATGAATGTTGCAGCAAGGAGAAGGCTGGAGGCAGTGGAGATGTCATGTCTGAGGGCAATGTGTGGTGTGAATATAATGCAGAGAATTCGTAGTTTGGAAGTTAGGAGGAGGTGTGGGATTACCAAAACTGTTGTCCAGAGGGCTGAGGAAGGGTTGTTGAGGTGGTTCGGACATGTAGAGAGAATGAAGCGAAACAGAGTGACTTCAAGAGTGTATCAGTCTGTAGTGGAAGGAAGGCGGGGTAGGGGTCGGCCTAGGAAAGGTTGGAGGGAGGGGGTAAAGGAGGTTTTGTGTGCGAGGGGCTTGGACTTCCAGCAGGCATGTGTGAGCATGTTTGATAGGAGTGAATGGAGACAAATGGTTTTTAATATTTGACGTGCTGTTGGAGTGTGAGCAAAGTAACATTTATGAAGGGGTTCAGGGAAACCGGCAGGCCGGACTTGAGTCCTGGAGATGGGAAGTACAGTGCCTGCACTCTGAAGGAGGGGTGTTAATGTTGCAATTTAAAAACTGTAGTGTAAAGCACCCTTCTGGCAAGACAGTGATGGAGTGAATGATGGTGAAAGTTTTTCTTTTTCAGGCCACCCTGCCTTGGTGGGAATCGGCCAGCGTGATAATAAAAATAATAATGGGACCTTTTTTTTTTTTTTTTTTTTTTGGCATTTAGGGGGTGTAAGGAACATAACCCTGTTTTTCCCATATGCTCTTCATTTAAAATTTTTTTTTTTTTATTTACACCCCGTTTTCAAGACCGTAACTACAGTGTTAATTGACAGTAAGTTTTGAAGGACGTTATAGAATTTAGAGTTAAGATACAAACGAGTGAGAGCATAGATCACCAGCTGATGGTTTAGGGCAGGTCATATGCCCATAAACTACTCTTTAACCAGAAAATAAAAATACTGTATGTATGTGTTTTTTCAAGCATCACATCTTTTGTACTGTCCCCCCTTACAGTATTGTGTTTTCCCTTATTTGTATTAAAAATTCAAAAGAAAACTAACACCTGAATTCATAACCTCGAGTGCAGCTGTCTCAGTAACAGGCAAAATGCATGCCAGGGGTTTTGCCTTAAATTTTTTTTATAATGAAATATACATTATTACCATGCTTTCTTAATGCTTGTATTGCATAAATACCATTGTGATTTATTGA